AGGCGCAGATCTGGCCTGCACCCATGAGTTACAATGGACGATGTCATCTCAATGTCAGAGTCTCTCCACACCGGCCCGCCCGTGCCGGGCTCGCTGCCTTTGACCATTCCGAAACTGCCGAGAAATGGAAGTCCTGGTAATCAACGTTAGCGCTCAGAGAACATATTTGCGGGCAAACGAGCAAAGTCGAATGTCCATAATATCCGTTTGCCAGTGGAATGGATCACTATCAAGCGTTTTGCCACTGTGCTGCCAACGGGAGTGACGGTGCTGGGTGGGGCTGACAATCCACGTTATTCAAACATCTTTGCTTCTGCGCTGAAATCACGCGCACGTGCAACGTATCAAGACGTCGATCTCAATTAGCTGGCCCCCGTAGGTCCTCAGGTGTTGACACGGAATCGACATTTCTAGGTAGTCGAGCCAAACCTCTGATGTCATTCGGTTCCCATATAAGAGCTCAAGTTTTGCCTGAACATTTTTCTCTCCTCCACAGCATTTATTTAACTGGTCCCTAACTACGATCTTCATAATGCCGGTAAGTGCCTTATAGTGCTTTATCTGCGAGTAATGACTATTGAATACAACAGAAAGTCACCGTGTACTTCAATGATCAATCTGCATACGAAGATGCTATAGAATTGGTACAGGAGTGAGTATTATCCAAGCAATGTTAGTACGAATACTAACATAGCGAAGAATTCTGAGCGGTGAAAATACAACACCGCCAATTCCCTTTCCATCGTCTCCTCCGACATTCATCTCGTGCGCGCTACCTTGCCGTTTAATCATTTCAGTTCCAATTACTGACTCAACCTAAAACAGGGGACGGGATTTAAGTGAATCTGAGCTTGAAAATTTGAACACGATCCCTGGTGTAGAAGTGGTAGTCCATCGGGAATGAGATGAAACTTGCTTTTTTTCGCAATCTCACCAATCTGCACTGGTGATAGATAGTAAATTGATTTCACACTGTTCCTTGGTCAGACAGACACATGGTACAAGCATCGACGGCCCTATAGTTGAACTGCGTCATCGCCCAGGCCGCCAACTCAATAGGCCTTTAGCAAATCATTTTCCCTTGATGGGCTGACAGATTTTGGGCTTCAGTCGATGGAGATGGTCTTCGCTCTCCGTGTCATGTACGTTAAAGCGGTAAGTATCCAAGGCCTCAATTGGCAAGGATAGTCAGGGTAGTCGTCATGTTCCACGATAACCCACCGCAATAGGGCTGAAGTGTATACAAAGGTCTTCCTTCCGTCTTGTCCGTCTTATCCGTCCTGTCAGGGCCGGTTTTGATTTTCCATGACGGTCTTACTCGGGACTGCGGTTTGGTGATGTAATGCATGATCTTCACTTCGAAGAAGCTTGTGTAGTATAGAGAGTAGTCTTGGTGATATTATTCTTCGAGCAAGGTTTTCAGCTCTAAAACAACATATATGCCCAAATTGATCAGTCACAATCCGATGTGTCTACAACTGCCGTGATCGAGCATATTTACAAATCCTCACCCAGCCAATTTGAAAAACAGTCCAACAACCATGCCTCCTACATATGCGCGTATTAAAGAAAACCAAGGTCGACAGGGTCCAGTCGTAGCACGGTCTGAACCGCAGACGAAGAATGTTAGTCAATGTTAAGAGTGCCTCACAGTTTTGCACAAACTGATAACTCTATGAAGGAACTTTCTGTATCTAAGGCCAAGCTTGCTGAGCATGCACGAGCAGAAAACCCTGGCCCGGAGAGCCGTGGATTTGAAGACAATACAAACAGGATTGAACAAGATCTCGATGGAGACGCCCGCGCAAGGGAGCATAGTAGAGATAGATATTCCTGTAGGCAGGGCATAGTTCAAGGACATACCGAGCATTTTTCATTCGACTAGAAAATTAAACAGAACTGAAGCGTTATTGCCTCGTCAGAAACCTCACTCAATGTGCCTATCCGCGAGAGGCGGTTGGCTTAGACCAAAATGCTAGGGCCGCTCCAGCGGATCAAAACTCGTTTAATGAAGGCATCGGAATACTTTGGCCGGGAAGACACAGTAGGAATTGTATTGTTCTCAAGGTCTGCGGTGATCGAGAGATTGTTCTACATAGCCTATCGTGACACAGCAGACGCTCAAATTATCTCAGCGAGATCATGGTGGGCTGTCAGGCGCCTGAAAAAGGGCCGGATTGGGCCGGCAGAAACGTTGTTACCAGTTATCAGTTGGGCCGCTGCACCAATAACCCCTTATCGGCTTACAGTGGTCGAGCTCTCCAGCCACCCGAAGCTCAGACAACCATACTTGATTTTTGACTCTGGAGATTCGATTCTTCTATGGCGAACTTATTGGGCTAAGTTTGATAGGGCCCGATATGGCAATCCTATTTTGTGCACTGTGTAATCGCACTTGCATTCCTGATGTTCCTGATTAGGGTTTTGTAGAGATGCTTCACTGTAAATACACACAATATATATACATACCGCTCACCTGTTGCCGCCCATCCACGATTCCTCATTGCAGCAACTGTTGTAGTTCAAAGGAAGATTGATTATTTATTCAGAGGGAAACATGAGGCTATATATACAACGAGAAGATCAAGTTGATTTCCAATCAACTTGGTTCTTCGTATACATACTTCGGGATTAATTTCGATGGTTCTGCTTGGTTCCTGATCTGCACCAGCCTCATATCACAACAGCAACAATTAACTTTGACGCCATATCGTTTTTTGTGATCCATCAAGCCAATGCAACATGTCAGAGCATGAAGAACCCATAGAAACGCGTGACAACGCGTGCTAAAGAACGGAATGGCATGGTAGAAGGCCGCTTTAAATGAATTCCTATTTTGAAGGTTGAACCTGGGGGGCGGGGGGAGGGTGGATCCCGACCCGCAGATTTTTCATTGGTCAGCACCCATAGCTGACCAAGCTACGACAGAAAAAGACTCAATGCAGCAGCTATCATCACGTGCTGTACTGTGGACTTGATCCGAGTGTCGAGTATTCACGTAATTTAGGCATTCCTACACGCTTCGGAAATAGTCTAGTCCCGTTTGAGCGGCCGTCATGGGCGTCCCAGCTCATAACATTATGTTATAATACCGCATATGCGGTGGCAGATATAGATAAAGTGGGGTCCGTGGTACGCTATGGTTGGCTTAACCATTCAGCCAGACACCAGTTAAGCCGTTAAAAGCCGTCCGTTGAAGCCGTCGTCTTCTACGCACGCACCAAACCCCCAGCAATGACAATGTAAATTGAAGCGCTGGATTCTGGCCACACTGATGGCCTCAAATAAATTTATAATAATAAGAATTCTAGTGGGTACTTCAACGGCGGTCACTTATTGTTCACCACAACCGCATTTTCCTAATGTCGGCTTTGGTCGATAAACCCATGCGGGTCTCGGTGGGTCACCAGTTAGACCCACAAGGCGACGAACTAAACTCTCCACCGCGTTGCTTCAACGCTGGAAGCGGCCACCGCTGTCATTTTTGAGGGCGCATTTATGGTTAGATTATCTACAATAAGACCTCCGTCAAGTAACTGAAATGAATTTAGAGGAATAGAATGTGAGGAGTGGTGAGGTACGAGCCGTGAAGAGAGGGTGGTGAAGAGAGGGTGGTGAAGAGAGGGTGGTGAAGAGGGTTCTTCAACTTTCTTATAGAGAGCTAGCCTTTTACTCGCTATTAGTTCACGCAGGCTTCAACGGTTAATGCGATGGCCGCTTCCTAGCCCAGACAAAAGGGCGAAGAACTAGTGCCCGTGAGCCAAGATCTATGACCGACCGGTGGCCTTTGCTATAAAATGGGCATTTCTTTGTGCCAGAGCAGTCCCACCGATATTTTCGGTGACCACATCAGATTTTGAAGGGGTAGAGAAGGCGCCCTACATATATGGCCTGAATATTAATGCTTCACGGACAGCAAGCGAACCAGCATGGCAGACTGCCGCCCCAATCCGACCGAGCAGAACGCGGCCTACAGTTCCCCCCTCCCCGCCGGTAAGTCTATCCCGTGACCGCGGAATCTTCCGCTGACTAATTATCGTCCTCTCTCCCATAGGCTGCTCTGAGCGACACACGAGCCCCGGCCACGGATCATTTCGAACCAGCTCTGGAGACATAGAGGTTGATCTCGAGAGCAGGCTAGCAGTTAGCTTGGATCGCTAGATGTAATTGCCAATGTACGGCTATTAGTTCCCGCTTAGAAAAGTATTGGTCGTATGGTCACCGCCGTTGGCAAATTTAATACTATAGAAGAAGAAAAACTATATGACAGTAGAAGTCTCCGCATTCATTGGTTGTACATTCGTAACCAATCTATTAGATAGTGAATGCTTTAGACCCGCCCTCCCCGTGCACTGGCGCTGGCGGTCTTATCCGCGGTCCGTTTCTACTTAGTCCATTAGTCTCCCGAGTGAGTCATTGGCTACTCGATAGTTGTAATGAACGGCGTTGAGGATTCAGCGGAAGGACCTAAGCGCCTAGCTAATTGGGTAGACCGGCGTGGACCGGGCGTGTTAGATTGGTTAGGAAGACGCACCCCTTCTGCCGCTGGACGCGGCGCAGCTGCAGTAGTTACAGCGCTAGTATCGTGTTCTTCTGCGTTCGTCTGTTCGGTATTGGCGGCGCTTGGTGTATGAGCCCCTCGTGGCTGATATTTCGTAACGAAAGCTCCATCGGATATACTATTTTCCAGTCAGTGATGTTCGGCCTGCATCGGTTGATCGCGCTAGATGTTGCTTACCATTGTGGGCATAAGTATGATTTCCAGGCCGCCATGTCCTAAGCCATAGTTCTATATAGTCCAAATGAGCCACAAACCTGCATCCTCCGAAATGCAGAGTCACCGGCTCGTTCTCATCCTCTCCGTGACAGATGTAGCATTGCTCGCGGCGTGAATCGGAGCTTTGGGGTGATCTGCAGGTGAAACGGTTGAGCTTTAGAGTCTGCGGTCCCGTCTGATTATTTGCAATCATTAAGTCGGCGGGAGCCTCGTCTGATACCGACTAGGTCACCTGGTTCTCCCGAAGCATAGCTGGCGTGACCTGTCGGTCTCTGGATGACGGACCGAGTTGTGAAGGCACCGAGACGGATGGGCCAGTGAATTCAACGCCGTCCATTGCGCAGGATCGCGACTGACTCCGCCTTTCAGTCCGCCTTCCAGGATCGATGGCGGAGTGTCTTGTTGATCTGACTGGCCTTAGAGGGCGGCGACTCGCGGGTTGAGACCGGCGCATCTGGGGCTGATTTCGAATCGCGGCTTCGTACCATCGCTGCCCGACCAGATCGGCCTGGCGCAGCTGGTGCCATCTCGTGTAGAGGAATTCTGCGGTAATGTCGCGCAATTTGAGCTGGAGATTGCAGACTGTGAAGGGTCTCTCGGCGAGGGCGTCTAGCTTCTGGCGACCGCTTTTGAGACCCTGTTTTCTCACAGCGTTTTTGCGCTGGTCGCCTTTTTGCGTGATGCCACAGTAGGCATTCCCGTGCTCGAAGGGCCCACTGCCCATCTCAAGGATTAACAGCGGGTTCCACAACCAAGAAGGATGATCCATTTTCGGGAAGTCGAAAGTGTGTGTTCAAACTGTATGAAAGGAGAAATGCAAGTGTCGAACTCAATAGTGAAGAACAGGTAATCGGTCATTGCGATGGAACAAGCATTTATAATCCTTCTCACCGGTTGCTTGAATGCATCACGGGAAGGTGCAATGGGCTGGTGACGGCAGCCGGATGGCGGCTAATTTCTGGCCTTTTACGGAGAATAATATCCCCTGGGAAACCATCCTGAGCTCTCACAACCTGTGAGGATCTCACGTATGCGTAGTTGAATGATCAATATTGAGGAAGCTATTGTCTATTCTAGATACAAGACGTAGCGCGAGGAAGCAAAAGAAAGGTAGCTTCCTCGCGTTTAGGGGAACCCATATACACCATGTGGGGGTCCCGCAGATCATATCTCCATTCGTCCTGTATGATTCATGTATATCCCTGACATAACCTGAGTGACGGCCTCTGGAAATCTGTCACGATACTCCAGGAATTCCCTTGTAGGACCCAGGGACCTTATGTTCTCTGGGAACCAACCACCGTGATCCGGGAACTGCACTGTTCATCCCAGGGGCCAGCATTTTGCTAGATGATCTGCTAGAATTCGGCGAAAAAAGCCTCAATACAATCATGCATTTTTTTTGTGGGTATATAAATGTGGTGAATCCCGGTATCCCCTCCAACTCGCAAGCTTAGAGCATACGCTCTAAATCCAATATCAATATGCCTCCAAAGAGAACAAATTCAGTGCACTTTTCGGCTGCCGTCCCCTCACCATATAATCGTTCAGCGCCATCCATCCAAAACACCCCGAGACTTCTATGGGGTGCGACAAGCCCTTATTCCGCACAGCAGAGCGTGAAAAATGCGAGAACAAGAGCGGAGATAATCATCAATGAAATCTCCACCGAATGCACAAAGCTGCTTGGCATGAACTACAAAGAAAAAGAAGAGAAGGCCGAACTTGAAGCCCATATGCAATACCTGATTTGTTGTCTTCAAGCAGCTGAGCAGCGAGCTTGGAGGCTTGAAGAGCGCGTCAACACCTTGGAGGTTGAAGTGGCGTCTCGAAACGTGGAAACCCCACCAACAGACCAAACAGCACCTCCGCGAGAGATATAAAACCTTTCTGGGGAATATACGGAGTTGTGAGTTTATATGGTTTTTGTGAAGCGGTGGGATTCAGGGGGGTCATTTCGCGTTACATGTCAACTACGTTGGATGATTAATCAACGTTCAGCGAACCATTGGTTTTATTCGTATACGTTTAGAACAGTACTTCAACTCATAGTCATTCTCGAAATCGCCTTGACCGATACACACTCAATCTTTCTCTTCTAGCCCCACCGCCAAGACCCTAGCGCAGATCATAAATTTGGCGGGCCGCTGTGATTTGAGGCCCGTTGTAACATGATCTATGTATGGTATTGCAAGGTAGTACACTTACGCGATTTGTCAGGGAATTGGGAAGAACCTAGTGGAAGTCAGGCTTGGGGCCTCCGCACGACAGTTCATCATTGGCTTTTAGTTATCCTAAATTCTTCTTCAGCCTGTCTATAGTCTCGTTGCCAGCCGATATCGTGTTAGCGGTGTTGGTCCTAAGTGGAATCCAGATGAGTCCAGAGTGTGTTAGATTATTGTCAGGTGATTTTTATCAAACAACGTATGACGTCACGACATATGGATATTGCAATACCTTCGTCGGGTCCCGGCGACAAGGGAAAGTAAGACGTATAGTAGTCAATTATCGCCAAGCGGGCCCCGTGGTCGATGAGGAGCTTTATCATAGCAGGCCGAAATTCATGGTTCTCATGCTCCAAGGCACACTGGAGTGGGGTAGAATGGAAGTATGATGGCCCACGATTTTCGTGACCATGAGCATTAACATCTGCTCCGCGGCTAAGCAAAAATGTCGCCATTGCCAGATCACCTTTTTCAACAGCAACATGCAAAGGAGTTTTCCCAATATATGACATCTCATTCACATCAGCCCCTTGATCAAGAAAAACCTTTGCCATTTTCAGGCTTCTCGCCATATGTAAAACTCCTCCGTTATCCTCGTCGAAATCCCAATGAGTGGGTAGAGCCGCCGTACAATATTTGACTCTCGCGCCTTGCTCCAGAGATATTCTCACACCCACGAAGTTTTCTTCGGAAACGCACCATGGCAAAGCAGATCCATGGAAGTGATCAACATTGTGCTTATAAAGACGTGTAAGAAATACTCGATGGAACTTCACGCAGGTTCTTATTAAGGAATATATGTCACCTTGTATAACCAATTGGTCGCATATTTGGAGTAGAGTTTCTTGCGGTAAATCCAAAAGACCCTTGCAGTAAAAAGGCGACAAGATTCGTGCTTCATAAGTGTTCTGCTAAGGGAGAAAGGCTAAGAACCTACAGTTCTAGCTTCACTACTTAAGAGACAAGACTTTGGAACCGGATCAAGTGAAAAAGATATACACGCGAGCGGATCAACCGGAAAGAACGGAAAGTCGGATTGAAAAAGCTCTTTTTCCGTGGAATTTAGTAGACCTGATGCTTTTATAGCGGCTTAAGGAGTCTCTTAAGGAGACTTTGAGCTTGAGGATAAATTGAGAGAATGTAGGAAAAAAAAGTCAAATATTAACCAATACGCTGGCAAAATTATCTATCATTGTAAAATGTATGACAGCCAGATTGGCCGCATTATCGCTGCCTGGCCTTTTTCGGAAATGGTGGGTATTGGCCATGAATCAGGCTTTTCTTGTTTAGAAATGAAGTCATCAAATTTGAAATTGGGGCCCGGTCTCTTGGCTGGATAAAGAGTTTAAAAACAACGAGGACATGCTCTCTACGTTCCTCTTCAACACTTACACATCTATTTGAAGATAGAAATAACCATAATTTCGCTTCCCCCTACTCTATTGAATTCTTGTTATCAACAGACATACGTCAGGCATTGAGAAATGGCGCCTAGCAAGAACGTTTCGAACGCCAAGTTCAACGTTGCAATTATTGGTCCCCCTTATTCAGGTGAGAGAACTCAATTATGAGCGCCGGTTCAGCGAGTCTATATAAACAGCAATTAATCCGTCATCTTTATAGGGAAAACAAGCCAGGCGGCTAAAATCAGTGAGCGATTTTGTCTCTGTCATCTGGTGGGTGGTTTTAGGGCATATAAAGACCGTACATTAATTAGGCCGAGCGTATAGACCTCAAGCATTTTATTGCGATCGGGTAAGGAACGAGTACCTGAAAGTAAAGATTCGATAAAGATCATTGAGCAAGGAGGTATGGTCACCGCTCAAGTCATGGCCAGTCTACTTGGACACACGATCGAGAATAACCCGGACTGCGCCAACGGGTAAGGTGCCATTTTATTATCACAGACGCTGTAGGCTAATGATACCTACTGCAAATAGCTTTATGTGAGATGGAATACCTCGAAGTCTGTCCGAGGCTGAAGATGTTGATCGAATGCTCAAGGCACGCCAACAAAAATTGGACGTAGTCATTGAGCTATCAGCTGATGAGGCGTTGCTAAAATCCCGGGAATCGGGATGCCTCATTCATTTATTATCTGGACGATCCTACCATGAAAAGTTTAAACTCCCCAAAAAATACATGAAAGATGATATCACTGGAGAGCATCTTGTGGGGTGCAAAGAAAACAAGCCTGAAACTCTGGAAAAGCATCTGCACATTTTCCAATCCCAAAGGTCACCGGTGATTGACTATTACAGAAGCTCGGGAATCTGGAAGAATATTGACGGCAGTCAAGAACCTCCCGAGGTTTGGCGAAAATTGGCGATTTTGCTAAACGAACTTGTTGATCGGAAGAAGAACCAGAACAGCAGCTTCTGAAATTGGGCTTGGGATGTTTCTTCAAATGCTACATATATGAAGGATGAAACAGTGTGATTGTCGGCTCTCATTCGGCTTCAATCCAGAGATGGTTGGGAATGGCCCGTCTCCAGCTTACTGTTAGACTAAGGTAGCATGGCATGGACTTTCGAAGCTTCGCATATATTCATTCCGCCAGACTTAATATCCAAAATGCAGGATCAGAATGAAATACAAAGGGGTCATTTTACCTCATGTTTCATACAAATGAATTTTGTTGATACCTCGAGAACAATACAATTTTTTATTGTATCTCCCCGGCAGAAATAATCCAGTGCCTTCATAAACGAAATTCATACGTTGGAGCGGCCCTCTCTTGGTCTGGGCCAACCGCCTCTCCCAGAGGCACATTTGAATGAGGTTCTGTTAAGGGAACAACGCGTCAGTTCAGGTTTCATTTCCAGTCGAATGAATGGAAAATACCCTGCATATATCCTTTGATATAGTTTGAACTTTGCCCTGCCAACAGGAACTATCTATCCCCAGTATGCTCCCTTGCGTGGGCGCCTCCATCGGGAACCTGTTCAGTCCTGTTTATATTGTCTTCATATCGACGGCTTTCCGGCCCAGAGTTTTCCGCGCGTACATGCTCAGCAAGCTTGGCCTTAGATACAGAATTCCCCTTCATAGGATTATCAGCTTGTGCAAAATTGTGAGGTACTCTTGGCCATGACTGACATTCTTCGTCTGGGGTTCAGACCGTGCTACCACTGGGCCTTGTCGGCCTTGGTTTTTCTTAATATGGGCATGAGTGGGAGGCATGGTTACTGGACTCTTTTCAAAATAATAAGAGAGGAGAAGTAAATATGCTCGATCACGGCAGTTGTAGATACGACGGATTGTGGCTGATCCGTTTGGGCATATATGTTGTTTTGGAGCTGAAAGTCTTGCTCGAGGAATGATATAACCATGACTCTATACTATCCGAGCTCGAGCTTCTTCGAAGTTAAGCTCATCAGTAAGACCGCCACGGACAATCGAAACCGGCCCGGAGAGGACGGATAAGGCGGAAGGCCGACATCCACTAAAGGGAAAAGATGTGTCTCTGGAACGCCAGTCACTTTAGTGAGCCTCGGGGCTTGGTAAGTCACGTGCTTACCTGGAAAAGCTTGGGAGAGAATGTCCGGTTGGAGTGGCCGGACTCTGGAATGCGAATGTCAGGCGTCTCCCGTTATTTCCGGGAGTTCCGGTTCTTCCGAGAAAGAAATGATGGATTCAAGTTTTTTTTTTTTTTTTTTTGAAGGGGGAAACAGGTTCTCCTCCTTGAATCCCAACGGGAATTTGCAGGGATGGGTGTTGTTAACGATAGCACCATACGTTTAGGTTGGGGATTGACCGTGATAATGAATTATCCTTTTTCGCCCTAAGTAGGGGCCATGTTTTCACCCGTATGATGTCAGATGAATAAGCGCGCTCACATGCGAGTGGTGATGACGTCGCTAGGCCCGCCTTGTCATTACGGACAGGTAATTTATCTTTAGAAGCAATGACCACCCACCAATCCTTCATTTTCAATCTGATCTCACGCCATGACCAGACACCGTCAATGGAGTGTACAAGACCCCAGCAGTCCGCTAAACACTGGATTGAGCAAAAGAGGAAACAGCAATGCCACACGTCTCAACAAGACATGGTTCCCCGGAAGATATGGATTCAAGGACAATGACTCTGCCATCAAAGCAGAGCAACGACGCAACGAGCTGAAGGGCAAAATTTTGGCTGGGGTTAAGGATTTCAACGTCGAACAATATCGCAAAAGTGACGACGAGCTCAAGTCAATTCGCAATACTCAGGTTCGGGCATACTACGAAGCTCAAAATCAAAAATTGAACGACTGGGCAGAAGTTGATAGCTTGGTGTGGTCACTAGCAGACGACATAATTGATAGCACAAATCCGGACGCAGATCATGATGGAATCATCGATAGCAATGCACCGCTCTATTCCGTGGACCATGATCTGGAAGCATTCCTTCCCAGTGAAGAGCGGTCCAAGCGACATCACAACAGTCGTGTTTCACAAAGGGCTCTCAATGTAAACACTTTGTGCCTTGTTTTCCATTTGCTGCGCTAACATTTCAAAAACTTGACTCAGGTGAATGTGTCCGCCAACATCTTGCTTCTAATAGCAAAGGTGGTCGCAGTGACATCCACGCGCTCGCTCTCATTGATCGCGTCTCTGACGGATTCAATTTTGGACTTTTTGTGCACCATGATTATCTGGGTAACGAGCCGCCTCGCCAAGCAAAAAATGAGTTCCTTGAATTCGGCGTTTCCTGTTGGTCGACGTCGGCTGGAACCTCTTGGAATCCTTGTATTCTCCATCCTGATGATAATTTCATTTCTGCAAATCCTACAGGAGTCAGTCAAGAGGCTTTTTTCGCCAGGGGGCCGTGTTACTCTCCCATTGCCGTTGGTTGCAATCTGGTCAATGGCAGGAAATGCCATCATCAAGGGCATGGTCGGCATCTTCTACTCGCAAGTAAAGTCCTCGCAGGTGCAGACATTAGTTCAAGGTAAATGGAGTCTCAGAGTCCGCAGGGTTGTTTGTTGACTGTTATCAAGATTGCAAAACAGATGTGTATTTCAACACGGCGTCTCTCATTTTCCCTCTTATCGGATCTAAATGTGGCATCTGGTATTTGGATCCTTTAGGGGCAGCATTGCTGTCGCTTTACGTCGTATACGACTGGGCGAATACAGCATTCTCAACTATCGTCAGGCTTACCGGCGCAGCAGTTTCACCGCAAATGGACAAAAAGTTGATGTATCTGGCGTGGCGGTTTTCTCCAGTAGTTGATGCATACAAGTCAATGACGGCCTATCATGTTGGCGATGGTATTGTGGTCGAAGTTGAAATTGCGCTGGATGAGAGCACTTCGCTTGCTAAAGCACATGATATTTCGCAAACCATGCAATATTGCTTCGAAGGTAATCAACTCAAGTTTTCATTCTATATATATATCAGAGAATTCCACGCTAAACATCCAACAGGACTGGCCGAAATAGATCGAAGCTTTGTGACAGTCGACTACAGTCCTCTTGGCCTCCGAGGTCATGCCGCACGCTCGGGATGAACCGTGCAGAAAACATGGGCTCCATCGTTGTATATTATTGGATAACCTTCTAATTATACCGAGCTGGGTCGATGCTTTCGAAAAAAAATCATGCGAGTCTAGAGATTCATTCTACATTTCTTACCCTAAAATTCCCACTTGGGTCTGCCGACATTATGGCATGATACGAGAACTCTTTGCGTAATCAAATAAAATTATTTACTGTACCATGTGAGAATATTTTAAGACGTAGCATCAATACTGGAACTGATTCACTAGATTGAACAGATTGGATAAGCGTACGAGTGATGTCACAGCTTAATTGGCTTCCAGAATGCTATTCAGTTCTTAAGTATATTAACTTGCGGCGGTGTTTTATTGAGAGCAAAGGGAAATATTGTTATGTTTTGGATTTTTTATATATTTGAGAATGTTACGACTGATCGATTACCTTGTTTGATCATTGATCGGGAAAGCCCCTCCTTGGTCCCCATGCTTTATGGCAATCGTCTATAAGACTCAGTGCAAATCTATACTGCGTGTTAGTTTATTCACCCAAGGCCACTGGGTATTACCTACTGCCGATCCATAAGCTTCCCATCAAGCGCAATGGTATTTGGTTCCTTTCCATCCGACACCTTGTAGTTGCAATACCAAGTTTTCAGGGACTCCAAATATCCAGGCAGGTGTTTTTCCACGTCTCCAATATCTGTCATCTTCTCAGAAAGAGGATTGCTGACATCGATGGCGACGATTTTCCAATCTGTTTCCCCTTCGTCTAGTACAGCAAAAGCCCCTAGCGGGTTCACCTTCTTAATGTCACCACATTTGGCAACGTGATTGCCAATTTCGCAAACGTCCAGTGGGTCATCGTCTCCTGCGACGCCGGTGTGAGAGTCAATAGCATTGGGGTCTTCCCAGGTCTATTTCTTGATAAGAAAGAGGATTCGAATGACGCAATCAACGGAACGGGAACTAATTTATTCACCTGTGGAATGGCACCGTAGTTGCAAGGATAGCCACGGAACGGAGGTACATCGGCGAGCTCTCGCGGCTTTCCTTTTATAATGTCCTGCTTGATCGGGTTGAGGCTAATTTCCTTCGTGATCTGGCCACCGGCGACTTAGCAGAGTTCGATATCCTAGAATGAATACTCAAATACTTACCTCCATCTTTGCGTTCGTCTCTCGCGGAATCTCCACAACCATATTTAGAATTCCATACTCTCGATCCGCGAACAAGGGGATGTCGTGCCAAGGAGAGATCATTTGACCATTTTGCTGAAAATACAGGCGTGTCTCTCCTGGTTGAGAGATCGAAGTCTCCTCAATAGTGATGTTGGAAGTCATATGCAAGGCTAATAGTATAACCAAATTGGTCAGAGATGTGCGGAGTTAAGAAGATAGCTGAAGGGAGCTCAGCTGGTGAACTTGAGAGTCAGGGGAAGACTAAAACGTGACGTCACAAATGAAATCAGCCATCTGTCAAGATGGCTTGGTGGGCGGATAAAGGCGGGGGAAAAGCAAGTTCAACTGGTACGGAGAACAGGTATTATTGGCCGAGGCAGATGTTTATTCCTAACTAGGCGATGCGACATTGATTGTGTCATTCAGACCTGCGTCGGGCAAGACCGGCAAGACCGGTAAAGGCGGATAAAAGGTGGACAATCAAACAACCCAGTCCTTTTTCAGACAGAAGGATAAGTTTGAGATTTCCGTTGCATTGCTTCCCTGAATCCCTGCAATATACTCTTGCGAGTTAATATTTTATATCTACGTCGACTATCCTTTGAACGTCCCGAACACGTTGTCATTTGAGATGGGGCTCCTCCAGAATGACAAGCCTGCGACAGAAAATAAAAAGGAAGCCAAGACAGCCGCCACGCAAATCAATCACATCCGGCACATTCAGGCCATGAACCGTATTCCGGGCTCACCGAAGTTGCAGCCCCCGAACCAGTAGAACGATCTTCTCATCAAGAACTCTCACGCCACAAGTCCCTCGAGCAACAGCTATCAAGTGCTTCAAACAGTGCTGAGGATGGTGAAGGCCAACAAGGTGTTTTGAGTGAGGTCGCGGGACCACAGCCGGTGGAACGACGGACGGAGACGCAAATGGCGAATCAATCTTGTCTCGAACAATCGCTCTCCAAGGAACGGCGAGGCCCAAATTGATATCTCGGTCTAGTCTCTTTTGTGAAGTAGTTGCGTGCAATGAAGAAATTCTTCCGGTGAAGTTACTACCGACTGCGGATCATTGCTTCTCTGTGCAGAAGCGATACGGCTTCACTGTATCGAGCGCATTTCAATATTGGTTAATACTTTTATAAGCTGTGAATTATCTAGCTGAATGCAATCCAAGTAACCTGGAAGGTCTAGACTCCCGATAGCATGAGTGCCGGCTATAGCGGAACTACCTGCGGGAATGATATCATCATGATCAACGATCATTAGGACATACTTCCGGGCTAAATTTCAATATTTAATTCAGTGCTGCTGTTTCTCGACTTCTCTTTTCTCACGCAGTCGCTCTAAGTACTTCGCTATCCTACCACAATGATTAAATCAATCAAGGCAGCTCAACGCTTGGATTCAAGAGGCAATCCCACAATCCAAGTCGACTTGACCACCGACCAAGGTAAGCCACGAAAACAGATACATCAATGACTGGATAAAGCTAATTCTGACTTTGGCAATTTCCACGCCATCGTCCCCTCTGGTGCCTCGACAGGTGCCAATGAAGCCGTTGAGCTCCGGGATGGCGACTCATCCAAATATGGCGGCAAAAGTGTGGAGAAGGCCGTATCGAATGTCGAGAACATCATTGCCCCCGCTCTAATCAAGAGCGGCCTCCGAGTGGATACGGACCAGAAAAAGATCGATGGACTTCTCAACTCCTTGGATGGCACGAAAAACAAAGCCAAACTTGGTGCCAACGCTATTCTAGGAGTCAGTATGGCTTGTGCACGAGCTGGTGCAGCTGCTTCGGTTAGTAAGACCAGAGAGATACAATTTGCGGAACTAATGGATGCAGGGGTTGCAACTATACGAATATCTGCGGCGTGAATCCGGTGCGAAAACGCCCTATGTATTGCCTGTTCCGTTCTTCAACGTCCTTAATGGAGGTGTGCATTCCGGAAACAAAATGGCATTCCAAGAGACTATGATTGCTCCAGTCGGGGCCACTTCTATCGCTGAAGCCGTGCGAATCGGCAGTGAAGTTTACCAACATCTGAAGAAGGTCATCACGAAGAAGTTTGGAGCCTCGGGTCAGTTTGGAAACAGAATTCTAAGCATCCACAAAAAACGGCACTGACAGTTTCAATTCAGCCATCGGCATCGGCGATGAAGGTGGCTTTGCCCCACCTATTTCACAACCTCATGAGGCTCTCGACTTGTTGGTTCAGGCAGTTTCGGATGCTGGACACGAAGGAAAAGTCAAATTCGCCATTGATCCTGCCTCGAGCGAGTTTTTCGAGGATGGAAAATACGACGTCGGTTTCAAAGATGGCAAGCCAAATCCTCAAAGCCCAAAGCAACTCAAGGATTTATACCATTCACTCCTCAAAAAGTATCCAATTGTGTTACTGGAAGATCCATTCGCGGAGAATGATTGGTCCAGCTGGACGGAATTCTGCAAAGATTGCCCAGTTGAACTAGTTGGCGATGACCTGCTTGTGACAAACAAAACCTACGTCCAAGAAGCCCACGAGAAAAACGCGTGCAATTCCATGTTGCTCAAGATCAACCAGATAGGCACGATCTCTGAATCTATTGAATCGTGAGATCCACTCGCATTTGAAACATAATCTGACATTACTAACATTTAACAGGGCTAACCTGGCATTTAGCTATGGTTGGAGCGTCTTCGTGTCTCATCGGTCCGGCGAAACCACTGACGACTTTATCGCGGACGTGGTTGTTGGATTGCGGACTGGTCATATCAAGTCCGGGGCACCTTGTCGCGGGGAGAGAGTTGCTAAATATAATCGCCTGATGGAAATTGAAGACACGCTTCTGGCCAAAGGAGAGAAGTTTGTGTATGCCGGTGAAATGTTCCGCTCCGCCTACCAAATCTAGGCCACGCAGGATGCCTATCGGTGCTCTAGTAGGCTCTATGGGGTCCCACTAACAGTGTGTTTGTCAGTAATATATATCCATTTATTATTGAAACGCGAGAAGGGCATGTCGATCATGAACTGCACTATCAGATAGAAGAGAACAATGCACAGATCATGGATGCGTTTCGCTTGTGGCAGGCAACACACGGTAGTATGGAAAAAGATAATGCGCATTCACAAAAAAGCAGTATAATTGTCACGACCTTCTTCGATGGTACTGCGAATCGCGGTCCCCTGTCCTGCAGGCCCATACTCGTAAACTCGCTGAGTGTAGCACGAAGGATAAGGGGCCTCACAGGTCGATCGAGAGATAGCCAGCGATTATGGCCATCATCCGAGCTCTTTACTTGTATTACTAACAGCCTCGAAAGACACAGAGGTGGTCCAAAGCAAAAATGGAGAAAAAGAGGAAGGACTAAAAGGATGGAAGCACCTCTTGACATATGGGATGCGCCAGTCCCGATTTTTTGGTCTGCCTATAATTGAATTATACTCGTGCAGGCCCAATGCCCTGAATACCATGAGTCACAACAGTCTCGACGATAATACGCATCGCTGCAGAATAGTGGTGCAACGCAGGCCAAGTGGCGGTGAAGTGCGGGTGGAAAGGCCGCCGTTTCTGGCCTCAGAAGCGATGAAGCGGTCATTTTCGGCGTCAATTTTACAGGTCCTCATATTCCCAGAAAAAAATGAGTCGGTTTGTACAGTACGACCTTCGCGTACTCACTCACTGTGACCAGATAGCAACGCGTAAGAAAAATATAGTGGTGGGTGATGGGCGGGCCCACTCGGAGTGAGCGGGCCGTATGCGATGGGTGGTGTGGTGGATAGAAAGATTATCGGGACAAGTCGGCGACCACAGATGAACGATCACGTACCACACAACCTCCCGACCCTGAGCGAGGTCCTCCATAGGCCGAGCTCTGGCGCTTTATCTCGGGGAAACCTTAGCGCCTTCATGTTGTAAAATAATTGCATTGAAATTCTGGACTTTTTAGAAGAGGAAAAGGTTTATAGGGAGAGTTATTGCGCAGTTTGCGTACAACTTGGTCACATTTCCCATCACTCCATTCAACGTCCTGGGGTTCAGCAACTCTCCCAAACGTTTGTCGATCTTGCCGGGTTTGGACTAAATTTATGGCAAATTCCAGAAATATGAAGATATAGGCCAAAAACACGCACTGGGCATGTTCCAGCCGAACTAATGAATCCTTTGTTGGCTTTATATGAGCCTAATAAGTAGTAAGGCAGTCCCAATGTTGTGAGTGAGCTGGGGCCTCCCGGCGCTTTTGGTCCTTGTGGTTGCTAGTTGCTTTCGCCGGTATTCCACTCTCAAGATATTGATTTCAGCTGACAGATACATGTGACTTTTGACAATGCAACCTTATATCCCCCCGGCAACTCGATAGTCCTCCCCGCCGTTATTATCCGAGAATTCAGAATCAATCACTGTGTAACAAGCGCAGATTTGCAAGTGCCCCCCAGTCTCCAAAGGTAGACTTTCTTTGTCGATAATGAAATTGAAAAGGTCAGATACGATTGAATTTTTCAAGTAGACAGAATGGCAATGCTCCGCAGCAACATCTGAGACAGTTTTCCAATCGTAAAAGGTGAAACGACCAGATACCTCTTTTTGAAAATCAATATCGAGGACGGCTACCGTCCCTCTAATGCTGCGACCTGATGGTGAAAGCCACAGACTCTCTAGTCGAGTTGGCTGCCATGTCGATGGCGGGCTGAAGGTAGAATTCACCGTACAAAAACCCCCTCCGCGACGAAGTTGAAAGTGAGAACCACGTGCCGGTTTGCCAGCTTCACTCACTCTTTCGGCGGATGAGAGTGACTCTGAAGTCAAAGATAACGGAGCATCTGCCGGGAAGAAGAGGTGGGTTTTCTGTGACAGGTCATCAAAATGCATCTTCTTAGTAACCACGCCATCCTGCTTGGGTCTGTTCTGTGGTTGATTTGGTTTGCATCGGAAGACTGATTTGTGTGTGACGGTCGAAGGTGCTGGCGAGCTGACCGAAAGCTCATAAGGTGAAGGTGGCCTTCTATCTGATCTTGCTGCAAGAGAGCAAGCATCGCTGTAACATTTTGTATCCCTGCGTACCGGACCCTGGAAATCCGGACTTCCTCGTACTGCAGAAGCCGTCATTGCGTAAGCAACATTTGGCACTCCCTGCTTCAGATCACCCGCAGAGCATTCGGATATGAAGGACTGGGATACAGCTGTAATCCAGCACAAGCGAATTTTCTGTAAGAATAAAAAAAGAAAAGAGAGAAGAGGCAGTAATTAGTGACAAGACTTGAGGAATCCGCTCATTGAAACGTTGGAATCATGCTCGTTGGAACGTGTCCTGTTTCGATGATGCGGAGAGAACGTGAATCTGGCTTAACGGACCGGGCGGACCGGGCGACCCGCCGCCCCAACTTGGCTTCCAATTAATGTTCGCTGCGTGGGTGGAAATCACTCGCTGGGCATTGCTGGAATGATGCGAGAATTGAAACGGACACTGCTGAAACCCCTGAACACTACGGCTTAGTTTCCAGTGGGAAGCCCCTGCTTATCTATGTTGAATTGTGTTATTGGTGCGACTGGTGGTGATGCGGATGACTGCGCGGCCGATCGTACCCCGTCAAAAAAATCACTTCGCTTCTAATCCTGGTAACTACGACTGAATTATGTCGTACGGGCTCGAAATTGAAAATTCTTATAAATGAACAATGAACTTCTCGATGGGAAATTTTTGAAGTGGATTGCTCAAGCTAATCTAATTGTAACCTAATCCCAAACAGAAAGAATTTGACTAAAATGTAATGGCGAGATAATACTTTTGCAGCAAAAGATGTATAAGGCTAGTTAGCGGTCAAACAAGTCGAAACCAAAGATGACTTTCGATGGCCGTCGTGACATCATTGCCGCCTGCCTTGGTACCTGACTGGATCTCCGTGCTTGCCGTCTTTACCGGATTTCCGTTTTTGTCGCTTTGATATACCGTTCCGAAACAATCGAGGACTCAATTCCCTGGCATGCTGAAGGGAGACCACCATGCCAAGGGCTTTCGTCTGCATGCATTACGAACCACGAACGTGCCCAGTGGGAAGTAAGATATTTGGTGGTCTAACTGATACTGAAAAATGCGTCAGGCAGCCGACAAGACTCAATATGAGGCGAAAGAATGACCAGGCGCCTCAAAATATATCTGGATATTTCAGAATCATCTGCTTCGCATAATCCAGCAGCACGTGGCCATATGTTCCTGTCGTTGGTTGCGACTCCAGGCTGCCAGCTGTCCCCACCTGTCAATGATTGGTGAAAACCACAGGAAGTTTAAATCTTTGAAACCATCTCTCAGCATGCACTCAAATTTCTCAATGATAACAGATTTGACAGACACAAAACCATGGCGGGTAGGCGAATTACGCTCAAATGGCAATCAAGCTGAAGGCTCTCGCGTTGGAATGGCTAACAATAGGACTTGTTCATGGAAACCTATAGAAGATGCGTTTAACTAGAATCGACATTTTAAACACCTAGCAGGCAAAGCAAATAGACTATGACAGGCCAATCGCACGGTGATCTTTTTCTATTACCTCCAATTGGATGTTTGTTCTATCTATCCATCTATAGTCAACAAATATCTCAAATTGATTATCTCAGTGCTTCGGTCGACTTTCGATCAAAACAGTACACGAATCCAAGTTCTTCATCTGGCAGGTTCAGAACCGGAATCCACTAAACCAGGTAGAACAGAAGCACACCAGAGCTTCGATTTGTTATCAAAGATGTACTGAACTAGTCATCTGCTTCGATATCGACAGTGCGAGTGGAAAGTACGAACCGGGTGGTTCCAGAGTCGTTACCCGGCTCCTTTTCGATTGCCAGCTTTGACAGCTGCCCAAGGAAGCTATCCATGTGCTCTTCGGCCTTGGTGCGAGAGGCGCGGCCCAGGTTATCGAGCCACGTAATTTTCGTCATGAGGTAGTACACGGTCGCTATCACGATTGTTACCCCCAGAGAGTAACCCCAGATCACCACAACTGTCACGATGCTTGTCGTACCGTCGGAAAATTTTGCGGAATCGGGAGGGCTCGTTTGTTCAAACGACCCTCCAGATAACCATCCAAAAACGCAAAACAAGGTGGCTATGATGTCAACCCCCAGGATAGCCCCCACTAACTGCCATGAAGGCCAGGTTTTTCCGCCACGCGTCACGAATATAAGCCAATTTTCTGTCAGAGACACTTCCAAGAAGAGAATTGGTTGCGGAGAACCCCAGTTCTCGATGATGCCTCCATTTTCAAGAAACATTGTGCCTCGCATTATCCATGTAGCCACCGCCAACAGTACACCCAGGACTACCGAGATGATCCAGATCTTTGGAAGCTGCCATTCCACCGGGCGCTGTTCGTAGTGAGCATTATCATATGCGACAGCGATCGTGGCCAGGTCTGCAAAGAGCGCAATAAACACAATCAACTCCGACCGAATAGTCTCGTTGATGATGAGCATAGAGGTCACAAGATATATCTCCAGATGTAGACATAGTGCAATCCGATATTGGATATATGCTTTCATACGCTGGAAGATCTGCCGTGCAACCCTTATGGCTTCAACAATCGTACTTAAGCCAGGTGCCAAGAAAACGATGTCAGCCGCCGCTTGTGCCGCTTCTGTAGCTCCTTCTACAGCAATGCCACAGTCTGATTTTTTCAAGGACGGTGCGTCATTCACGCCATCACCAGTCATAGCTGTCAGATGTCCCCGGCTCTGTAGCATTTCCACAACTTGGTATTTATGCTCAGGGAAAACCTCAGCGAATCCGTCTGCTTTCTCCACTAAGTCGTATTGACGACTTCCCGTAAGTCCGCCATGGATTAGCCGCTCAGAGTTATAGACTCTGGTGCCAAGGGCGAGCATCTTGCACGTCTCTTTGGCAATTGCAATGGCATCTCCCGTTAGCATCTTCACTGAAAGACCGAGACTCTGAGCTTCCTTGATGGTCTGAGCCGTATCCTCGCGGGGGGGATCAAACATTGGATATATGCCAAGGATTTGCCATGGTTCATTTTCCCTTTGCACTGCCACTCCCAGGGATCGAAAGCCACGAAGAGCAAATTCATTGGCTTTGTTTCTGAAAAGTTCTGCCTCCTCCACAGAGCACTCTGCAAGCTTCAGCACCGCTTTGGGAGCGCCCTTGGCACACGTGTAGCGAACTCCCTCGCAGGTACAAACGGTGGTGATCCGCTTGGAAACAGGATCAAACGGAGTATATTTCTGAGTTATCCAGTCCTTTGAAAGAATCTCGCGTGCTTTGGGGTACTTCCGGAGAGTGCGGATTGTGATTTTGTCGATCGGATCGAGATTTTTCACGTTGTGAGATGATGCGATGGCGGCCACCGCAAACATCCAATTTACGTCAACACCAGCGCATACAAAGGGTTCCCGAACAGAGAGTTTGTTTGCAGTAAGCGTCCCCGTTTTGTCGGAGCACAGGACATCAACACCCGCGAGCGATTCAATCGCTGTGAGCTTTTGCACAATAGCTTTCTCCTCCGCCAAATACGCGGCACCCACAGCTAAAGTGGTAGTAGTAACAACAGGCAAACCCACTGGAACTCCAACAATCAGCAGGATAAGAGTCCAATGTAGTAAATTATCGTCGCCGTTCTCCGGAGTCGCGATTTGCAGGTGACGGAAGAAACCACCAATCCACGCTGCGAGGATCCAAAACATCACCAGAACCAAGAGAGTAGTGCCGATGGAGTCCATGATGGCTTTGAAATGCCCTTGATCCTTCGCACCCTGTACCAAAAGAGCGGTCTTTCCGACGAAGGACTGCTGTGCAGATGCCACAACGATAGCGTATCCCTTGCCTCGCTTGCATCCGGTAGTGTAATAACAGATATCGCCCATATGCTTGTCCACCTAGAAGAAGGTTAGACATCACCCTCTAACTTGTTCAAAAGCGGCACAATCACTTACTGCAAGTGATTCGCCCGTTATGGCTGACTGGTCGGCCGCAACGATACTATTTTCATGATCGTGTTTATCACGTTCGTTGTCACTGTCATCTTCGTCGTCTTTCTCTTGTAAAGCATCATCGGTATCTTGGGCACGTTGCTCTTTGTATACTTCAAACAGTTCCGGTTGGTTGTAATCGCATATCAAACGTGCATCTGCGGGTATCACGCTTCCTTCCTCGAGAATGACCTAGCGGAGAGGGAGAATTAGCAACTGAGCAATGTTCTTTTCCATGGACGACCCCTACAATGTCTCCAACGACGAGATCACGCGCCAAGATCTCCTGCTCCTGGCCATCCCGAACCACCCAGGCTTTCATGGCAATGTCACCTTTGAGACTGGCCACTACATCTGCGGCCTGTTTCTCCTGATACCAGCCAACGATCGCATTAAGCATCAGAATCCCAATGATGACACCCAAGTCAATCCAATCGCGTAGTCCAGCGGCGAGGAGAGCAGCCATCTCCATCACTGTCAGATCGTTAGTGGGCCACATTTTTCTGCATAGAGAAGGTTCGCTGCTCACCATATAGAATTGGACCTTGGAAGTAACTGAGGAATTGCAGAAACATATTTTGACGTTTGCTTCCCAGCTCATTCCAGCCGCATTTCCGTCGACGAATCTCAACCTCGTTGGTTGAAAGACCCGAGTGTAAATCCGTTTCCGCCCAATCATGAGGAATGCTAACTTGGCCGTCGGAGGTTGTGTCTGATTTGCCCCTAGAGCGGTGCCAGAATTTCCACCATGGCCTCTTATCATCCGCATCTGCATCTTCGGTCTCCGAGACTGCACCGCTGGGTTTCTCACTAGCAGAAGATATATAGCGATTCAAAGCCACGTACTCGCTTGCCTCCATTCCTTCCCTGGGCCTTGAATTGTCTTCCTCTTGGTGAAAGGAAACCGACCGGGTAGGGTTCTGTTCAGACATAGTTTAGCGTATGTCCCAAGGAAACAAGTTGAAAAGCTGTACTGTGAAGACAGCCAGGAATTTTGTTTCGTAGCCTGAAAGTGGATGAACGGCTTAAGAATACCATCTTCTTCATTGTCGTCATTTCTTGGCATTGGAATCCTTGTTTATCAAGTCATGGGCTTGTTTTCAATCAGCTTAGCAAACTGATTGTCTGAGTGCTGATGTGCTGAAATGTGATCCAGGGCTTCCGGCTTACCCGTCCTAAGCGGATTCTACTGGCCTCTTGGCATCGCCGTTCCTGGCTTTCCAGACGGCACAGACCCATTGATGTCATTCACTAATTCGAAAGTATGCGGCCCAACCACAACGCCATGGAAAGTCAATTGGGGTCCTTGAAAGGGTGCACCCAAGCGAACTGGCCAGAAACACCATAACAAATGCGAGAGGTCAAAATTTCATATCTGAGCAACAACTTTTTAGCGCAGTCGCAAGTAGTGGAGTCCTTGGGTCGCGTCTCAACTGATTCATATTATTCACTAAGCGAATGAGCGCTCTTTGAACTACGTGACAAAAGTCAGCTTATCAAATGAGTCTATGCCAGCTTTTTCATCACTTAAATAATTTCACCGACGTGTAAATCTCAAGGGAATCTAAAAGCATCATGACAATCGTTTGGTTGTATTAGCTACCAGGCCATGCTGAGGTCATAGATGATCGACGTGAACTTTGCACTATGTTTCAAGAGGCCCTCATGGGGCTTCCAGAAAAAGTAATCCGCTCTGTTTCGGCAGGCTGCGCCCAAAACGCGCCGAGGCTTTACAAATCGATCTGGCCTCGACTTGACACCAGAAAGGGGAATGGTAGCCCCAATCGAAATGGATTGAGAATTCCACCATCTATACTCCTTTCCATGTCTCAGTTTTCATCTACCTGGGACTGTGGTTGTTGATGGAAGTGATCAAAACCCTACGCCAATTAACTGCTGCCGTGCAGAGGATACGATCATGCCAATAGGAGGAACTGTCCCGCGTAATCGTCACCGTTGTTGGTTCCATTTTTTACACAATTTTGTGCTTTGACGGAACGGGCGGTCCGGCATCGACGTTTCCTTAATCTGAAACCAAAACTTCCATTTGCCTCTTCCAAACACTCAACTAAAGATCGGCGTCATTACATCAGCATGACGGACTAAGTAACTGGTTGATGCCAAGAATCACTCTATAGACGATTGTGAACCTTCACACATTGTCGGAAGATTCATTCCTATAAACATTTTTCACTGCACGAAATTCTTGAATGATACATATATTTTTTGAAATGCCTTGCCAGGATGAAGAAGCCCATGCGATCTGCGCTCCTCCATGCTTGTTGAATGCTTTAAATCATAGAAAGAGAGAAAATGAAAGTAGGTCGGCCCTCCAATATGGGGATGAAGTCGGTTTTCTGGTTCAAAACTTGTTGGTTGACAGCACCGATGATGCCTACTTTGCGTACATTCCATACCTTGGATGTGCGTTAGTGTAAGGCAGCGCATTGACTTTTCTTTGACAGACAGGTCATCGCTCATATTTGGCTCTCCTCTACAAGTTGCCGTGGAGCATGCGGGAACTGCATTTTACAAGATTGGCGCTGACGGACAGCTGTCACCATGCGGAAGAGTGCCTGTGGTTGTTGCTGAATGCGGAGATTTCTTAAGAAAAAACGGTAATACTCCAATCTTATCTACCGGGCCCCATGCTTACAATTATGGAGCAACTGAAGTTGAAGGAATATTTCGGTTAAATGGGTCCTTCAAAAGAATGAAGCATCTACAAGCAATATTTGAAGATTCCAGTGAATACGGCGAAGGATTGGATTGGGCTGGTTTCACCGTCCATGATGCTGCGGGTATTCTTCGTCGATACTTGAACCAATTATCAGAGCCTGTCGTTCCTCTAAGCATGTATGAGAGGTTTAAGGGACCAATGATCAAATTCAATGATGAGAAAAAGTCTCCTAAGCAAGCAGATATTGGCGATACGACAAAACAGTTTGTCAGCACGTACTGGGAGCTTATCCGGGCACTGCCTTCTATCAACCAAGATTTGTTCATTTACATTCTGGACCTCCTGGCCAAATTTTGTTCTAAATCCGACTACACTCGAATGACAGCAGAGAATTTGGCCGCTGCTTTCCAACCGGCCATTCTCTCACATCCTGCGTATGAAAACATGAATACGAAAGCTGCCAGACAGTGATATCCTTCTTAATTCAACATCAAGCACCTTATCTCCCTATCAGTACTTCCATCTCATGAGAATCATTGGAAATTACACTACTCAAAGTCAATCACCTCATTTATCCTACCAAAATTCTCATGCCTCAGTTGAGGGGTAAATTTCCTACCCGTCTTAGCCGCCCCTGGTTTATGTAACCTGCGCAAACTTGAATTAGGATGAAAGGGATATCGAATTATACAATAGTTTTGTTTTATATTCATCTTTCTAATGTGTCAGCTTGGATGGAACCTCGACAAAGAAATTGTAAGACCTTTGTAACCTGTTCGTTGACCATGAATAAGATACCGCCGCTGCAAACCGTTCTTGACAGCCTCATTGATGTCCCGTACCAAAATCCTTTAAATCCATCTTCCTTCAATATAGAGACGAACGCATCTGATAGGCCAGATCCTTGTACACTCTGACAACGGGTTTTAATCACATCAACTGGCTGTGTGCCAATAGTCGCAATAAAGCCAGCAATGGCGCCGTTGCCGAAGTTTACCATCGTGCCTTGCGAAATATGACTCTGGGTTTCATAATCTTTCAGGATATTGTATGTTCCCATTCGAAGCGCCGTGGCAGACGATTGTCGCAAGGTGGTTCCCATATACCCGCGGTATAAGCCAGCAAATCCGCTTTCTCGAAAGATAGTACGTAGCGCGTGCAATGGTGAAGAGAAGCGCCGTTTGCTTCTTGCGTCATCAATCATAGCAATTTTCATTCGCTCAGCCGGAGTGCTTGCTAAGGTACTTGACACCATACCCGCACACATGCCCGCCATGATATTTTGGACTGGTGTCATAGTCCCAGTCTCTGGATCTTTGAATTTATTTTTGACTTCGTCGAAGAAAAGAAAGCGTACGCCGTCCTTCGCAACAGAGCCGGCGATCATTGCCGAGCATCCCTTGTACACGGCACGAGTGCCTTCTTGTTGGAATACATGGTGAATGATCCTCACAGGATACTTCATGACTTGGGGATTTCGCAAGTCGCGACGTAGTTGTACCCTTGTTTTTGCGAACTCAAATGGATAAGTGATGATAGACTCGGCTCCTCCGGCCATGGCACCTGATATAAAGGCGATGGCAGGCGATACCTGGGAAGTTGTAGTCTTTTTTTCAGATGACATGGTGGAAGGAATGTGCTCCGATAATGAATTGGTGAAAATAGGATAAGAAGCTGGACAATCCGGATATAGGTCACGAGGTTACAATGGCTGCAAGGATACAAATCTATCAAAATAATTGATAGATGCGATGCACGGTGGGTTGATCTCTATATACCGATTGCAATCGGTAACCTCCAGGCCTCTTCACAAAGAACCATATGTTCCTGAATGGGGAAACTCTTCTTTATATACTATATATAAAAAAACAGGTTTAATGAGATGTGCGATAATATATATCTAGTGGCACATACACAATTTTCAAATGACGTCAAAATTCCGAAAACGCTTATTTCTTGGGTACAATTATTCTCGTAGCTTAGCAGTAGGCAGAATTATTAGGTCGAACATTACTTGTTCGCCATGGCCCTAGATTTCTCCAGCGACCCAGACATCAAGTTTGAAATAGTCCACATCGGCCCTCATCAATATTTCATTATAGTTGAGGTCATCACCAATCAAGGATTCAAATTATGCCGATAAGAGGAATTGAAGACAATAGTCAAACTCTACAACCGTGGGTATCGGAGCGTACAGCTTAACGAGATTACTATAGATCGATGACGGTGAAGGTCCTAATTTAATCTAATATAGGTACGTCACAGGCTATTATTACTCAGCGTGAGACTACGTCAAGAACCGCAAATACATGGTTAATCAAGACCAAGACCACAAATATACGTGTTCGGCCGAGCTGAGAGTCCATGCAGCCCTATTCGTCATGTACAGCATGAAGATAGGTCTTTGAAGTATAAGGCTTACAATAATTCAAAAAGGTGGGAAGGCGTTGGAATCCCCATGAGGGTTTCGACTACCATATCCATGCATCTCTCTAAAGTACAGAACGTGTAATTACTGTTTAATGACGTAGTAGCTATGTATGCTGGATATACCGGCTGTAGCGGCAGAGCATATGGAATGACGTTCAAGGTGCACGAGCAAGGCGCCAGCCACATAGCACAAGTTTTAGTCAGAAAGGAGTCTCTTCGCAAATCTCCGCTGTTCCAAAATTCCGTAACGCTGCAGATTGTTACATTACAAACAGACGGAAAAAATCTCAGTCAGAACGCGATGCTACAAATCTGGCATTCTTCGAAGCACCTATCAAGTGCTTTAAACCGACTGAACTTATATTCAATTTCCATCAAAATTACGCAAAGTGCCAGAAACCCGCCCGGGGGCGACCTTTGGCAAATAAAATGCCAAAGGATTTCACATAGATGCTATCCTGGCCAGCAAACAAAATTCCAATCTCAGAGGACATTTTCGGGCTTTCCAGCGAGTGGCAAGAGGACGCAACGCAACAGTAGCGATAGCGTGGGTGGCCCCTTGATAGAATACGGCGCCAGAGTCCGGCAGGGCAGGCTGCAGGAAGATCATTACCAGCGCGGTATGATTCTCAAGTTAGCGGGCAACCCTGAGAACCTAAAAAATGACCTCGCTCGTACATAAATACAGGGATTGTTCATCAACTCCAAAGTCTCCACGAAGACCTGCATGCCTATGACCCACCTCAAGTGGTCGATCCGACGTTCCAAGATTTGGGCCACAGTCACTTAGGATCGGTCTTGGGGGCTTTGTTCGGCTACGACACTAAATCTCAACGCAAAGCCAACAAAAAAGATATTCCAGAGGGCTTCTTCATGTTTGGGGGGGTCGGATGTGGGAACACAATGCTCATGGATATGTTCTATGAGACATTGCCGGCGAACATCTCCAAGTCAAGAACTCACTTTCACGACTTCATGCAGGGAGTACATAAACGTCTCCACAAGATAAAAATGGAGAACAGTACTGACTGTGATACTCTATCCTTGGTGGCTGCTGACATCGCCGAGCAGTCAATTGTCTTGTGTTTCGATGAGTTCCAGTGCACAGACGTTGCTGATGCGATGATTCTGAGAAGGCAAGTTTCACTTTTTCTGGTCCTGCATATTTAGATCTAATCAAATCACCCCAAGGCTTTTTGGAGCTCCTCATATCCTATGGAGTCGTGCTCGTTGTGACTTCAAACACGCATCCTGATAATTTGTATATGAACGGTATTCCACGTGAGTCATTTATTCCATGTATTGAACTTCTGAAAGCTTCCCCCAAAGTGGTCGAGCTGGGTTCTGGTAACGATTATCGCCAAGTTGCTCGCTCGCCATCGGGTACTTATCACTATCCGCTAGGCACCGAAGCGCAGGAACATGCGCAGAAATGGTTCTCTTATCTGGGGGAGAAAAATGATCCTCCACATCATACTACCAAAAGAATTTGGGGTCGCAGGTTTCAAGTGCCTCTGGCTAGCGGCAAAGCTGTTCATCACAGCTTCAAAGAATTGGTAGACAGTTCTTTTGGAGCGGCGGAGTACATGGAGCTCGTGCAGGACTATAAATATTTAATAGTCACTGATGTCCCGCAGTTCAGATGGAGCAGTCAGGATCAGGCAAAAAGGTTTATCACTTTTATTGATGCAGTTTATGATAAAAAGGTAAGCAATTACACCGCGGACGTATTTGTTGAAACTCACAATAAGTTGATTTATTTAGGCCATTTTAGTTCTCACCACAGCAGTCCCACCAAGCAGATTATTCTTCGGGCTTTCTCGTGCAGAGCTAAACTCAACACCAAGGTTCAGTGGAGAAGAAGAACGTCTGGCATATATGCGTGCGTCATCTCGACTGTCAGAAATTGGGAGCGAGGATTGGATGAAGCGCTGGGGCTGGCGTGATTAGGATAACTGCAACGGGTCCGGGTGACAGAGATTTAATTTTTCAGATTCGATGACCTGTTATTATGTATTATTAGAGATAAACTACGCTTCTTTTCCATACACAATAAGTAGATGATGCGTTGTGGAGCAAAATGGTTACTTGAACCTGCTTCCCTAAACGTTGGAAGATAGGATATATTTATTGTTGATTACATATCCAATCTAACTTGCAGACAATTGACAGAAAGCAATGGAATCTGTCGGCAGGGCAAAGTTTAACTATATTAAAGGATAAGTACCGCGTATTTTCTATTTATTCGACTGGAAATGAAACCAGAACCGGGGTGTTGCTCCTTTGTCAGGAACCTCACTCACGTGCCTCTCCACGAGAGGCGGTTGGCCCAGACCAAGATGCGAGGCCGCTACAACGGCTCAATTTTTATTTAAGGAAGGGGCGTTGGAATATTTTTGCAGGGGAGACACAGTAGAAATCGTATTGTTCTTAAGGTATTAACAAATGTCAAGTATAAAGGAACATGAGATAAAACGACTACTTCGAATTCATTCTTATTCCGCATTTTGCATTTGAAGTCTGACGGAATGAACAAAAGGAAGAACTAACTGCTGATACGAAGTTCCGAAAGCCCATGTCATGCTATATTGATCGGCCTAGCAGTAAGCTGGAGACGGGCTATTTCCAACCATCTCTGGATCGAAGCCGGGTGAGAGCCTACAGCCACACTGGTTCATGGTTCATATATACAGCGTTTGATAGCTCATAATAGAACCACTGGAAAGAACAGAAACATCCCAAAACCGGTTTTATAAGTTGCTGTTTTGGATTTTCTTCCGATCAACAAGCTCATTTAGCGAAGCTGCCAACTTTCGCCAAACCCCGGGGGTTTCTTGAATTCTTTTAATGTTCTTTCATATTCCCGAACCTTTGTAATAGTCAATCACCTGTGACCTTGAGATTTGAAAAACGTGTAGCTGCTTTTCCAGAGTTTCAGGCTTGTTTTCTTCATACCTCGGGAAATGCTCTCAAATGATATCATCTTTCATGTATTTTTGGGGGAGGGATTAAAATTCTCATGGTAGTGTCGTCCAGATAATAAATGAATGAGGCATCCCGATTCCCGGGATTTTAGCAACGCCTCATTAGCTGATAGCTCAATTACTACATCCAATCTTTCCTGGCGTGCCTATAGCATTCGATCAACATCTTCAGCCTCGGACAGACTTCGAGGTATTCCATCTCACATAAAGCTATTCGCAGTAGATATCATTAGCCTACAGCGTCTGTGATAATGAAATGGCACCTTACCCGTTGGCGCAGTCCAGGTTATTCTCGATCATGTGCCTAAGTAGACTTGCCATGACTTGAACGGTGACCATACCTCCTTGCTCAATGATCTCCATCGAATCTTTACCCTCGGGCACTCGTTCCTTATGCGATCGCAATAGAATTGTTGAGGTCTATGCATTCGGTCCATGCATTCGGTCTATGCATTCGGTCCATGCATTCGGTCCATGCATTCGGTCCAATTAATATATGGTCTTTATTTGCCCCAGAACCTCTCATCTGAATAACGGGGACCAATGACTGCAACGTTGAACTTGGCCTTCGAAACATTCTCCCTAAGCGCCATTTCTCTCTTCCTGGCGTATCTTTGGCTCACTATATGGCTTGTTACGACGCGAGTATTGAAAATATCAATTCGCACGAGTTGAACCCTCTCATTATGAGGCAGGTGTGAGTGGAACATTGAAAATGGGTTAATTCCAGTTCCCAAACGAAAAATTGTCGAGTCCAACTCCGACAATACTTGTATAATCATCAACGTGCACATGAGGAAACCAAGATCTTAAGAGAAATTGCTTCCATGCAGAAGAGATCTATAATTTGATTGAGACTGGATTCGTGATTGACCCTAGAACAAGCTCGGAGGGTGCGCCGAAAACCAGGCCAGTAATTGCATTCGCTATTTCTAACTCACCCGGAATTCTTCACGACTCTTCTGTGTATGACTCATGCTTGAACGTCCATTCCTGATGACGGTGAAGTGACACACATGACAGATGGATTTAGTTTCTCGAGTAGGTCAATGTTAAATAGACGCAACCTTTGCTAAATGACAGCACTGGATGGGGCCGTCGTTTAATATCTAGTACAATGCTACCTGGCCAAAGCGACTCGATCCACGTACCTCTTGAGGACGATATTATATTGCCTACGACACAGCTGGGCTCATTGCATTTGTTTGAATCAGAAAGACAGAAGCTCCTTTGAATGAAGTGAAGAAATTGATTGCGCTGTCATACTTCTTCTTCCTCGGACACTGCTGTCTTTGTGGTAAGGCGATAAACATCATTGCCACTGGGCTCTGTTTCATGTTCCAAAGCCAATTTTGATAGATGCCCAAGGATATTTTCAATCTTGGTGTCTGCCTTGCTCCTGGACTTCCGACCCAAGTTATCCAGCCAGGATACATTTGTCAATACATAATATACCAGCGCGATGACAATGGTAACACCGATTGAGTAAGCCCAGATCACGACCACAGTGACCACGTCTACCCATCCATCAGATCTGAATTTAGCATGATCTGCCGGATCGCTGGTCTCTCCAGGCCCAGAAATCCAGCCAAAAAGACAAAACAATGTTGCAATAACGTCAACGCCAAAGATCGCACCGACTAATTGCCATGATGGCCACGTTTTACCTCCCCTCGTGACAAAGATGAGCCAATTTTCCGTCAAAGAGATCTCCAAAAATAAGATCTCTTGAACGGAGCCAAAGTTTTGAATAATACCGCCGTTTGGAAGGTAAAGAGTTCCGCGGATCACCCAGGTTCCCAGGGCTAACAAAACACCCAGAAGAACACTGACAACCCAAATTTTCGGTAATTGCCATTCAACTGGACGAAGCTCGATATGAGCACGGTCGTAGGCAACGGCGATGGTGGCTAAATCCGCAAAGAGGGCAAGGAAAACGATGAGCTCGGACCGCACAGTTTCGTTGATGATAATCATGGAGGTACTGAGGTAAATCTCGAGATGGAGGCATAAGGCAATTCGATATTGTATGTAAGCCTTCATGCGCTGGAAGATCTGCCGGGAAACCTTGATAGACTTGATAATAGTACTCAATCCGGGGGCCAAGAACACGATGTCAGCTGCAGATTGCGCAGCCTCGGTTGCCCCTTCAACAGCGATACCGCAATCAGCCTTTTTGAGAGAAGGAGCATCGTTGACACCATCGCCAGTCATCGCTGTAAGATGTCCCCGTTGCTGAAGCATTTCAACCACTTGATATTTATGCTCAGGGAAGACTTCTGCAAACCCATCTGCCTTTTCCACCATGTCGTGCTGTGCTGACCCAGTCAGGCCTCCATGAATCAATCTCTCGGAATTGTAAACTCTGGTACCTAGATAGGTTTTATTAGAGTTCAGTCGAGCTTGGTGTTAAGATACCTTACCTAGAGCAAGCATCTTGCATGTCTCTTTGGCGATAGCAATAGCGTCGCCGGTGAGCATCTTCACACTGAGCCCCAAATTTTGTGCATCGGTAATTGTACGGGCTGTGTCCTCCCGGGGCGGATCAAACATAGGATACATGCCAAGAAGCTCCCAGTCCTGTCCTTCCTTTTGGACTGCGACACCAAGCGAGCGGAATCCCCTCCGGGCAAACTCGGTGGACTTTTCCTGGTACAGCCTGGTCACTTCTTCTAATGGGTTGGTGAGTTTAATGATTGCCTTCGGCGCACCCTTTGCCGCAGTGTAGCGGACGCCATTTAACGTCGCCACCGTGGTGATGCGTTTAGATACCGGATCGAAAGGGGAATACTTCTCTGTTTTCCAACCTTGCCGAAGAATCTCCCTGGCTTTTGGGTAGCGCTGGAGCGTCGAGATTGTCACTTTGTCAATGGGGTCGAGGTTCCTGACGTTATGTGACGAAGCTAATGCCGCTACCGCCATCATCCAGTTAACATCAACACCTTCAATGACAAACGGTTCGCGGATACTGAGCTGGTTGGCTGTTAATGTACCTGTTTTGTCGGAACACAGTACATCAACACCCTACATGGCCCACGTCAGATTCATCACAACCTTCTCAGTGTATGATTGTACGTACCGCCAAACTTTCAATCGCTGTCAGCTTCTGTACTATGGCCTTTTCCTTTGCCAAGTATGCTGCTCCGACTGCTAGAGTTGTGGTGGTCACAACGGGCAAACCAACGGGCACTCCAATAATGAAGAGGATCAGAGCATAATGCAGCAGATTTTGAGAGCTGTCTTCAGGTGTCGCGAGTTTTAAATGGTGGAAGAATCCTCCAATCCACACGCACAGTATCCAAAAAATAACCAAGACCAATAGGGTTGTCCCGATTTGATTCATGATGGCTTTAAAATGACCCTGGTCCTGAGCGCCCTGAACCAGCGTGGCTGTTTTGCCGACAAAGGAATTCTTTGCGCTGGTAACCACGATTGCATATGCTTTTCCTCGTTTGCAGCCCGTCGTGTAATAGCACACCTCGCCCATGTACTTATCAACCTGTTAAGAATATTGTTAGTTTATGCATGCAATCTAAAATTGAGCAGATTCGAGATAACATACCGCCAAAGATTCTCCTGTCATTGCAGATTGGTCAATCGCCACGATGGAGGACCCCCAGGCTTCTTCCTTTCGATGGGTCGAATCTTCCTCACTTTTCTCCGTCGATATGTCGTCGTTTAAAGAGCTTTGCTGCTCTTTATATCTCTCAAAACCCTCTGGGTCGGCGTAGGCACATATCAGACGAGCTTCTCCGGGAACGGTGCAGCCCTCTTCTAGAATGATCTGCCATCGGTGAGTGAGGGGGAAATTTAATGTCCGTTTAGACGTACAATATCACCTGGGACAATCTCCCGTGCTCGTATCTCTTTCTCTTGTCCATCACGTACCACGAAGGCTTTCATCGCAATATCACCCTTCAGACTTGCCACAACATCTGCGGCCTGCTTCTCTTGGTACCAGCCCACCGTGGCATTCAGCATAAGAATACCAATGATGACGCCAAAATCTATCCAATCACGCAGACCGGCAGCAAGCACAGCGGCCATTTCCATGACTGTGAGGTGAAGATTTGTCAGTGAATACAACATTGCCGTTGGTAGATTGATTGAAAACGTACCATATAAAATGGGGCCCTGAAAGTAACTCAAAAATTTGAGAAACATATTTTCTTTCTCCGCAGTCAACTCATTCCACCCAACTTTCTTTCGGCGAAACTCAATGTCATTTTCACTAAGGCCATTGTGCAAGTTGGTGTCTAGCCATTCATCTGGAATGGTGAATGACTCTTCTCCGTTTGTGCTCTCAGTGCTATCATTTTTTTTGCTCGAAGTCCTTCGAAAGCGTCGCCAGGGTGCCCACCATGGAACATGATTCTCCTCAGCAGCTTCACCATTGCTTCCGCTGGGCGCAGAAAGGCGACGTGAATCACGAAGGGATGAGATGTAACGGTCTAGACCTATGTATTCGTCGATATTTGACGTATCGCTCGGGTTTTGGCCGTTTCCTTCCAAAGTGCCGCTTTCAATGTCATCAGCATGGGCAGATGTTCGTTCTGACATGGCGAGCGTCGGATTGTCCAAGAGGCAGTTTAAATAAGCAGTAGAGAAAAGAAGCAGCTTGTGACCACAGCGAAATACGGGCCTTCATTTTCCTTTAAATATTGTTCACTTCCTACTTTGCAACTAAGGGCGGCGGTCTGCTGAACCTTGGTCCATTCAATTAAGTCGGAAATTGTAGTCAGAGTCGGCACGGGCGGCCCGGTGCGGGGAGGCTCTGGCGTTGAGATGACATCGTCTATTGTAAACGCATGGGTGCACGCCAGATCTGCGCCTTGTTTCATCATTGCTCGCCGATGTTGCCTGGTGCGGCAGAGTTGGGATGTAGCTGAGAATTTCAGTATCTGCACTGACCAGACCATAGCGCTTTCATATAGAATAGGTCACTAAATGGCAGCTGCCGACGAGACAATGCTGAAATACTCCGGTTGATCATATTTTCATTCAAACTAGAACTGTCGACCTGTACCCCAGCCCCCCGTTTAGCTTCCAGTGCCAAGATGTTCCATTATATCCGTCTTGGGGGTTTCACCTCGCATAACAAGATGTATAGTGGATTCCAAGAAGAATCGTGACCTGATGATGAATCTGCACTTTTATCTAACTCTGTCGTTTTCGTGCGAAACCAATGTAACCCTCGGAACCAATTAGGCAGAATCATGCTAGAATGGGAGCGGAATCACTCTCATCTAGTTATGAAAATGTGAAACTCCATTTGTTTTTAAATCAAATAGCATTTTCAGGCAGTTCTGATCTGATCGAGGCAGCCAAGAAAAGTAATCCGCTAGTAATATAGGTTCACCAGAAGGCCAAGGGCGAATCAAGGGAGACCTGTCATGCATTGGAGTAGGCTCGGCCAAATTTCACTGTCGCAACTAAACTCTAAGGAAATCGGTCTTCAATCTCGATCAAGATAGTAGATGTATGAAGCCATACCTATAGTCATTTTATGGGAGCCAGCTTGTTAAAACTTATTTCGATTATCTAGGACCTCAGTAGCCGGCCCGCGCGAACTGACACTTCAAGTTTGGGGTAATGATATAACGCAATGTCTGTCATGATGTTATTTTCGAGTTCCTTGAGATTTACACGTCGGTGAAATTATTGATTGATGAAAAAGCTGGTATAGACTTATTTGATAAGCTGACTATGTCACGTAAATCAAAGAGCGCTCATTCGCTTCGTGAATAATATGAATTAGCTGAGACGCGACCCAAGGCCTCCACTACTTGCGACTGCGATCGGGAGTAGCTGGAAGCGTTCATGGTTTGGCGGTGAATTTTTTTACACACCAAATTGTCAATAATTCAAATTTTCCTCGCATAGCTTCACTCCAACGTCGATCGCGTGTCCTCACGAGATTGGGCTGATTAGTAGAGGCTGCAGTATTTTCTCGAAGGTGACGAAGATAGTAAAATGTCTCGTTACAGAGAGGGCATCGCGTGTCTCTATCACAGACCTAGGTGTCTATACAAGGTCGGTGAAAGAGATGATCGTATGGCAGTCTTTGTAGAGAGCAAGCCGTTGGCAAATCCTTTAGGCATATTATGCACACATCTGGCACTGGATAATGGCCTTTAGGTATGTGAGTCATTTTTCAATTCTTTCTGCTTTTGGTTTCTCACTCACCTGAAAATGATGGGGGGGGAATGTTTCGACACGGGGCGCTTGCGTCGTATCCACCTCGTATTTGGATGAATACGCGTTAGATATGGTGGTTGGGGACTGCTGAAGCAGACTATAGTGATGGTTGCTTGGTATCTCGTGGATGTAGTCGCTAAAATATGCCAGTTCCAATCCATTATCTTTTCGATATATTTTCCTTGTTCTTACTGTTGATCGTCGAAGGCAAACCAACTTTTCCCGTGTATCGATGATCGACTGAGCATGGAGTAAGACCATGGCGAAAAAGCACTGGTTAGTTGCATACATCTCACTTCTAGCTTCTTACCAGTGACAAAATAGCTTTCTTACAGAAACTCCGATCATGCTTTGCCATTCTTACACACCAACGATCACAATGTGAGTAGATAAAACCACTTCATAGTGCCGGAGATAAATACGAACCTGTTCACCCTAATACAGGTTCATCTATCCAACAAGAGCAAGAAGACTCAAATGTTGATCCATATGCAGCACTCAGTGAGATTGCCGCCCCTAAACCAGTCGAAAGGTCGAAAAGGTCTACAGCGGTAGAACTGGCATGATGTCCTTCTCTAGAACAAGGATATGCGAACTCCATGGGTGACTTTACGGGAATTTCAGCGAAGTAGCGGCCCCTGAGCCTGTGGAGAGGCTCACAGAAGAGGAGATGACACGCCACCCTTCGTTGAAAAACCGCCTTTCGAAGATTTCTCACCATTTACCTCCCACTAGTTGAACAGCTGCTTTATTATTTATGTCTCCTGTATATTGCGCTTCCTATCTATCATGCACTTGTTACCAAGCATTCACGCTACGATATGATGCTTATCTCCGTGTTCTTCATTGCAACAATCTTTACAAACATGTTTACGATGCTCGTTTTATGTGGAAGAGGAAAAAATGAGAGGGGAAATTGACGTGATTCTCAAAACAAACGGGGATATTTCAAAATCGTCCAGAGAGACAGGGTTTGGTTCAGCTTTGATAAGTTCTGTGGCGGTTGGGTCGGGTCAGAGCGCAGTGCAATGGGAACACCAGACATGGTATTAACCTCCTTGCTAACAAGAACTATGCTGCTATGCAGAAAATGACGTAAGGTGCCGAAGAGTATTTTTAGGGTCTAGTCATCAATTGGGTAAAGAGCGAAGGGTCGTTCCCAATAGTCCCCCAGCCTGTGGGGCGCGAAAAAAGAGCTGTCTAAGCCTGTGACTAAAATTTTTCTTTAGTAGTCTCAGCTGTAGAAGGCTCCAACTTGACCTGGACATTCAATGGCACCAACTGGCGGTGTGAGGGGTTTTGACCATAAGTCCACTCTACATTATGGGCACTCTGGAGTTATCCAATATCCAGACAGAGGAATTGACACCTACTTTTGACACTTCATTGACTTTGAACCGTCTTTAAAACCTAGAACATACATACAATATGGCTTTGTCATCCACCCTCCCTACCAATGCGACATGTTTTTTTTTTCAAAAGATTTTTGATAAGCCATAGAATTTATTGATAAACTCCACATTTCCCCCTAATCATTTGAGGTGTTGGCCGTGGCTCTAGGTTGTCTTATCTGCTTCGTCCATCCAAAGCATTGGTCGAATGCTGGAAAGTGAGTCAGTCCTACGCAAAGATAGAGAATAAGCTGGATAGAGCAACGAACTAGAGATTTTGTGTTTTTCACAAGCATATCGATCATTCCTTTTCAAAACTGCAGATGCTGCCAAACCCTCGCGGGCCGCCGGTTCAAACTGGTATAAAAGTCAACGATAAGAAATAAACGGAGGTGGCAAAAGGGCGACACACATGATATACTTTGTCATTTTTCTGACGGAATTCTAGATCACAATCGTTGCACTGTAAGAAAGGCCGTTAGTGTTTGCTCATTCTTAACACACAGCACCCACCATACCAGTTCTTTATGATGGTCTCGGCAAAAATCCGCGTTATTTATATTGATTGATCCCGCCATCTCAATTGGTTTGCTGGAAGAAAAAGGGTCATTAATTGTATCAAGAAAAGTAATGGGATGAGACTGCATGTTAGGCGTGGGCTATGCGGTCAACCGATTTCCGTGGGCTTTAAAATGTATCCTCATGCGCAGGTACAATGACGTGAGATCTCACCAGTGAAACTTTTCTAAGCTGCAGTAACCCAAAAATTGTGTGTCATTCGGAATCTCCGGGCTTGCCGTCCTTTCCGAGACACCTTAAATGCCTACCAAAAGGCACATTTTACTTTTCTACTAAACTCCCACGAGGGAAATACCTGTATTTCCAACCCAACTTTCAGTTTTTTTTTTTTTTTTCCGTTTTATCCGCTTGCGTAATTTTTTCATCACCTGATCCTGGGAACCCAGTTATACTATGGTGTTCCAGCTGCGCAGCTGGCTGGCTTACATCGCTTACTGATTACGTTACATAATCTTATGGCTTAACCTGGATTTGAGCCTGCGTAACCGCAATTTATCCAGACTTGTGAAGCAATCTTGCAACAGCTCGGAAAGTGGAAGCTCATATACGGCATCCTCTTTCAAGGAAATCAAAAGCATTCGGTGCTAAAGACATGTCTCGAAACTCAAATGTTTTCTGTTAGGCATCAATCCTTGCTTCGACGCCATTTAGCTGCGATTTCACCATACAGCGACGTTTTTCGACATCCTTATCCTCCCCGGTTCGGACAGGTCAGCAGTGCTGTCTACTTGTGTAGACATGTAATACTTGAAGTGTCTTATCACGACTACACGAGCTGGATAGCCCCATTTCTGCGTAAGCTGCATTTTTTGCAGATGAGAAGCCACCCAATCGCTTCCGGGGGCCTGTCATTTCTATCATCGTACCAAAGTTGGATCACTGATGCCCACGTTGGCATGCTTTCCGACCAGGGTTTCAGAGAATCTGTAAAGCTGGGCAAGGAGTTCCATCACAGGTATTCTCAGCATTCCACAAAGGCACCTCATCAAAAGCCTATTTTACATGTCTGGACCGACCAGGCAACGCGTTGCCGCATTTCCGCAATGGCCTTTGCTAATGCATTCGCGGGTATTAGAGGTATATTTCACCCTGTTTACCACCGTCTGATTGCAAATCTGACACAGTTATGCAGATTCAATGATGAACAATGAACGAATTCATCAAGCTCAAGGTCCGGTTCGAGTGCTACATTCTGAAAGGGGATCTCGGTCGTGTGATAGTTTGTCCTGGCATACAGCTTTTTCTGTCGACCAAAAGGGTGGGGTCTGATCAATTTGCACAATTGATGGAAATCACAACTCAAGCAGCCCTAGAAAGGCTAAAATGGGACTGGAATGCACCAGACGCACTTCAACCCACTGACATTTACGCCATGCAATTGCTCCATTACTATGATCTTGTGTCTGAAAGACCATCCCCATTCGAAACATGCTTTACCTCGGCCGATTGGGAAGGCTTTGAGTACCTCAGAGACACCAAATATCACTTCAGTGAAGGCTACGGCAGGGCCTATCCAGGGTTCTATGCCATTCCGTGGTTAAAAGCTTGTTTGACGACTTTGAGGGATCCGGCGCCTCTAATTCTAAGTTGCCCTTGCGGGTGGCGTTCACACATCGCGAAGAAGTTCTTTACCTTTGCTGTCTGCTTGGTGTAAATTATGAAAAGGGTTGGCAACCCAATATTGACGATATCGATGCAAGTCGAGCATGGAAAACTTCGATTCTCGCGCCATATCTCGGTCATGTCGGCATGGAATCTTATCTCGGGAACACAAGTCAAAAGCGGGTTAGGCTTATTGTTAATGGTCAAGTACGTTCAAGTTTTCATGGCATGTTGGAGCAGGATAGCGATGGTGGCTACGACCTTGACCAAGTTGATCAGTGGGCATCGATGCATTATAGCGAATGGGAAGGTTTTAGCAAATCGTCGATCACTTTCCTTAGGTAGGTCTTTGCACATTGATAGGCTGAAGGTGTGCCGTATGTATTGCGCGGGGCTCGAGGCTTGGACAGCATATGGGCCTCTAGAATCTAGATTATAATGGCGAAATCACAATACTCCCTTGGCGAGATTTTGTAACCACTCCCATATATCATAAATGCCATATAATGCGTGTAATAACTTCTACACAAATAGCTCCATTTTTGAGTGGATTTCTGGGCGAATACAGAAGAAGGTTGTCCCTTTGATCCCCTACATTCCAATTGGCCCTGGATACAAAAATCACTATTTGGCATTTATGGCACCCTGTTTCAATAAAAAACGCAGAATTGGTGCTTTAGGCGTCAAAGCCTGAAGTACGAGCTGGCAGAACTTGCAAACTATTTTGAAGGGGACAAAGATCTGTACTCCACTCAAATTTACTCGGACGCCAATCCTACATATCAACACAGATGCTTACATGCTAGGAGTGTACGCAACGGCTTTATGCTTCCGAGGTGTCGATTTTAATCTCTATCAAATAGGCAACTGTGTTGAATGTTCTCCTATATTTTTATAGTTTAAGAACACTCCAAAGAGAGTTGTGAGACCTCAATATCCAAATGTCTCGAGATTCTTATTTATTCGGTTTTGGCTCTGGAGATAAGATGGCATTATCAGCGCGGAATTGGACAGGAAGATGCTTCTCGCCTCTGAGATCTATCCCATCGTTGCTTGGTTCTAAGATTTTGCACCGCTGTAAATTGCCCTGGGACACCAGGTTCGAGGAAGCTCTTCGCTTCTAGCTTACCTGTGCGTCATTGCCTACTAGCTGTCCATGATGCCCACCCCGGTCGCGCAACGCTAACCCATTCCCTCATTTGCCCGTGCGCCGCGTCACACGGAACATCAAAAATAATTGATCGTAACTACCCATCAGTGCGCCATCACCACCAGTGGGTCTTTCAATCCAAGAGCAAACGAATTGGCTTTACACCACAGCACGTAAATCTCAAAAAGAGATTATTGCGAAGTGGAACGATGGCAAGTTGCTTTCGAGTCTCAGTGGCAGGCTGACTTTGGACTCGCTCTGGTCACTCGGCGGATGAAAAATATTGCAGTGTTTGACTCTGCATATGTTTAAAATCGGAAAACCATAAATGATGTACATATCTATATTCTAGCACCAACCATTGATGACGTATATAGAGTATGATTTTTGGATGGGCGAGGAAAAAGAGCATTCGAGTTGGTTTATCAGGTGTCTACCGAGTCACACAGGTTTTCTATACATAGTATCATCGCTGATTGGGTGCGAAGAATCCTAATATGAAGCTATTCACAAACTTGTCCGTAAATATCAGCCATGTTTTCTCGTCTCTGCATTTGGCCTGATCGATGATCAACTGGCCTGAGAGTTTGAGACAGATCTTTTCACAAGCGCTCTTCTCGTTGCTTCTTTAAGAGCATCCTAGCACGGGCGGAATCTGGCACCCCGCCCGACTTTGGGTCCAAGATTATTGAGACTGTTCTGTCAGATGAGGCCTTGGAGCGCTAATGGCGGCAAGAAGTGTGCGATATAGCCAACCAGCTTAAGCATCGTCGAACTACGCTTCGGGAGAGGCTGGAGGAATTGAACACACCAGGAGACTGGCGGCATATCACGGATCAGAACGGGATGTTCTCTTGAGAGTCATCAAGCTTGAAATCACCGAAGTTTGTCTTACTGACCTTTCTTAGATATGATGGACTCTCTGTGAAACAAGTCACTCTCCTCCAAAAGGAGCACCATGTTTATCTTCAGGACTCCGGGAGGATATCTATTGCGTATGTTGAATGAGATAATTTTGGGAACATGCGCCGAGCTGACACCTCTTGCCTTTAGTGGGCTCAACAAATTTAACATCGATCACACTGGTCGCAGTATCAACGCTGTCATCAAAGCCACAACGCCTATATGAACTAGCAGGGTGTTCGCTAAAAAGGCGTTAGATATAGAATCATAAAATTCGTTAGCTACGGACAAACCACTACAGAATCGTCTCTCCCTCTGTCTCCATCTTGCTTTGTCCCATTTATGGAATTAATCCCATATTTCTTTTAGACTTATTTCCACGGGTTTCATCAATAATATCCGAAGAAACAAGCTGCATAAGCTCACTATCATTCGCAATAAGCAACGTATCCTCACCGCCATGCTTGAACTCTGGCCAAGCAAAGTACCTCTCTTTATTGGGATTAGCTGGAGCATCTCTAACAGCAATACGGCCACGTCCCTGGAGAGGGTCTTCCGCAAACGATAACCACAGTGCCTCCATCACATAGCTGACCTCCTACTCAAGTTTGGTAGAGCGATCCAGTATTCGTCGTGTGTACCAAAAAGCAGTGGCAGCTCTGAGTTTTGGTAGGCTCCAAACCAAGGCAGAGGGGAGATATTGGAGAAGTTTCAGGCGTACTGGTAGCGATATATTGGCAAGCCTCCCAGATTGTGATTCTTTACTTCTATCGCGATGGGATATGAAATGCTCTTTGTTTCGGATGCTAGTGCGGCAGCTCTAGGGCCATTGGGGATGAACGAAACAAAGCCTGCTTGTTCATTTGTGTTGCTACTGATAATCATGGGCTGGAGAGAGAGAGGGTTAGTATGTGGCTTGAAATATTGAGATTTGCGATAGGTACTAACCGTCTTTGCAGTCTTGCCATCCAAATTACGTTGTTTGTAATTTTCGAAGACAGTCATGTTGTCCAGGATGGGTGTAAAAGAGCTAGATGGCTTGGTGCTGTTGCTATTGTAATACGATAAAGCGTTCTCCAGAGTTTGGGCGAAAACCGTTCGCACACATCTGAGCTCCTTGTCGACACTGAGATTACCGCAGCGTACCAATCCAGCGATGAAGGTAAAATTGGTATGCGCTGTGTCGTTGTTCGTGATGATGGTCGGGCCCGCCAGAGTTCGCGATAAGACCGGCAACGATAGGATCATCGGGATATCCGTATGGGTAGGTGCTGACGCTAAATTTCTCCAGCCAATTGGCCCCAAGGGATGGTTACCTCCGGATCACCACCAAAGTTTCCGACGTTGGCGTGAACCCATTCGACACTGTGGTATCGCTTAGTATCGAAAAGTTCCGGCAGAGCGTGTGGGGTTTTTTTACATCTTTTACCCCCCGTACTGACTTTTCTAAATTGATTTCGATTCGACCCGGCGTCCAATTCTACAAGTTCATCGTTATGAAACTATCCACCATTAATGAGCTCTCAAAAATTACGATGACTACCACCAATGGTCAAGCGAACCCCTGTTTCTGCGCAACGATCCTGTTTCTTCTCTTCCAAGCGGTGACATCCTCATCCTGGCCTTTTGGCTTCGTTACAACAAATTCAATTTCATGAAATCTCTTCAGCCAAAAGTCGGCCCATAATAATCACACGAGGTTGCAAAATATGACCTTCATGGCAACCCCTCGGCGCGATTTTTGAAATAGATGTCATTGCAACGAAGTTTGCCTTTTTGGAAGGGTATCGGTACCTGAGATAAGCGATCCCGCAGATCGATTGGATAGACGTGTCGCTGCGGTTATGATCTGTCGTCACCCACTCACGGCACTGCCCTTTGTGACTCTTAACTTCTCGGACGAGTGCCCCAGTAGCAAAAACTTGCTCCTCACTCGTACCATATTCTCCTACTCCAGATTTTCTACATTCAGTGACGTAAGACTGCATGCTTCCGCCATTTCCGTGTTATCCGGATCAGGACGGCAGTCGGGACCCGTTCTAATCACCAATAGCGTGGTAGCCAGTGCTGGCCTCCAGTGATTGCCTGGCAAATAAGGTAATTAATAGCCCCACTTCGTGCCGTGCTAGATCACCGGTCATTCCTTGTCATCAGTTCACCGGGAATCTGATGGTCGCTGATCCCTACGTAAACTGACTTCATATCAGGGAAGTCCGCTGTATAAAGCCAGTTCTTTGATAGCGAAGGGGTACCTTGTTATTGTGATTTTCATCAACTACTTGACATAAAAACTTCTTACACCTGATGGCTACCGTCCCCATGCAGACTTCCTATTCTTCACGATACGAGGTAGACTTGACGCAGATGCTTGTCTATGAAGGGCCACCAGAATTCCTACCAGGTGAGTGGACAACTAGAATTACTGAAGGCCTCGTTAGACTGATATATCCACAGAGCAAGTCCCTCCTGTGCCGGAAACTTGTGTCATCTGCTTGGAGGTACTGGGACAGACGTCTATGTACCGGCAACTCCCATGCAAACACCTTTTCCATCAGCCTTGCATCGATGACTGGATCTGCAACCGAGACACAAAGTGCCCTATTTGCCGCGAAACATTTTATCACTTAAGACATCTTCGAAACAAAGGAAATACGCCAAGAAAGTCATTGAGTCGCGAGGAGATATCCCGCAATCGCCGCGACAATGATGTCAGTTTTGAAAGAATCATTTCTATAAAAATTTGGTGCAAGAAGAAGCTTCGTGGACATGGTGTGACAACGACTGTGAACCCCGTATAACCATATAATTGGGCTCACGATGTGCATTTGTTGTTGAGAGATATGATTGTATGGTAGTAACGACTTTATGAACTAAATTGACGAAATCATGACAAAAGTACTTGCATATCGCTAGCTGCTCATATATAGCGAGCTCCTAGGTCTCGGTAGACTACATAAGATATATCTTTGAATATATGCTCAGCTGAACATCGCAAACCCAACTAAACGCTAGAGTTTTCGTGAGTTTTCGCAGTGCCAATCAATTGCCTGGCGAATTGGAAAACTTTTATCTTTCAAGATACGAGCTATTGCCCCACCGGAAGAGGCGTGGCAGTAAAGCCGCTTGACGTAGCCTAGATCTCAATCCCAAATGGGTAGCTCGCGCGAATCAGCGGACCAGACATCAAGGCATCTGGACTTTCTCCAATCCGTCCGACCGATCAAGCAGAACGCGGCGCACGTCCATCTAATGGCGGGTAAAATGATCGGAAGTCTTATTGGACCGCAAAGTGCATGAAAAGAGCCATGATGAACAGGAGGAGGAACTTTGATCTGGGGCAGCTTTGAGCCTGCTTTGTTTTGGCAACGGGGAGAAGTAGGAGTGGAATCGCTGGCGACCCATGCCTATCTTCGAGGAGTCCATAGTTTGTTTTTTGGCACTTCATAGCCTGACATTTCATTTCCAAAAGTTGGCCTCTTGCCCAGAATGATATCTTGTTTATATGTTGTTTTGATTCGTTCCTGTCCTTTATTCTCAGCAGGTAGTTTGATTTACAGTTAAACCAAACGTGATCCGTCCGTTATCGTTTCAATTAGAATATTCAATGAGGAAATCCTTACCTGGCTCTCACATAGTCTTTCTCCTATGTCTAATACCAAAGTACCTTGTTTGCCTAGTTAACCCCATGACATACAGGAAGAAAACCAACCCATGTTTTTACTGAATTGCCAAAAGAGCACTAAAACCTGGCTTTAGTAGACTGCATCCAATAATAAACCCCATCGCGTATTCTCGTCTTTGTGGTGCTCGGCTTTTTCGTGCTGAAGGGCAGACAGACCGACTCTTAGCAAATAGCAGTGCCTCGGCATGGAAGTGAATTTGCAACGGTCACATCGGGAGCGTTCTACAGCCATTAAAGGCGTATTTTCAATTAGAGTAGACAGTTGATCTATTCATGTGAAAGTGTGTATAATCAAAGCCTCAAGATTACGCTGCACCCCTCGCACCTAGTCCTCTTCCATGTCCTTCTCCTATGGATCACCAACACTTCGATGTCACCCACTTCACGGGAAATCATCCGACGCAACGGCCAAGTCCGCTGCTGCACAGCTGTTCTAATCTTCAAGCACGCCTAGCAAATTCTGTCGAGTCCTCTCCAAAGCAGACTCAAATGCGTGCAACCGAGCAAGCTGGTCGTCTTGCCGGTGCTTCAGGTGGTCCGCCTCGCCGCTGTGCTGAGCATTGCCGGCCCGCAGGATCTGGTTCGCTTCCTCAAGGCGCTGGATGTCGACGCATTTGATGAGACAGGACTCCCACACGCGTCGAAAAAGGCCCAAAAGACGCGCGCCCTGGGAAGCAAGCTTGGGGTCTTCTTGTTCTAAGCGCTGTAATGTCTCCAGAACTGGTTCGAAAGGGTCTGCGGCCAGGGCTTGCGTGTCGCCCGGAACAGCCTATGGGGATGAAGATGAGTCAGCGGAAGTTTCATGGTTTCGGGACAGACTTACCAGCGAGGGAACGGGAGAACTATGCGCCGCGTGTTGCTCGGTCGGATCTCTGCACAGCGGTCCGCGTTCCTTGCTCTGCCGTCGGGCCTGCCGATGCTGGTTCGTTTGGGCCGTCCATAATGGATTGGTATTCTGGCAATCTAGGGTGGTCTCTACTCTTTTAAGGACTCGTTTGGTCGCCAGAATTATGAGTGGAACTACCCTAGAGCAATAGACGGAATTGCACTTTCAGGGCAAAGATTTTACGTCGATCACAGCACCTGACGTTAGATTCCAAGTTCATTGCACCAGGCCTTCGCTCACAGGCAACGGTGCTTCACTCTCCTTTCCGGACTGGTGAGCGGCCATCGCATTAAACGTTGAAGGCTATCGCCGCGTCTGCCTACCGTAACCTTTGCGCGGTGCCAACTGACAGCGCGCTAAATCTGGCTCTCTCTCCCCGATCAACGTGGATCGATCCTCTGCACCGCCACCCTTCACCTCTCTTACTTGATGTGTCCTCGCGACCTTCTATGCCTCTGAGATCATGTCACTCATTTTCCGGTTCAATCGAGATTACTGAACCGCGGTCTATCAATAAGCCCTCAGATTGATCTTGGTCGCCGCCTCCAGCGTTGAAGCAACGCGGTCCAGAGTAGTGTTCACCGCCGATGGCGACCCACCGGGACCCACACCGACCTCAAAGAAAGAGCGGTTGTGTGGACAACAACCAACTATCGTTAAGCATTAGAAGTTTATGTTGTAGCTTCCAAGAAGCCATCGATGTAGCCAAAACTCGGCGCTTTAGTTTACATCGCCACTTCGGGGCATTTGGTGTAGATATGGCTGCATTACTACAACGGACTGCTTCAACGGTATCTGGCTGGCCGTCAATCGGCGTGACATGTTTAAGCCTCGGCCAGTTTCTGTAGAGACTTACAATAAGAATGAAAGGCGGGACTGGCCAGTAATTTATGGCGGCCTATCAATTTACTTTTCATCTTGACATGAAAAGTGTGGCAGGTTCAATACGGTGCTTAGCGACTTTTTGGTCGGGAACGGCAGGGTGTGATCGCAATTAATGTACGGCATAGGGGAGTATACAGGAAGATTATCACCGGATAACAATATAGCAACCACTCAATGATTTGAGGTACGTGGACCAGACAGAAGAGAGATTCGTTTGTTGTTACGGTCACGTCCAGCAGCTGGAGCTTCTTATAAAGTAAGCATATCCTCCGTCCTCCAGGATCATTCTTTCCTTTCCTCATGGTCTTTCGGCATCTTAAGTACGTTTGATCACTAATCACAAGCTCGTCGCGTTTGGATCTCTTTTCCAGATATTTCAGACATGCATCCTCTATCAGTCGCAATTCTAGTCATCATCCACGCCTGCTCGTCTAGAGCCGGAATATTTGAGGTCATAGATTACGATCGCCGGTGTTTGATATGGTCCAATGGCAACTATGGTTGCACAGGTTACTCTGCACCCTTTGCGATACTAGATGGAGATGATTGTTCAAGTACTTATCAATTGCCTGTGGCAAATATAATGTTGTTGCTAACAGCTTGATAGAGCTCAGTGAGCAATATTCTGCCCTCAGTGTTGACGTATGCGGCACAGAGGATGGTTCGCCGGCTGCTTGGATACGGGTAAACCACACCGGGGAGGTTACTTTTTTCAATAAGAACGGAAACAGCTCGACCTGCGTACTCAACCAGGGACTTAAGGCTGGTAGCTGGTGTACTGCAAATGAATCAGAAGTATTCACAACGAAGTTCTTCTCATCTTCCGCATTGTCGACTGCAGATTCTATCACCAATACGTCACTGTCCGCCACTGCCACTCCATCTACTGCCACTCCATCTACTGCCACTCCATCTACTGCCACTCCATCTATTGCCACTCCATCTACTGCCACTCCATCTACTGCCACTCCATCTACTGCCACTCCATCTACTGCCACTCCATCTACTGCCACTCCATCTACTGCCACTCCATCTACTGCCACTCCATCTACTGCCACTCCATCTACTGCCACTACCCAAAATGAACTTAACACTGTTCTTTGTCATGTTATAGTGTATCCATCATCTACCATGACCACTAGCTGTTCATCTCTATAATGGGAAAACATGAAATGAGAAGCAGTCTTGATTATTGAGACTACTGTGCTCGCTCAAAACTAAATAGCACTTGATTCCGCACTACGTTTCGATGACATTTTTACAACGCGGCTGAATTTCACGAGTGATGTATCGACATAAATCTAGCTGAAGTTCCATTCTAGACGCTGAAAATACAGTAGTAGATTTCATTTACACTGACCCCTCGCAAAGCGATATGCAGTATACGACGACTACATATCCGAGTATGTACATATAGATTGATCTACTTTCTGACATGAATTTAGAGCCTCGTCCCGGCCTATCGTGGCCAATTGCCGTTTCCATTATTAGGCTGCCCTCATGGCGCGGCTATAGTGGAATTGAGGATGAGATGGATATGAAGTATCCGAGTTTGGCTGCATCTCTGTTAGGAACCGTGAGAACGCGGCAAAGTAGAAGCTAAGAACCTGGACAGTGACTGTGTGACAGATGCAGTTTTGTTCTGAGTTCGTTTGAGTGGGCGTTAACTTGTCTTACTGTATTCTCGAGCTGGAACGTTGACGGTTTATTGTGACCAACGGAGATGAAGATCTTCAATTGTGAGTATTGGTTTGGCGGGAAGAAAAGGTTCTTGCACTGGAGGAGTCGGTTGCGGTATGGATGTGATAGGCCGCTGGAGGACAGAAGCATAGTTTGTTTGTTGGTTTTGCGGCGACGAAGTGATGGACGTTATCGTTTTATGAGGCTGGGGAGAGTGGGCTGTTGGAGGTTGTTGAGGCTCTGGGTCGATCGTGGCGGGTGTAGCTTGAGTGCGGGGTTCAGCATTGGTGCTCGAAGATTTGTGTACTGTAGTTGATTGAGCTAGTGTCTGTGTGTTGTCTTGTTGGATGATTCATTTCTATAGAAGGATGGTGGCTGGAAATTGGCTGGATAGGTGGAGGGGAAGGGAATGCGTTGGTTGGAGGACGGAGTATATCGGTAAATTCGAGAGTTCGTTCCAGTTCGTCGTAGATGACCTCCCACACGCAGTCATTGGCATGTAGTTTCTGTCTTCCTTGGAGAGTTTGGCGCTGGAAGCTCCCCAGGCGCAAGAATGCCTGACAAGCAAAGCAGCACGCAAGTCACTGAAAGGTCCGTTCGGTTCATAGTAGGAAACCGTTTCGCGCCAGTTGGAGCGGAGTGACGCCATTGAGCATTTGCCCCTCGAATGACCGAGCTCGTGCTTCGATGGTATAAAAGGGGGTCGCGGTGAAGTGTTTTTCTCGGGGGAGGAAAGCGTGGGGTAGGTGTCACGGGTGAAGTGGCGGCGTTTGCGGATTTAAAGGTAGAGGCTATGCGGCCCTGGGTAGCACGTTTTACTCGCTATTTACCCCCACGAAATCGGGTCAACGATATTTTGAGAAATAGCCGAAGTATTGACTCCTTGCAGAGACGGGGTAATACTATTCAAGCTTGAAAAGCTGCACTGCATGCCCTTACGCTTATCTTCATCCTTTCTTTTACTCTACGACATGGTAAGAATCGGCGTATCGATGATTGCCCTCTTTGTCATTTGCATACTCGTCATTTGGCAGCGTCCTCAAAGCCATTGTGAAAATAATATATAGATGCATTAATATATTGATATGAACTCATAACTCCGTATATTCCCCAGAAAGGTTGTATATTCGAGACACCACTTCAACCTCCAAGGTGTTGACGCGCTCTTTAAGCCTCTAAGCTCGCTGCTTAGCTGCTTGAAGACAACAAATCAGGTGTTGCATATGGGCTTCGAGTTCGGCCTTCTCTTCTTTCTCTTTGTAGTTTATGCTAAGTAGCTTTGTGCATTCGGCGGAGATTTCAGTGATGATTATCTCCGCTCTTGTTCTCGCATTTTTCACGCTCTGCTGTGCGGAATGAGGACTTGTCGCACTCTATGGAAGTCTCGGGGTGTTTTGGATGGATGGAGTTGAATAATTGTATGGTGTGGGAATGATAGCCGAAAAATGCACTCGCTTTGTTCTCTTTGGAGGTATATCGATATTGGATTTGGAGCGTATGCTCTGAGCTTGCGAGTTGGAGGGGTACTGGGATTCACTATATTTATATACCCACTAAAAGAAAGCATGATTGTATTGAGGCCTTTCCGCCGAATTCTAGTAGACCTTCTAGCTAAATGCGGGCCCTGGGATGAATAGTGCAGTTCCTGGATCATGGTGGTTGGTTCCTAGGGGACATGAAGCTCCTGGGGTATCGTGATAGGTACCTAGAGGCCGTCACTCAGGTTCTGGGAGCTTAGGATGGTTTCCCAGGGGCTATTATCTTCCGTAAAAGGTAAATAATTGGCCTGTCATCCGGCTACCGTCACTAGCCTATTACACCTTCCCGTGATGTATTTAAGTAACTGGTGAGAAGGACTATAAATGTCTGTTCCACCGTAATGACCGATGACTAGTTCTACACTATTGAGTCCGATACTTGTATTTCTCCTTTTATCTAATTTGAACACACTTTGGCCTTCCCGAAAATGGACTATCCTTCTTGGTTGTGGAACCCGCTCTTGATCTGTGAGATGGGTAGTGGGCCCTTTGAGTATGGGAATGCCTGCTGTGGTATCACGTAAAAAGGCGACTAGTGTAAAAACGTAGTGAGAAAAGAGGTTCTTAAGAGCGGTCGCTAGAAGCTAGACGCCCTCGCCGAGAGACCCTTTATAGTCTATAATCTCTAGCTTAAATTGCGCGATATTGCCGTAGAATTCCTCTGCACGAGATGGCACTAGCTACGCTAGGCCGATCTGGTTGGGTAGCGATGGTACGAAGCCGCGATTTGGAATCAGCCCTAGACGCGCTGGTCGCAACCCGCGACTCGCCGCCCTCTGAGGCTAGTTAGATTAATAAGATACTCCGCTATTGATCCTGAAAGGCGGACTGAAAGGCGGAGTTAGTCGCGCTCCCGCGCAATGGATGGCGTTGAATTTACTGGCCTATCCATCTCGGTGCCTTCGCAACTCGGTCCGTTATCTAGAGACCGATAGGTCACGCTAGCTATGCTTCGGGAGAACTAGGTGACCTGGTCGGTATTAGACGAGGCTCCTACCCACTTGATGATTGTGAATGATAAGGCGGGGCCGCAGGCTCTGAAGCTTAAACGTTTTATCTGTAGATCACCCTAAAGCTCTAATTCAGGCCGCGAGAAATGCTATATCTGCCACGGAGAGTATGAGAACGAGGTGACTCTGTATTGTGGAGGATGTAGGTTTGTGGCTTATTTGGACTGTATGGAACTATGGCTTGGGATATGGCGGCCTGGATATTATACGTTATGCCTATAATGGTAAGTAATATCTAGCGCGATTAACTGATGTAGGCCGAATATTACTGACTAGAGAATAGTATATACGATGGAGCTTTCGTCGCGAAATATTAGCCACGAGGGGCTTATTTACTAAGCGCCGCTAATGCCGAATAGACGAACTCGTTAGAACACGATACTAGCGCTTTAACTGCTGTAGCTGCGCCGCGGCTAGCGGCGGAAGGGTTGCGTCTTCCTGACCGGTCTGATACGCCCGGTCCGCGCCGATCTGCCCGATTGGCTGGGCGTTTGGGTCCTTCTACTGAATCCTAGCCATTGGGCCCTTAGCGCCGTTTACTATGACTGTTGAGTAGCCAATGACTCTTACTCGGGAGACTGATGGACTGAGTAGAAACTGATCGTGGATAAGTCTGTAGGCGCTAGTGTATGGGGAGGGCGGTTTTGAAGCACTTATAGTAATAGAGATTAATTACGAATGTACGACTAATGGATATAGGGAATTCTACTGTTATATGGTACTTCTTTTTCTGTAGTATTAAATTTGCTAGCGGTGGTGACTATGCGGCTAATGCTTTCCTAAGCGGGAACTAATAGTAGTATATTAGTAAATAAATCTGGCGATCTAAGCTAGCCGGCTCTCGAGATTAACCTCTATGTCTCTAGACCTGGTTTAAAAGGGTCCGTGGTAGGGGTCTCGCGAGCTATCTAGAGTAGCCTATGGGAGGAAAGAAGGCGATGATGAGTTAGCAAAAGACTTGATAGTCACCGGTGGGACGGGGGAGTTGTACACTGCGTTCTGCTTGGTTTAATTGGGGCGGCTATCTGCTATGCTGGTTCGCTTGCTGTCTATGAAGCATTAATATTCAGGCTATGTATGTAGGGCGGCTTCTCTACCGCTTTAAAGTCTGATTTGGTTACCAGAAATATTGGTGGGAGTGGCATAATAGAAAGAGATGCCCCTCTTATAGTAAAGGTTACCGGTTCGGTTATAAACTTGAACTTGATTTTGTATATGATCCTCACTCACGGGCACTAGTTCTCTACCCTTTTGTCTGGGCTGAGAAGTGGCTATCGCATTGACCGTTGAAGTTTGTGTTAACTAACAGCGAGTAACAGGCTAGCTCTCGAAAGTTGAAGAACCCTCTTCACTACCCTCTCTTTACCACCCTCTCTTCACCGCTCGTGCTTCACCATCCCCTCACATTTTGTACCTCTAAACTCAATTCAGTTACTTGATAGAGATCTTAATCTAGATAATTTACCCATAAATGCGCCCTCAAAAATGACAGTGGTGGCCGTTTCCAGCGTTGAAGCAATGCGGTGGAGAGTTTAGTTCGTCGCAAGGTGGGTCTAACTGGTGACCCACTAAGACCCGCATGGGTTAATTTAGACTGACTTTAAGAAAGAGTGATTGTGGTGGATAATAAATGACCGCTATTGAAGTACCTACCTGAATTCTGTTGATTATAGTTTATTTGAGGCTATCAGTGTGGCCAGAATCTGGCGTTTCAGTTAACATTGTCATTGCTGGATTTTTGAGGTGAAGACCGGCTTCAACGGACGGCTTCAACGGACAGCTTCAACGGACAGCTTCAACGGACAGCTTTAACGGACAGCTTCAACGGACAGCTTCAACGGACAGCTTCAACGGATAGCTTCAATAGACAGCTTCAACGGACGACTCGACCATTATTTGAATAGATGGGTAAGCCAACCATAATGTACTATGAATTATGCTTAATCTAATTGATGGAGGCGATTTTGACGGGCTCTCCTCGCCGGGCTTTGGTGGAGGGGCTGTAAATAAAGCATTAAGTAGGAATATGGCATCGCTAACTAAAGTAAAATGGCTAAAAGTAGCAACGAGAAGCGCGCATTGTTGAAACAATAATGTCGAGAAGCTCTGGCCGCCTATATTTATTAGTCGCTTATTCGCCGCTATGCTCTTAACGCTAACTTCCCTAGACGATCGACTTGGCCTCGTTATCGCTCCCGCCTAGGTCCGCCTATAGCCGCCTCCTGAGGATGGATATGCCTAGTCCGTTATGGAGCCGATGGCCTTCTTGTTGTAGTCGAACCTAAGTAGCGGAACGGTAGGTCTGTTACAGACGATCTGCAAAGAGCTTAGTCGCTCGATCGAGGTAGTCTCGCCATAGGTCCTGTAGGGGCCCTAGTCTAGTCCTAAAACCGAAGGAAGAGTTGTAGCAAAGGTAAGTTACGTGGCTCTTTTCGAAATTCAAATCTATTCATTTGACGCTGAAGGTATTCAGAAGTAGCGGACAAACCGTGATGGCGAGTTAGATTGGTCCTTCATCGCTAAGCTGTATAGTCTCGAATGCGCTAATTATAGCTTGAGCCTCGAGTTAGATCGCACACGCACCCATTTAGAGGAATCCAATAGTGAAGGGCGCAGTCTTCGCGCCCAAATCTGCGCACTTGAGACTGAAATGGAGACTGTCGTATCTCAGTCAAACCACCAGGAAAGGGAGCTGGTCCGGGCAAGAACAGGCATTGCGGAGGCAATGTAACTGTTGTAGGCACATTTATTACAGAATCAGGATACCGCATCCAAAGATGACACACCAGAGACCTTAACCGGTCCCATTACAATCGAGATCGCGGACACAACTTAAGGAATACCAGAGATTATAGAGCGATGGCCACTCAAATAGGACTAGACCACTCCCGGAGCGTGTAGGGATGCCTATATCACGTTAATACTCAACACTCGAATCAGGTAAGCAGTATAGCGCGAGATGATGATTCCTGCATGGAAGTTTTTGCTATTGTAGCTTGGTTGGCTGTGGTTATTGACCAGTAAGAGTTCTATGGTCGGGTTCCACCTCCAGTTGCACCCTCAAAATAGAAATCACATGAAGCCTCTCTACCATGCCTTTCTGTTCTTTGACACGCGTCTTTACGCGTTTCGAATATTCTTGATGCTCTATCATGCTTTGTTGGCTTGGTAGATCGAAAGGATAGCGCGTCTATGTTATATTGTTACTGGTGAAGGAACCATAAGCGGACGACTTCAAGCAGGCAGTATATTATGTACGTACAGTATATGTATGCGTTGCGATGGGCTCGTGTGAATACAAAACAGCACCGGAAGAACCACTTCCGGCAGTCAACCACTGGTCGGTTTACACGCCAGCTGGATTCCGCTCTGCCGGGACTCCACACCAGGTTGCTCTACGATAGCTTGGATCGGGAGAAAGCGTCAATTCTAGCTCAACTCCGCACGGGCCATGCCAGACTGAATGGATATCTCCACCGAATCGGCAAGGCTGACAGTGATTTGTGCGAGTGTGGCGTCGAGCGCGAAACCGTTTCACACTTCCTGCTTCGATGTACACGGTGGAACGAACAACGTTGCGTACTGGCTGAGGCCGCGGGACCGAGTCTCAGTAGTTTGTCAAAGATGCTAGGAGGTAAGCCTGAGTCTACAGGAGAATTAGGTGAGCTGAAAGAAAAGGCATGGAAACCAGACGTCAAGGTTGTCCGAGCTGTCATCGCGTTTGCATTGAAAACCGGCCGATTGGCCCCAGAAGGGTAAAAACAGGAACTAGAATGAGTATAGGGTTTACTATCAAATGTACATAGTCAATGGTGCAGCGCACACTAGCTAGGGGGCTACATACGACCCAAGGTCGGGAAAAGCCTGAGGAATAAATAATAATAATAATAATAATAAAAGGTACATTCCGTGTACAAAAACAAAATGCCTCTAATTTAATTTACCCAGAAACGCGAGCTCTTTATACTCGAAAGCAAAAAAGTCCACACTGTTTCTTCGCTATGAAGAATCTTATCGTTTATTACGAAAATGACATCCTCCAGACAAAGTTGGAGTACCTACCAGTCCCCGTTCCTGGACCGTCGGAGATCCTCATCAAGGTTGAGGTTGCGGGTGTCAACGTAAAAGACTACAACATCCGCTGCCGAATATGTACAACAATTCTATCAATCAAGGTGATGACTGCTCTGGCACTGTCGCAGCAATTGGAAGCGCGGTCAAGTCTTTTCAAATCGGAGAGAAGGTCGCCGGTTTCCACATGATGGACACCCCTCATGGGACGTACGCTGAATTTACGATCTGTCCGGAGAGTACGGTAATAAGAGTCCCGAAAAGCATGTCCTACGAAGAAGCGGCGACTATTCCTCTCGCCGCGTTTACAGCAGCGGTCGGCTTGTATCGGAACTTACAACTTCCCACACCTTGGGATAGAAGTGACGATCACGGCCCACGAAACAGAGTACCGCTGATAATTAACGGTGCCGGATCCGCTGTTGGGGGGTTTGCTGTCAAATTGGCCAAAATGAACCCACTCATCGGACCGATCATTACAACAGCTGGTTCATCCGCCGACTTTGTACGCTCGCTCGGTCCGGATGCAATTGTCGACTATCGTTCACCCACCGTCGTTGAAGCTCTTCGGAGCGCTTTAGGACAGGCCCGTCCCATACATGTATTCGACGCGACGAACTCGCTCAAATCCATACAATGTTTGACGTCCGTTATGGAACCATATTCTCAATACACCTGCACATCCAAACTTTACGCAGACCCCGCTTTAGGAGTTGATGATAGAATGGAGAAGGCTTTACAAGGTGTGCAGGCGTGGTACGAGGTTACTTTTGTCGGGGACGTACACGGCCAGTCGTTAATGGGCCAGTCACGCTTTAAGGCTAAATCAGGTGGTCGCTTGTTTGGAGCTATTATGCGTCATGTATTCGAGGAAAAGCTGGCTGATGGATCGTTGCGCGGACATCCGTACCAAAGAGTTGATTGTGGTCTGGATGGTGTCTTAGACGCTCTGATGCAGTTAAGGAATGGCAAGCGTGACAGCAACGCCAAATTTGTGGTGAGGATACAGGATACTCCTGGCATACGACGATAGTATGTACAGTACTTTATCTAGATCTACTCGCTGGTGAGGCCTACCACACCACAACGATAATTTAGCGTAACGATAATTTTGCTCCCACCCATCGATAAGTCGAAGCTATTTACCAACCACCACGATGTCTAAATCGAATACTGACATCGAGAAACGGATTTCTGATGCCTTACACGCGTACTATGATCGTGGTGAGCCAAAAATCGCGCCCCTGGCCCGGACATTCGACGTTTCATACCAGCGGTTGAGGGCGCGTGTTCTGGGCCGTCCAAGTCGTTCAGCGAAAATTCCGTCAAATGAAGCACTTGATAAGGGCCAAGAGGAGGCTTCAATTAAAGCCTGGATGCGTGTCCTTGACCGTGCCAATCTCTAACCTCTTCCCTACGAGATTGAAGGCGCTGCAAATGACATTTTGTCACGAAGTTGTTCCGACCGACGCGCTAGCAAAAGTTGGGTACATCGTTTTATGAAACGCCTCCCCGAAACCGTCAAATTTCAGACCCAAAAACCTATAGAAGCGAAGAGGGTAGACGCTGAGAAATTACCGACAACAATTGAGTGGTTTCACAAATTGGGTGGTGAGATAGAAGCCCTTAAAGTCGGACCGAGCAATATCTACCACGTCGACGAAACAGGCTTCCAACGCGGTCAAGGACAATCCCAGAAAGTTGTGACTGAGTTTCTAGATAGGATAAAGCATGTCCCAACTGGTGGTATAGCGGAGACGGTGACAGTAATCGAAAGTATCGCAACGGACGGTTGGATGATGCCCCCAATGATTTTATTTGCTGGCACAGCTCGACTGTTCACCTTGAGAATTGGTATCGAGACCAGATAGATTTACCAGATGACTATGTCATTGCGACATCGCCAATGGGCTGGAATAATGAGGTAAACGCTTATGCATTTGATTCATTGATTAATTAATTAATTATTTAGGTCCGCGCATATCAATGTTACAATACTTAGACGAGCATACAAAAGACCACGTTCAAGGGCGAATGGTTATCGACTTCTGTTTCTTGATGGCCATGAGCCCCATATGAAGTACGATTTTATCAGCTATTGCCAACAGAATCGGATTCTTATGTACTGTTTCCCTTCTAAACTTACTCACCGTCTTAACCCTCCGATTCTAAGCCCTTCCAAGCATATTAGCACTACTATCGGAGGGAGAACAATTGGACTAGACGATGGGGTGGATCAGTTACAGATAAGAAGAATACGGTTCGAATGCAGACTTTCAACTTCAACCGTTCGACATGCCTTCAAACACTGTGGGCTTTGGCCCTTTAATCCTGAAGTGATTTGCCAAGATCTTCAACCATATGACGGGCCAGACCTAGTCGTCTATGATAGAGGCAAAGAATACGAGCTTCCAGAGTGGAATTTCCACCATAGCCGCCCAGTCCCAGTGGAAGAAAGGGGGGAAGAGGATCGAGAAACACCGCCTCCCGCTTCAAGTTCTACGATCACTCAATTCACCACCAACGACAGTCGCAAAATTGCCAAAAAAAACATCACAACGGCAAGAGAAAGCTTTCCAAACAATGACAGTCCCGAATCTAATAAATTGAAGCGTCGGGCTGAGCGGATTTGTCAGGGAAGTCTTCTACAGGCCCAACCAGCGGCCCAGGTATCTGCCGACCTCATTCACTACCAAGAGAACCGGGTGCAAGCCAAATGCCAAAAGCCCTAAGCGTCAGTCATCTAAAGGGGGTGCTCTACAAGTCAGGGACTCGAATACCCTCATCTGGAACCGGGATATCGTGGAGGCTGAGCAACAAAGGCGGAAGTATGAACGTGAAGCTAAAGAGTTGGGAGCTGAAATGCTACGCCGTGCCGAAACTAGGGACCAGGAGAACCAGAGAAGAGATGCAGAGTTTGACTGGGTCACTGGAGATGACAACCAGCCACTTTATACTATCGATAACGTATCTCACTAGTGAGTGGCCCACCCCGTCAAAGAACGCGTTCCCACGCGTCACCTACCACTTTCAACTGTCCAACATGCCTCCAATACGCTCTGAAAAATGTTCAAAATCGCCGGATAGGGAGGGTTGAATTCTACTAGCTACCAAAGTTATTCAAGATCAATCAAAGCTATCTATACGTCAAGCAGCGGCGATTTATAACGTGCCACGTTCTACGCTTCGTCACCAAATCAATGGAGTCCGTAATCGCCAGGAGACACGACCAACACGTCTTAAATTAACACAAGAAGAGGATTCGCTTTGCCAGTGGATACTATCTCTTGATAAGAGAGGAGCGTCTCCTAGGCCTTCTGCGATCGTCGATATGGTGAATCTTCTACTAGCAGCGCGTGAGGATATGCCTCCACTGACTGTCGGCGTTAATTGGGCCACACGATATATTCAGCGGCGATCTGAGCTTCATACACGATATTAAAAGCATTATGACTATCAGCGTGCTCAAAATGAAGACCCAAAGAGCCTACGCGAATGGTTTAGATTGGTTCAATCTGTTATCGACGAATCGACGAAAACGGGATCCTAGATGACGATATCTACAATTTTGACGAGACTGGCTTCGCGATGGGCTTGATATCTACTGCTAGAATCGTTGTACGAAGAGATTTCTACGGTCGGAAACCTTTTTTACAGCCTGGAAATCGTGAGTGGGTTACAGCAATCGAATCCATCTCGGCAACCGGTTTCTCGCCTCCGTCATGTAATATTTTTCAAGGTTCAATATATGATATACAGTGGGCTACTGGTCTTCCTGACGACTGGCGATTTGAAGTATCCAAAAATGGCTGGACTACTGATAAGATCAGTCTTCGATGGCTAGAAAAACTCTTTATTCCAGCAACTACTACACGTACGCGCGGAAGATATCGATTGCTGATATTAGATGGGCATGGTAGTCATCTAACACCACGGTTCGATCAAAATTGCAAAGAGAACAATATTATCCCAATTTGCATGCCAGCACAATCGTCTCATCTTCTACAGCCGCTTGATATTGGTTGTTTTGCTATGTTGAAACGATCATATTATCGTTCGATTGAATCCCAGCGCGTCTAGGATACAATCATATCAACAAACGTGATTTCCTAGAATCCTATCCTCAGGCTCGCCAGTAAGCATTCAAACCAGCTACGATTCAATCAAGCTTCGCTGCCGCAGGCCTAGTTCCAATCAACGCCGAGCGAGTCCTGTCCAAACTCAATATATCGCTTTGCGAACCAACACCACCAGCAAGCAGGCCTAGCAGCAGATCTAGCATTTTTACACCAAAAACACCGCATACAGCTAAGCAGCTTGCTAAGCAAGCTTCTTCAATCAAACGTCTACAAGACAATGTTGAATTTAATATCGGTGGAAATGCAGCATGTACAACTTCAGCAGGAGAGCAAATTGGCTGAACCATAACCTGTAATAGGCAGTGAATGATGGTAAGAGTTTGCTTCTTGGTATAACGTATCCGCAAGGCCGCTGAATCAAGCTTTGCCTTTTTGGATCGCAGCTATGGGACAATAACCACAGATCTTCCAATCCCAGTATACTCAGCTGCCACGTCAAGTGCGGTCCTCCACTCATCTAGAGGAAAGCTCTTCATATTGACAAAGTTTTTGCCACGTGGAAATCGGCCAGTTTCCAGCATTTTCACGAACTGTTGTATGTCCTCTCTCTCATACATGAACTTACCTTTCACAGTAATTTCCTTCGCAATGAGCTCGAAACTCGGTATAGGGCCCTCCATGAAGCCTCCCATCAGGCTGACGCGGCCCTTGCGTCGAATTGCCCTAATAGCACTGTTTAAGTGCGGCGACTTGCTGGCAGCAGGTGGCGAAAGATCCAACACAGCATCAATAGTTCCAAGGGCTTGAAGTGCTTTCATATCCTTCTCCTCATCCCCTGTAATCTTGACTGTCTTGATATTGGCACCGGGGTTGCCCTCCATAACAATGACTTTTAGTCTCGCCAGTTCCTGCTCATCCCGGCCCATTGCAATGACGTTGGCACCCATAGCAATGGCAACTTGAACGCCAGCACCTCCGAATCCGCCAGTTGCAGGGGAAACAATGACAGTCTCGCCAGGTTCAACTCTGATATCCCGTAGACCGCCATAAGGCACGAGGAGATAGCTGATATACGCCAGGTCAAGGATTTCGTAACCCAGGCCCTGATGTAGTTTGGATTCATTGAGAGGGATACAATTTTCCAGAGGGAACTTGGTGAATTCGGCAAATGTTCCGTTGCGCCAGACGTCTTTCATCAGCTTTTCACTGCCTTCATTGAATCCGTCCGAAACTCCAGATAGAATCACAGCATTGAAATCGTCACGTCCACGGATAACAGAGTCGATGTACACCAACTTTCCTGGCTGCAAGGCCACCGCATCAGATCCAACGGCCACAACGCGCCCAATGGCGCTAAATCCGCCAATCAGCGGCTTAGGAAGATAGTATTCGCGCTCCCCATTGTAAATATCGCGTTGATAGGACAGCACGCTGGCACCAAGGACGTGAACAATGGCGCTGCCCGCCTCAACTTTTGGGGTCGGTAGTGATTGAATTTGGAGGCCACTCAGATCCTTTGAAACTGATTCAAAGACAAGGCCACGGTGTCGAGACGGAATGTCACTGGCCATTTTTTATATCTAGGTGCAGGAGACAAATAGAATATAGGCGTTAGAAAGTGAATATTTGGTGGCTCGAACAACGCTTGGTGCACTGGTGCGAGGCAGATAGAGTTATTTATATGAACTCTCCCTCCGGAGATTAGAGGAAGGTAAGCGTATGTCCGAACCCGCTGGCCGAAGCTTTCGGTCTTAAGACCTGCTTCTGTCGTGACGTAAAAAAGAACTTGAAGTGCTAGTTACATGACTAGGTAAAATTCTAATGTAGACAAATAAGTCTATTATACATCATCTCCGCCTTCCTTAGGATCACCGACGTGCTGACTTTTACTGCCCTTAAGGTCCGTTTAGCAAGTCGGAATCTTTTATTGAGTCGCTGGCATTAAAGGCAAATTCCAGAAATCGGTCACTTGATCTTATAACTCTACAGTGCTACGAGATTAGCTGGTGTGCATTATCGGGGTTGTCGGGGTTGTCGGGCCTGTCGGCTTGGTCAGGTTGAGTGAAGCGATACGAATGAGCTTCGGCAAATTTAGTAATATTCCCTGTTATAATTTAAACGAAGATTGATTGTTATTTCAGAGAGGCCCAGAGAGGCTTTTTGCGTACTACGAGAAGAACAAGCCGGCTTTCAATCAGCTTGTCTCTTCGTATAGACACCTCGAGAATTATCTTTTAATCGTGCGGCTTTGCTCCTGATTTACACTAACAGTCATCTCGGGTGGCATACTGGGATGCCTGAAGCCTAAGGCTGACCCACACGCGCCGCGTGTAGGTCAGCCGGGGGTCAACAAAATTCTGCTCTCAACAATCACACTATTACTATTTCGACTACCAACACCACCACCACAATGCCTAGTCAATATAATGCGATAGCCTACATATTCCACCTACGGCTGGAATGGTGGTTGTGAGCGCAAATGCGTTACTACGCAGGGATAATCCTACCGTTCGTCCGCTTGGCAAAGACTGAGTATATGAATTCGTCAACAACCGCTTGCCAAATGACCTCAATTGGGTTCATCAAAAGTTCGCAGATCAAAACCGAGTTACTGGAGAGGATGTAGGGGCTTTGACTGCATGGTATGAACGCCTAGATCCTCTTATAAAGCGTCTTCCACCAAAGCATGTGTATAATTTTGATGAAACTGGCTTTACCCTAGGCCAAGGCCGGCCACAAAACGTTATTTCAGCTAATCCAAAGCGAACCCGAACCCATTTATTTGAACGAGGCCAGTTATTAACTGGAATTGAATGTATTGCGGCCGATGGATGGAAGATGGAGCCCTATTTTGTGGCTCCAGGGTTAGTTCATTTGATGCGATGGTACGAAGGTGGTAAACTTTCAGAAGCTACCAGGATCGCAGTTTCGGAAACTGGGTATTCAAATGATATATTGGCGCTCGATTGGCTGGACTTTTTCCACATTAATACTAGGGAACGCCTCCCAAAAAAGAGAATAGAGCCCAGGCTTCTGATTATGGGTGGACACCGTAGCCATCTAACCTACGAGTTTTTGGATCGCTGTGACGCCTATAATATCATTCTATATTGTTGCCCAGCTTATACAACCCATCTTTTTCAACCACTTGATGGGTCTCTATTCTGCGCATTGAAACAGGCATATCGAACTAAGAATAACCAGATTACTCAATGGGGTGGAGATACACGCGATATTGGTGTTTTTTTTTGAGGAAATTACACAAATTCGTGAACATACATTACAACCATGTACTATTCGCAACGCATTTGCTTCATGTGGTATATTATCCTATAATCTAGACCTAGTCATCAAGCCTTTAGTGGATTCGCAAACCCCTGAGCCAGAGCTTCAGATATTCAATAGCAACGAAACACCACAACTATAGGTTGTATCTAGTATTCCAAGCTCAGCACCTAATTTATCAGCTGATGTACATCGAACATGCGATAAAGTAAGGGGTTTACTTAACCGTAATGATATTCCAGCCGATATACGTCGCCAAATGCAACGTGTGGCAAGAACGCAGGCTCGGTTAATTGAGGATATTGATCTCTTATACGACACATTAGAGAACCAACTGCCTAAGAAACCTACAATTGCACGCAAATCCCAACAGCAATTAGGCAAATTTGGTGCTCTGACTACCAAAGATGCTGTTCGTTTTGCAAATGATCGAAAAACTAAGGATGAACGAAAGGAATACAATGCGTCTATCCGAGACCAGACACCTTTAGGTACTCCTGCCACACCCACACCAATTACTTTTGGACAAAAGTACCCGGATTATATACCGATAAACGTCATAGATGACCCCGTTACTTGAATCTAAACTGGTTCATCATGTACTGGGGTACAGTACCGACGACCCTTTACCAGAAAGGGGCAAAGGGTTATTAGGCTAGGGAGAATCATAGAACTCGGACTCTGTGGAATTAAAGCCTTTCATGGATGATTCGATGCTGCCGTAGAGATCGGCCGATTTCTGCGCGCCGCCAGGGCCGTAGATGTTTCGAGGAGGTTCATCCTGGCTGAGCGCCACCATACCACGGCTGGTATTGAGCTCCTCACTGAAGGTTTTAGTGAGCTTGACTGGTTGGTAGGAGCCGATGCGAGTGTCTCTGGAACTGGGGGTTAGACTTGTGGTTCTTCACGGGTGCTTTGATTGTGACGCTGGTACCCACAAAGGCAAAGTGCGACGAGTCATCTGTGACTGAGACGAGTGAACTGAGTCGCAGCTGACTGGTCCATATCTAGATTGCGTGAAGCTGCTCGTTTGTGACACATTGTTGTAGGTAAAGTCCTGCCCAAAGGGATTGTATGAGAGCCACACACCAGCTACAGTCTTGTTTGCAGAGAAGGCAGAGCAATCTTTGCCCACTCTTCCACTTCGCTCAAAAATAGCTAGCGCACGTCCACCTGGAGATGGCAATATCCCCCACGCCGACCCCTGGAAGGCTGCTCATGACATTGACGGGTACACCTCGCTCGAAACATTACAGGAGAAGTTAGAGAAAATGAGGACACAAAAATCAATATGTATGGCTTTTTCAGGATACTCAACATATCGGATCGCTTTGAAGGAAACCCCGAAGCTGCAGTGTCATGTCTTTCACTAATGTTTAGATGGGATATTTTGGGGCTTGAAATTGAGGATGGCAGATTTTGGACAGAAGACAACGACTACATCATCGTGCACCTCGATTCCGATGGACGACAGAACCTCAAAAGTAATGACTCAATACGAAGAGGCTTTGTGAATATTTGTCGGATTGCCGTGGAGTGTCTTGAGGAGAAAAATGGTTCCAAGTACACAAAATCTTAAACGGTGTTGTAACCATCGGAGCGAGTGGCCACCTGAGTCCAAGAACTATCTGCGACGTGCTGGAACGCAGGTGGAATGCCGGGCAGCGCTTCGGTATATATTCGATACTGCTAAGGAATGGGATGAGAAAGCAGGTATTGGAGAGTGTCAACTCACGTTGGAAAAAAGGTGGTCGTACCTTCCAACGTGTGGAAACGACCATGAGTTTGAGTTCGTTGCCCGGGTTTGTGGCTACATTGGTTGTGATTGCCTTTCGTTAGCCCGCTGGTAAATGTAGATCAAATAAATAATTATCCCCTTTGAAGAATTGGTGCATAATGACCATCAAGTCTGCGTCGCTTGAGGAAATATTCTGAGCTCGTAATATAGGATCTGTAATATCAGAATATATCAACTCTTAACAGTTACGAAGCCCTATAACCAAGTAGATGGGGTACCCTTCCAATTGAAGGGAAGTATTACTACAACGAAACATCTCCACCGTGATGAGAGAAAATCCACTGCCCAAAATCAAAGTCCCAACTTCCATCATCCAGAAAGTCAAACTGTCCTTCTGGATCCCCCAACGGAGACGTAACCCCATCCGTAACATCAGACTGAGCTTCAACAACCGAAGCCGACCCTTTCGCAGCCATCACTTCCAAAATCCTACGGCACGTTTCCAAACTATCCCTCGCAGCATCCATCGCTGCCTCCTCCGGAAACGACCCATCAAACAAGGCCTCGATCTGCGCCGTTGCCATGCTAATATACACGTACCCTTTCACATTGGTCTCACCATGGAACATCCTCTCCTTCGCATATTGCGCTACACGACGAGCGTCACGAAGGATCGGCTCGTGTCTGGAGCGGCTTCGGCCCCGTGAGACCAGAGACGTGTCTGCGTTGATGTCGGATGTTAATTCTAGGTAGAGGATGAAAGAGCCACGGGTAATCAGGTCGCGGAACATACCGCCTCCGGTGAGGAGGAGGCGGGCGTACAGTTCGTCATCGAGAATAGAAACTATATCTTGGGTAGCGTCGAGGCAATTCTTTTGCGAATAGGTGTAGAGTGGATTCTTCTTGGCTTGGACGGCATAGGGGAAGTGAAAGCAAAGTGTGAAGCGACGGAGAAGATGGGTGAAGTGACTGAGTGCAAATCGGGAGGGGTCCGACATAGGATTAAGCGGCGTAGTGCTGTCAAGGGCACTCGTTGCAGTGCAACAGGCTATTGCTAAGTCCTTTTCTAAACGGAGGACTTCTTCGTATGACGGTTCCTCCTGTAGGCTGTTGATAATCTTGGTTATATTTAGTCTGAGAGGAAGAGAGTCTGCTAGTAAAGGGAGCAGATGCTTCTGGAATGATGGGCCGTGCGTTCCGCTCTGATTTTCCACCTGTGTTCCTCCCAACTCAAGCTCTTCGTCGCTCATTCTGGATGGTGGCAAAGTATTGAAGTCTCCTGCTGAGATCATGGGTGACATCCCGGAGTCCAGCGCCGCCTGGACGTTCATCTCGAGGATAGTATACCACAACCGTCTTCGAATTTCCTTTTCATGTAGGCTCATCTCCTCCATACAGTTCGGATCTTGATGTAAGCCCATCTGCATCGCCATGCGCATCAAAGATCCCGCTGAGATCCAAACCAGATCCGCCCCCAGCCGAGTGACTTGCCGCGCAAGAAGTAGCAAACAGTGAATCTGGATTCCATTGCAAGTGAGACGATCTTTTTCCAAAGGAGCAGAGAGCCATGTTTGTGCAATATGAATCCAGTCCCGCGATTTGGCGGCAAATTCGTCACGGGTGGTAGTATTAGCGTGCAATATACCCATCACAGACATGATCAAAATCAATTCAATGAAGAACGAACTCCTTGTGTTTTCTGGGTTATTCCTATATCTCGTATATTCTTCGATGAAGGAGGGATAGTATAAAATGCGATAGCAGGATTCAAAAGTCGCAAAGTATAGCCGTACCAGATCATCCATCACCGGCCCGTCAGGGAACGAACTGTATAGGTCAGGAGGAAGACATTCTCGACTAGGGCGCTGCTTTTTTGCTTCTCGTGCCAATTGCTTGCATTCAGCCACGACCTTCGTTGCAGAATCTTGTGCGCGGTGGCTATCCTCGTGAAAGATCGATTGATAGCACTTCAAGAGAGACTCTAGTGTAGGCAGCCCATCTAACTGTTTGAACTGTTAGCATGACAAACCTATTCAATTATACCTGTATATTGGACAAACCTTAGATATCGAGTTCATCCAATGCCCGTAGCCAAAAACCCGAGTTTTATTTAAGGCGCCACGAATCCGAGTCGGGGCGGCGGAAGTAGAAGGCCGGACATAATCTGGCCGAAGTGCTCGTTCTGGGGTTCTGTACCTTCGCTCAGTCTCTACTGGGAGTGATTCTGCATGGTGTGAAGCACGTGGATGACGCTCCGCATATGTACACGAAGGTGAGTTGTGAGCTGTGCACTGCCCACAGGGGTTTGCCCGGTCACAACGGACTTTGCGCCGCCGGCATTCAATGCAAGAATAGGCGGGACGACGGCGCTTTCGGACACCAGAAGGAGAATTGGAATCCATTCCGACTTTCTGCTGCTCCCCGGTGCCTGGTATCACACGTAAGGGATTGACTGACGAAGCAATTACCGGGACGGGATGTAACCGATAGCTGCGGTTGCTCCGATACGACCGAGATGAATAGGCAACAAAATTGGAAGATGTATTTGCACGTATGACCACGTATGATCAGTACATGCGGAGGAGTTGGTACCACGCGGAGTGGCGGAAAGTGGTCAAAATAGAGTGAAAGGCCTGTCGGTCGATTCGGGCCTAAGGCAGAATATCCCGATACGCCCGATATAGCCGTTTCTGGGCCAGTACTTCGGACGAGCCGGGGGCCCACTGTTTTTCTGCCGGGAGATCTTCAAAATTTGCGTTTTCATACAAAACCATCTAATAAATAGTGTGCCATCCTTCATATAGAATGACTCCTCCGCATGATGAGGTTGGAAAAGGTGGTAAACTTGATAATTTTCATGCTACTGTGCGCTGCGCGCAGCGCTCACCAGCGGTCATAGTGGTAACAGGCAGGCGGTATAGAAAGAGCGGTCAGGGGCGGATGTACTGGTGAGACGCCACTGTACATCGGCCTTAAGTGGGCGGGTCCTAATCTGCTCGGATTGGGTATAACGCAGTTTAGGTAGGGCATTGTGAGAGAGAGAAGAAAAGAGTATGGCGACGGTATAGCTTGTTCGAAAACTACTGTACGGAGAAAGTTTTATATGACATATTATCTGAGGTTTCTGCTGACAGTGCCCCAGGGCCACAAAATAGAATTTTATTGGTGACCTCACGCAGTCAAGAGGAGCAAGAGGAGTTTAGTTTGGCCGCAACGGGTTACCTGTCGCTGCGGTCGTAGACCGTGGCGTCAGATAGGCCCCGTCCGCGCTCCCTTGAAGGGAGGCAATGTGTCTGTATTGTAGTGGATTCTATATACAGAGGGAAGGTGGGAGGGACAAAATTGACACTTGACTGCGTGAGAGATGACGAGCTACCCGCAGAGGCCATCAACTGACTCTCGTGAGGCAGTTGTAGGAGGAAGAGGCCCTCGGAAATGTCGGTGTAGATATCACGTGAGGCTACAGACATGGTGAGGCAACCTCAATAAAACCACTCCCTTTAATGATCTTCTAAATCCACCTTGAATGAAATATAGGTAGTTCTGTATTCGCAAGCTCAAGAAACGAAACATAACAGCGTGGTACTGGAAATAGAGAAAGATTTTGCTAGGCAGAATACTCTGTCATCATCAGGGTTGTCGGAGACTGGTGGAACACCACTGTAATATTTCGCTGATACAGCAAATGTTAATTGGTATAATTTCCACGCTAACGTCTTGGCGGTAGGGCCAGAAAGAGTGTCAAACAGAGTTTTCGTTGCGCCAGTTTCGCAACGTACTGTATAGGTGAGAGCGCTGTCGCAAAAGAAAAATCGTGTCACGTGATATATTGCCAAGATCCAATGGATCGGCTATGATGATTCAGCTAGGAGGAGAGGAATCCACGGTCGCGCAAGCGACCCCCATATCTTGAGGACCCTTCGATTTTTAATCACTAATAAAGCTACAATAAATGCATTTTATCCCCAAACAATGTGTTGACGCGGTACTTATGCCAATTAATACAAGTGATAGACTATAAGTTATACGCAGAATCTATCAAGCGATGATCATAATGCAGATGCTCTTTGGTGTCTCCGCATGGTATCGACCTATGCTTGACAGATCTATTGAACGCTGATAGCTTCAGCCATACATATTCACATCATGAACCATGACTAAGTATGTACTGATAATCGATGGCCGACTATAGTAATATTGCTGTCGGAACAAGCCCCTTCCGCTGTCTCTAGCCACGAATCATAACAGCCATGCAAATAATGGTTATTTTGGTCGGGCATGGGTCTAGGACGGCCGGCCATCTATTTTTAGAGCCTTCTTCTTATTGATATGCGAACAGCTTGACAGCTCCGAGGGATAAAATGTGAAGCCAAACCGGACTGGCTGAAATTTGTCGACCGTGCACATCACTCATTGGCCCCCAAGCTTGTACGGGCCCTGCCAGCAGCATTTTTTGCGGAACACTGGTTTAGCGCGTGATAAGTCTGCATAGAAAGGCGCCAAAACGAGGGGAAAAGCCGGGTTATCAGCCAATCTAGTTGCGGTTCGATCGCTTCAATCATTCGCGGTAGAGGAAGTTTTGAATCCTCTCATATTTAATAGTATTTGCTTCATCCAAACCAACATTATCCAAAGATTCTCCTTCGAGTGCAACACTACCATCAGCTATCCGCTCTACAAAGTTGCCTTTTCACAATGTGCCAATACCGAGTCAGAGTCCATAACTGTGGTCACTACGACAAGACACTGAAGACCGCATGCAAACCTGCAAAGAAAGCAAAGAAGGTGTGTACACCCGGAAATCTCGAAGATGCTTCAACCAGCGGTTTAGCTTGGTGTGGAATCCATGGGTGCGATAAGAAGGCTGGCTTACGGCGAGATGGGCCAGGTAGGGAGAAGTTTTTTATCCTCCACTGAAACAAGTAGCTCACAAAGTTTACAGGTTCCAGGACGAATGGTGATTTTGACGAGGATGATGTGGAATGGGATTATGTTTAAAAATGCCATCGAGGATTAGGAAATCGCCAAAGCCATGCTCCAACATGATTTCAAACAGACTTGTTTATTAGAATCAATCACTATGATGACGAATTCTCAACTGAGAAATTGCTTCAGATAAAGTCCACCGAGTAGTAACATCTTCAGTTAAATGATCTGCAACCATGCTCAGAGTCTTCCTAAAAGAACAATCTTTGACTTTTGATGCGATTTCTTGCAGAACCTTTCCGTAAGCCCAAATATCATTCAACTGACGCGTCTGAAACGGGAGATCAAAGGGTGATATTTCATCCCGTATCTCTGGAGCTTGCCATTCATGCGTTACTCCACCAATACCGCTGATGTCAATGATAATGGCATTGCCATCTTTGTCCAAAACAATATTTGATGGCTTCAAGTCCATGTGGGTTTTCTTCACGCGGTGAATAGTATCCAACGCATTCCCAATTTGAATAGCCCAGCTCTCAGAGCTGATATCATTGAAACATTGTTCTTTCAGGACTTGTTGTAAAGAGCCACCACAATAGAAGTCTAACAAAATACCATTGATGACCATCTGTTGACTGCCTTCCTGGCAGGTGGCATAGGGATTGGTGAACACTGCAATGCCAGCGGCCTGGACTATACCGCTCGCCCCCCTGAACAGTTCGAGGTTTTCCAGTTCTTGTTGTAAAACGTCCGTATCTCGTGGGTGGTAAAAAGGGCGGTTGACTACCTTGAGAATATACGGTGTCCTGTCACCTTTGTGGAAAACGCGAAACACTCCATTGGTTATTTCAGCCTCTTGTATCAATTCTGAGATTTCGACGGCTCGGAATGACGGAAATTGAACGGATGACGGGTATTTCACTCTCAAAGGATCCTCGCGAATATGGTATCGCATATTGCCGATGAGCCAAGTAGGCTGATCGATAAGTTCCGGCTCGAGACACAGGTTGGCGCTGTCAAGATTTTTCGTTTCCCCCTTCAAAACAATTTCAGTTACAGTATCATTCAGCAGGGCCAGCGATTGGAAGTCAATCTTTGTGACAAATTCTTGCAATTCATTACGTCGTTCGCGTTTTGACTTAATTTGCCCTGGCCTGACATCACAGGAAGAGCATGGGATTGCGCCTTCTAATGTGATTTTGATCCACCACTTTTTGTCGTGTAAACGGTAGATGACTGTCTGGGAGCGACTGTTAGGCTCAGGCTTCCCTTGAGCCCTGAAGTCCCTGTCTTCACAGTAGGCCTTGAATTCTAGCCCAGGAAGCACATGTGGATCTGTTGTGGTTGGCATTCTCTTATATAGTATTCGATGGGCGAGTAATAGCTTCGTCTTTTCGGATCGCGGAGTTGCTCATAGGTGAAGACGGGGGTTTCTTTTAGACCAGGTGAAAGTCTCATCCCCTTTATCACGTGATAACGCAATGGCAATTGTTGAATGTTGGGCTGCGGCCCTTTACCACCCGCTGAGCGTTATTTTTGACTTTCGCTCTTATTGGTCAGCATATGCCGCGTGAGGATCCACCGCTTGGTGCAACGTCAGCAAACAGACATTCTCAGCTGAGCCTTTTGAAAGCACGCATCGCTTTAATCTGCAAGTAGCATTTTACGTGGCTGTCAAGCCATATTGCCCGCTTTGCCTGTGGAGCCCCTTGTGTATCGTCGCTAGGGGCCTGACCGTTCTCTATATCCAATAGCAATAAGTATGTACAGTAACCGCCGGCCCTTTTAGTCCTAAGCCCCCACGCTCACATGTTCACATGCATGGTTGTGATTGCAAAATGATGTGCTGCATACCACGCTACCAGGAAAGATAAGTTCGGAACGGTAAAGGAGGCTGAGTTAGTCGGCGTGATCTGAGTACATACCTGCTTCGGAAGTATCCTGATTCGTACTACAATCTTTATTGTTATGGATCATAATAGGATTGGAAGCTGAGCCTAGTGGGCTAGCCCCCTTCCTGGTTCCCATATCTAGGCCATAAGAATGAGCGTTCAATACAGCAATGTGACACTCTTGTCAGAACTTGTCCTTCTATATGAGACGAGATTGTGACAGATAGCAGAACCCCCCCTCCCCCACTAAAGCACCCCGCTTCAATGCCGAAAGATCTCAGATTTTGCAACACTATGGCACTTCCCACCGATTTCATGGTTTCCTTTAGCAGATTAGTGTTCGTGGCGGTAGTGTGATGAGTATATATTTCACGACCCTGAACTCGATCCATGTCTAGGAAACGGTCGTTCACATATTTGGCAGCAGCATACAAGTCTTTGTCGGAGCCTGACTGAAAGGTGAAATGGAAAGTCTTTGCTCAAATAGATCAAATTTGTTCAGGAAGCGAATGATAGGCTTGCGGTTGAACCATTTGCTATTGACCAAGGAGTCGAGAATCCTCATTGATTCTTGTAGTTGTTTCTAGAATATGTTAGCAACCCACAATAGGAGCCTTCATCATGCGAAGAAGAAGGCGTACAGAATCATGGTCTTCAACTAAACGCTGATCATAGCCGGATAGCGCGGCTACAAAGATCAAACAAGTGACATCCTCAAAGCACTGAATCCACTTCCTTCTCTCGGAGCGTTGTCCACCCACGTCAATCATAAGCCAATTCATAGAGCCTAGATTGAAAGATGTCTCTCTGAGTCGTATCTGGAGAATATCTTAATTGTCGAAAAGCCATTCTCGAGCGGACAAACGGTCCATTGAGTTGTAGAAACTAGACAGATCCGTCAGCGCCACCACGGGCTGTTCATTGTGATATTTCTCACTAAATCATATTATCATAGAAAGAGAGATGGCGGCTTCGTATAGCAGCTTACTGTACACCTTTATCTTCCCACATATACTTATGGAATTGCATAGAGCCACACTCATTGTAGCCTCTGAGAAATCATCGGAATTTGATTCACGGATCAGATTGGCTGATGTCTGGATAGAAACCAGGCTTGGCAGTCGTTCCCGGGAGCAGAAATATCGCAGCGATCTAGGTTCCAGTCGCACCATGTCATTGTGCGTGGATCTTCTATCATAATTTTGAAACTTGACGAGTCTGAGCTGTACTCTAGTTTCGTAGGCTCACTAGACTTATCACACAAGTTTTAGAATATGGTGGCGAGAATAGCGCATTGCTTCCTGGTTCTCAATCCCAGATCCTAGGAGTCGGACAAGAAGGTCCCAGGCTTCCAAATACCCCTACTACTGCTCAGTTTGCAAATGTGCCCGGCAATGGATTCCTAGCACCGTTCATTCGGTGAATTGGTGGATACGTCATAACCAGCGTCCGGTTAGTGCTGGAACCGCTGCTATTTCCAACAGCTGCTCAGTAAGGCCCGAAAAAAGAATTACCGTAATCCAAGAGAATGGCTAGAATGGCTAGATTGTCTTTGTATCTTATTTGGCTGTTGAATGACTAAATGGCCGAATGGCAACATGGTGGCTCTGAAAATCGAACCATAGGTTTGTTACCAATCAGACCCAAGGTAGAGAAACTTACGATTACACTACACCCAAAAACGGTGGCTTGATCCTGGAACCGTGCAAATTCCCAGAAGACGCGAATTTTAACGAGCAAAATTATTATGCGCACAGGACAGAGATTCAGCCGATAGTTCACTAGCGTCAAGTTCAGTTTACTAATGATCGTACTTGTGATGAGAAGTATAAAGCGAGAGAGCCCTTCCGCTTCCCTAAATGTGGCCAGAAGCCAGACCCAGTCTGGTTTCCGTGAATCCTGCTTGCTTGCTGTCCTCAGCCTTTTCCTTCAGTATATTACTTATGTCACGTCAGTATGGATACTTTCACTGTTGACAGGCGTCAGTTCTATGGTAAAGACACTTGTTCGCGTTTTGCTTCAACTGCTAATTGAGAAAAGAAGAGGTTGGGGTAACGCTTGAAAACCGGGCTGATCAGAATCTGCGCCACTCGATTAAGCCCGAGTCAAGAACACACCCGAATGTACTAGATTTCGAACACGCTATCGCGCCATCTGGCTCCGCTCCGAGTCTTGTCAAGATTCGTGATGTTTGCTCTGATGAGACAAGTGATGTTAGCACCGAGGCCATGACAACTCCAGAGTTCTGGGACGCTTTGGAAGAAAGCCGACCACCCCCGCCAGACGAGAGTGAGGCTTTCTCTTCGAATTCTGTGTACGCGCTCATTGGATCAGTAGTCTCCGAGGGCCAAGGGAACTACCATCCTGGGCAGTCATCATCAAATAATCCGTACTCGAGTCTGAATGATTTCGACGTTGTGAGGATGCCTCCAGACAAGCGCCAAATCTTGTCTCACAATGTCGCTGGAGGGGACAAGGACGTAGGAGGTAATCAAATGGGTATGTTGGTCAGACAAGCCTATTGAACTAGTATAATGACGAGATGCAGAATCCGAAGGCGATAAAAGCCCAGTTGAAGACGTTCATTCCTCCAAAAAGCGAAAGATTATTGACTGTCTTGTCGAAAAACCCTTCAGTGACGCTACAGCTGCAGGGGAAAAGCTCAAGGCTCGTTCATCCACCGACGCATGTGCTTCCAGTAGTGTGTCTTCGTTGAAGCGCAATTCTCTACAGGAGGGTGGCCATTCCAAGCTCAGGCGATCAAAGAGGTTGGAAGAAAAAGCTAGAACCTAGTGGATCACCATCGTTGTGATCAACGGATACTGTAGAGATATAGTATATACACGCTAAATTATCAAATACCAAGCCTCAATAATATCCTCGACACAAATTCAAAGCGGCGAAATCCGCATTTCCTTCGTACATTTCATGCCTATGCTTTTCCGCTACCACCGTACGGAAGTGAGAAAAGGAAGACGGTAATATTTGGACCGATTACACGGCAGCCTATCTGGCGATTTCCCAGCAGAAAGTAAATGAGGAGCGAGGCACCAAAATCAAAATTCGCACCAGAGTAATGAACGAACGGAACCCAAAAAGAACCTATCCAACACTGAAGATGTGATAATCATGTGGATATGTATGCACGTGATCTCAGTCTCGTCGTTTTGTGGGTCCAACTGGTGATCCACCAAGGTCCGCATGAATTTATCGATTTAAGCGGCCTCAGAAAAGAGCGGTTATGGTGGACAATGACCGACCACCGTAGAAGCACCCTCTATGATTTTGCTTGTTCCAACTTGCTTGGGGTCATCAATGTGGCCAGAACTCAGAACGTTGATGATTTCCACGGACAGTTTGGATTATCGGGTCGTCTAACTTGAAGAGCCGCGTCATCCAATACCGCAAATCACCCAGCACAAAGAAACGCTAATACCTAACGCCAACACTTTTGTCTATACCATTTCAATACAGTAAAATTCGAAAACAGATTACCCCCCGAGACATGCAAGTTTACTGTCCCAGAGACCCACTTTAGTGTTTAGTCCGCATGGCCCCCGTTCTAGACTTCCTTTTAGCCAATGAAACAAGTTTATGACCGCGGGAAAGAGACTCATCTAGCCATAGTCGGCTTAGCGCACGACAAGTGGGGCACTGGGAAAGAAAGCGTGTGTGTCTTCGGGGGTAATCTGTTTTCGAATTCTACTGTAACAGGTGTCCCTTTATTCACGCGTTTTCAACCCAGTCACGAATATTCTCCACAAGATCCGGGCAATTCCGGGCTTGATCCCTTTGCCGACGAAGAATTCTGGATTTTGATCCTTGTAAATGTGTTCAAGTTCAAAGCCGTCGGACAGTAGGGTTCCGAAAGGAATAAAGGAATGCGAATAAACGCCTTATTCATATTCGCACTCCGCGAATATGAATATATGAATTTTTTATTCACGCGAATAAACGCATTATTCATATTCGCATTCATATTATTCATATTGTGTATTTTATCCGGAATAATACTTTGTCCGATACGGCGGTTATCGCATTACTGAAATACCCTTAGAGGTCTGTTTCATATTGCCATCACTTCATCGGCGATGCTGGACGGTGTAATATCACTTGCAGGCATATGCTGAGATGTTAAAATCGCTTTTATTGGCTTCTTAGAAGCCTGTTATTCCGTAAGCAAGTAACGCAAGCTGTTTTCCCCATTTGCGGGTGCTCACATTGGAAACCTTCACACCGGCCACAGAGATCCTCGGAATAATATGTATCTACATGCCCAGTTTCATACTATCTTGGGTCAAATTATCGAATAGACCTGCTCAGCCCCGCTATATACCTTCAGTTCACTGTAAACTCTGTCTATATAAGCAACTCGATAAATGACACGTAAAAACGCGTTTGCCGCACGACGCCGAGCTCTCAGTAGCCCTAACTACATTTTGTTTACATTCAACCCCATCAAGATCGCGTCGCTGGAAGCTGGGAAGAGACCTATCAATTTTCCACATCAAGAAGGGAATAAAAAGCGCGAGCATGATTGAGTTCGCCCGGAATCATTCTCAAGTCCCTTGCCAGCCGGCTCCTTGTTGTTCTACCGGAGGAGAGCCAATTCAGGCAGCCCAAGATATGTTATACCTTACTGCTGATACCTCTCTGAGATACTGACCCCAAGAAACAGTTGCATGGCGTCTGAATCTCATCCGATCTTGCGGAGGACTCGCGGTCTTCCTCGTCGGGACTATAATGCCCTACATAATGGCCTCGTTCCCTCATCTTCGGAGCAATCCGAGGAATCGATCGGTGAAGTAGAAAGCCCTTTCTCTCCCGAGCCCTCCCTACCTGTGCACACCGACGAAACACTTCAGTCAAAACGGTGTTACTCTTTAGTGAGCTCTTCACCCTCCCCACTTGATTCCGCATTTTTGGAGAGTAGCGGAGATACGGCGAGTCCGCTCCCATCAAAAAGACGAAAGACCAAGTCGTATTCTAGTTGGACCGTCGAGCACTTTTGGACCACAGATCTCGATAGCACTTGGTGTCGGCGGGATGGCCCGCCAAAGAAAGATCGACTGCTGGTGTGCAAGCACTGCAACTGGTCCTCTAGGGATTCGGCGCGCTATGGTTCCACTTCAAACTTGCTGGTGCACCTCCAAACCAAGCATCATATTAAGTCTGAGACCGGCTCCATTTTCTTACCCGCGGCCGAAGGAAACATCGACCGATTCTTGGAGACGCCAAGAAGGAAGGCTGGCGTTGAAGAGATGCTAATTCGATGGGTTATTCAAACAAGATAGCCCTTTACAATAGTGGAGCACCCGGCTTTCAAGGCACTTATTGAAGCAACAGGGGCTTCTTTGCCCATTAAGACCGCTGATACTCTGAGCAACCGAATTAAGGAGGAATTCCACTCACATAGGGCTTACGTGAAAGACGAACTTAAAAGGAGCAGCTGGACACTTGCATTGTCTCTTGACGTGTGGACGTCGGAAAATCAAATTCTAATCATGGGTATCATCGGTCACTGGATATCTCCCGAGTTTGAAAAGCGAGACGAACTCCTTGAGTTCACCGAAATTAACGGACCGTATTCTGGAGAGAACCTAGCGGAGGTTGTGCTAAAGATGCTCGACGAACTAGACATCGCGCCCAAACTCCTGACTATCACCGGGGATAATGTAGGCAATAATGGAACACTCTGTGATAGCCTACATCACTAGCTCCTTAAGAAGTATGATAATGATGATGACCGCTTTCGCATTAGACCTCTTATGCGGTTCCGTGGACGGTAGAGCTTTATTCTATGCCTTGCCTATATCCTTAACCTGATTTGCAAAAATGTGTTAGCCTCTTTAAAGGCTGGCTCGGCTCGGGAAGCAAAGGCGATACTAGACGATATGGCCATCTATGTTAGTCTAGCGTTCAACTCCCTTCATAGCACGAAAGGAGCAATTATGAAAATCAGGCTTCTGACACTATGGATTGCTCGAAGCCTATAACGCCGCCAAAATTGGAAAGAAATATCCCCGAGCAAATAAGTCGGTTATGATGTGGACACCCGATGGAACTCAACGTATATTATGATTCAAGATGCCCTATGGCTGTAGACTGAGCTGGGGCAATTCGTGCGAATATATCTAGAGGTTCAGGCTCTCTAGCTTACCGATAGTGACTGGTCGACACTTTAGTAAGTAGCGAAGATTCTTAAGCCGTTCTGGGACTATATAAACTCTGTTTCAAAGACATGCCTGATGATTGTGGAAAGTCTTCCGATTTACTGGAGTTTGGACGATCTGTTGAATGATGTTTAAAACGCGGAGGGGGATTTTGAAGACGTAAGCCTTAAAATTCGTAATGCGGTGGAGAGAGGTATTTAGAAGATGAATAAGTTCGCTAGAAAGATGGACGATAACCTTCTTTACTATGTGGCTTCTGTATTAGATCCACGCATTAAGTCATCTTTGATTGTGTCTTAAATGAGCGAGTAAGATTCGGCCCTTATCGTTTCGTAAGTGCGGGAATTTTTAAAGAAAGAATACCCTCTAGAGCTATTCGTCTCCCGTGAAGCTAATTATACACGCCCACCGGGGATGTCGGAAACTATGTGGAGAACCCTGTGCAAAGTTCAGCCATCCAAAGAGGCGTCTTTGTTGGATGTTGATAAGTATTTGGATTCTCCGCCGGTCAACTGGTCCCACTATATGATTGGTGATGTGGACGCAGAATGGGTCCTAAAGTGGTGGAAGGCGAACGCGTTTAATTTTCCACTTATGGCAAAAGCCGCTCGCGATTATCTATCTATCCCTTCGGCAGAGGTTGGGGTGGAACGCGAGTTTAGCAATGCTCGAAATATCTTGGGCCTCCGAAGACATCGCCTGAACGCGGAGACTATGCGATGGTTGATGTGGTTGAGAGAAAAGTCTTAAAATCAAATCTCATCTTTGTTATGTATGCATGTCATTTTCGATGCTTCGGAAAGAAAATTAACCTGTATTTCACTATGGAATAGAGTATACGCGTTGATGATGTACTCGAACGTAATGAAACGAAAGGTCAGGTAAGGTATTTTATTATATGAATAAATATGAATTATTCATATATTCATGAATATTGCGAATATGAATAAGCTCTTTATTCATATTCATATTATTCAATTCATATTATTCATATTCACAAAAATTTGTGAATATTCATGAATAATCATATTCCTTTCGGAACCCTATCGGACAGCGTTATGTGTCACGCTTGTCGAAGTCTAGCTTTGAGGGTATCATCGGTTATATTCGATGCAAGCCACTCACTGTATTCTTTGATAGCTACGTCTTTGAACCCGGAATCTTCAATGGACCCATATCTCTTAGCCCCGCGGAGGCATCACGCGAGCTATTGGCCCGTTTAGTGGGATGTGGCGAGTAAACATTGATGTTGATGGGTGGGTACGGCGATCTATCCCTAAATAGATTTACTGGATACTCTAGGGCGAACAATGCTATGGTACGCTGTCAAGACGCGTGACCATATAAGAGTGAAGATTTTAATTGAATGTGGCGCAGACTCTGGTGTTGCAGGCTCTGAGGGCGTGATACCTCTTTATGTCGCTTTGATGTAGGGCGAATTCGTCGACGAAATCATAGCGAGAATTTTGCTGCGTTCCCGGTCGACAATGTCGATATCCGAGATCCTCTAGGGCGGCCAGAGCGTGGATCAATTTGTTTCTAGACTAAGCCAGGACAATCAACGCTTTGAGGTTCCCCCTGAAGTTAGGTCGGATGTCAACGCCCATAACTCAGGCTGCGAAATGCTCTTGATGCAGGCAGTGCATTTCGGGCAAGAAAATGTCGATCTTTGCGCGAAAAATGGGTATGGATACACGGCGTTGCATATTGCTACTAGTGATGGCTAGCTAGGAGTAGTCAATCTGCTTCTATCTAGCGGACGGATTGACGTGAATTATCCGGACCGCTGCGGTAACTCTGCCTTCTGGCTATCTGTAGACCTTATGCGTGACGATATCAGCGAGCGGTTCTTTAATGATAGTAGGTAGGATATGTACCGTGTTATGCGGAAAGGGTAGATAGAACTATTCCACGCTTGCCTATATCTACCCTTGGCCTGATTTAAGAGATCATATCATTGATATCTGTGACACTCTCTATTCTTACCTGATACCTCTCTGAACTACCTACTTAGCGCATAAGTTCATCAGCAGAAATGCCTTTTTAATATTTTTCCAGGAGACTTTACTGGCTTTAGACGCGCTATGGGAGCCTCCCTGGTGGTACTCTATGGGGCCTGCTCTGTTATTACTTCGTGAATCAATTGGCTGTGAATTCTGAATCCACCCTGCTTGTACCTATAAATTCAGCATAACCTCTTTTATGTGCCCCTTCAAGGTGGCCACTGGATAGCCTGCAGCCAGTTTAGTATATTCACTGAATGATGCATCAATCCATGCACTCTGCGGGAAATTGCGTCACATCTATCCCGATCCTTGAGCATGCCTAACAGATTCTGTTAAGTCGCCTAGGCCTTTGATCGAATACGTGGAAGTGAATAATTTAGCTTGCGACCTTTTGAAACTGTCAGGATGCGCCATGCGTGATATTCATGACTGGTCAATAATATCGATGAGGCATGGGCCGTAGTCGTTGCATCTATTCTTGTCGCATAGCTTCACGCTTAGTGGCCTGTAGTTGCTGCTTTCTCTGGATTGGCATTTTGGTATTTTTCTAGACTTGCGCATAGTGGAAGTCTTCCTTGAGCTGGAATCGAATAATGGTCTTTGCTCGCCCCGGGCGTGGCGGAGGCATGGTGCTTTTTGGAATTTTCTGCTTGAGGTAGACTCTAGGTGGATTGTCTAGTATTGGTGTGGCGTCTGATGACGTTCGCGTTCTTCGTCGTATCGGCCCGTGAGGAAAGTAGGCCACTGTAATGTACTGTATCGAAGTGGGTTTGAGCGACGGAATCGATCTATTTATGTTATAGGATTAGCTCACGAACTAGTAGAGTTGGAACATTGAGTATGCGGTGATATTGGTGGGGCCTCCTGCCTAAGACTAATGCGATGGCATTAAGTTCTTGATTCCCACTGTCTGTGACGGTAGAATGGGCTGGAAAAGAGGCTTTCCCCTCTTCCCTGTAATATTGAAGCCTTATACTATTTGCTCTACTGGGTGATCGTGACCTTCCGACCGAGCTCCTAATAGTAAGGCTGCCCTGATTCTTGAGGTCGCCGCTAGAAAGTTGATGGTGAAATATCCTTGGATTACTAAACCTAATCTACCACTATATCCTGATGGGAGCTTTTAAATTTTTCTCGAATACCTGAGGGGATCAAAAAGTTGCGTAGTGTGGGTAGCGATCGTGTGTTAAGCGCTAAGTCTAGCTGAGTTAATATATTTACTAAGTGATCTATATCTTTTAAACCGATTGTTAACATATATTACGTTTGATGTATTTGAAAATGATTAAGTAGCTGGTAATAAGTCTTCTGTGGTGTGCCCCGTTGGCTTGCTTGGCTAATTAGTAGCGTGGCAATATTATCCTGTATAACCACTGTAGTTTTCCTCTATATATCGAAGGAGTGGTAGATGTCACCTATCTGGATACCGAGCTGGCACCAAAGGATAGTCTTTCCTATCTATATCGCCTTATAGTTGATGGTGTCGGTAGCTCTCTTAAAGTCTCTACGTGGTGGAGAAGCCTCTAGGTCACGTAGATAGAGTATAGTGCTTGTTTTGGGAACGAAGGTAGCACGGACTGTCGCCCTATGAACATGATCTACTATGATCTTTCGAAGATCAATGACCTAAGTAATACTGAGTATGGGGTCTGTATTGAGCCGACCTTTGCTAATTGCGTAACGATCTACTATCTGGTAAATGTGTACCGATGCGATTCTACCTACTACGAACCTGACGATAACTTTGTAACTAAGGGTTGCGATGTCGGTATAGATCTGAAGGTCTCTTTTTGCCTATACTTAAGCTCTTGACTTAAAGCTTGTAATTACTATTTGACCGTCGTCTGTTGAGCCTACGGCCTTGTAAAGTTTCTAGATAATCGGAAATATTGGATTTACCCTATTATGTATTTTAAACCTTTAGTTTGGACACCGTTACTATAGTATATGGTTCTGCTGGGATTGAGTGATTTAGTACTCGACTTGCCTCCCTGTTGGTGGCTTGATGAGTCGCTGGTGGCTTAATGATTATAGTTATAGCTTACGTCGCACTATTGGTGTGCCTGGCTTATCCTATTAAGATAATACTATTGAGTTAAAATGGGTAATGGCTTTGTCTCTTTGAAATGACTTTTATTTTTGGTTAAGAATTAATAAGGTAATATAGAAAGTGAAAATAAGATGTTCTAGACCAAAGATTTGTTAGATAGTAGACCCCACACGGCTTGTTTGAATCTGAAGTTGCCTCTGCCTTGGTATATATTGACTGTGAGTCTTTTGCTTTACTGCCTCTTCGATGAGATTTCCTAAATCACGATTCTTGCGGGATTTGGTAACCTCGGCTGGTAATGCTAAATTGTTAGGTACTTTCGGACCTTGGAGTAGTCTACTGACCATTGTAGAGTCTTCTTGTCTTATGGCTAATAGGAGTGCCGTCTCGCCCTAATGATTGATCGAATCGAGGTCGATGTGAGGATGCTCGAGTAAGATGTCTAGGATATCTAGTCTTCTGTGACGAATAGCCATAAATAGCGCCGTCTCTTTATTAGGGCTGTGTAACTGGTTGATTTGTAGACGATCGCCTTGCTAGATCAGCAATTTTATTATGTTAATATGGCCCTTCTGGGTTGCTAAAAGCAGTGGCGAATCACTGTGCGGGGTTATAGTGTTGATTTGTGTCTTTTTGTGAGCGAGTAGTAGTTTTATAACTATAGTGTTTCCTTCCTATATAGCTAGGCAAAGAGGGGATTGAGAGCCACCGCGGAGGTTTGGGTTAAGGGCTGGTAGGCCTAAAAACCACCGAAGGGCAATTATATCTCTTCTAAAGGCTAGATGGTGAAGCGAAGTAGAGGGGTCATTGTATCTCCCACTCCTTCTAAGCGTATTGACCTCGACTCCCTCCTCTTTTAGAAGCCTCTTCGTGACACTGTTATGAAATGCAAAGGTAGACCACCATAGCGCAGTCTGGCCGTAAGTGTCCTTGTAGTTTAGGAGAGTGTTTGCATGATGTAGCAGAAAATCTACCGCTATAAGATGCCTACCCCTTATAGCTATGTGGAGAGGTATCCTCCCTTCTTGATCCACTATGTCTAACTTTTCTCCTTAGCGGCGTATCATTTGCAATATGGGAATATTTCCGCTGTTGGTAGCTAAGAACACTATTTCTTCACTTCCAGTAATCGTGGTACCGTTCGAACTAGTTATAGAGGACGTAGCCTTCTAGTGATTTAGAAATAGGTCCTTAATGGAGCTCCTGTTGCTGATGCATGCCTGGATCCATAGCGAAATCCCATCCCGATCCTTAGTGTCAGGATTGGCGCCTCTTAAGAGTAGCAGACACGCCGAGTGTCTGTCGCCTTAGAAGATAGCAAGCCAAAGCACTGTTTGACCTTCGTAATTTGGGCGATCGATTTTGACACGAGGGTGTTAAAGGAGCTGATTCACGATGGTAGATGACTTCTTCGCCATGCCGTGCCATAGAGCACTCTGCCCCCTTGCGTTTTTCAAATTCACGCGTAGCTTTTTCTCACGCAGTAAGAGATTGATGACTAGCTCTAAGCTGTATTCTACGGCTATCATAAGAGGAGAGGAATCATGGATTAGCGCATTCACGTTAGCTCGGTAAGCAAGTAAAGTCTTTATAAAGGCGTAATTATTGGTTTTAGCGGCCTAATGCAGCGTAGAGCTGTTTTGGTGCTTAATATTGTATTTTATCAGGGCTAGGCGTAGCTTAGGGTAAAGTTCTGGGTAGGCCCGAGTAAAAGCAGAAATGTCGCCTCCTGATAAGGTACTGGCTATGATCTAAAGAACCTCTATAGGAAGACAAAGAATTAAGGTATCGCCAACGTCCATTTTATTCGTGAATGATGTTGCTTTGTTCTAAGGTGACGAAGGTAGTTAATGTAGAGCGATAGAACTAATGTAACTATAATGTTGAGCGATTTAGGATTAGAATTTTCTAACAAATTGGGATGATGAGGATATGAGAAGCTTTTAAGTATTATAAACGGTGGATGGGTGGATATTTGGCTGCCAGCTAAGCCTTACCTTGTATGCTAATTGTATGCTGACACACAAAGCGATATAGTCAAGGCCCCAGGAACACAGCTGTGTACCCTAGGAGCCCCGGGCATCTTGAAGTAACTTCAGAATAATTCATGTATACCGCATATATACTTTTGCCCTTAAGAGGGGCTTTTTTCTGGATATTGACCAAAGCCTCTGCGACGTTACTTAAGCCATAGTGTGAGCTGAGAAGTACATTGGTGGAGAAAAGTCAAAATTCACAAAATATATAGAATAAACATAGTATAGGTTATATTTCAGCATTATGCTTGGCTAGACGTTAATTAGCCAATATTTGGCTTTCCCTCTAATCCCAGGGCTATAAACCGGCCATGTGGACATTTATCCCGTGTATCCCGTGCATGATAAGGTAAATACTCCATAGCCCTTTTCACTAGTATCTATTTGAGTTCGTTTAGAGATTTTCTGCCTTCCTAGATGCTAATTTAACCTCTAATTTGTTGAAATATGATGATCTACCAAGGTTACTCACTATGTCTAATACCTTAAGGACCCGTTTAACCAGAAATGCTAAAGCTATATAACTTGCTTGTTGTTGGCAGCTCTAGGGGCTAGCTGAATGATTTTAGGAGCGGAATACGTATTCCTAGGGCCTTTAGGTTAAGGTCTAGGAGCTTGACTGCTTCTAGGAATATATAGTAGTATTCCTGGGGACATAAATTATATTCCTAGGGCGAATGAGCTAATTCCTAGGCGCCGATTCAGTCCCATATGTAAGTGGGGTTAGCTAAGATTCAGGGTAGCATAGTAGCTTCCTAGGTTCATTAATTATATTTTAGACCTAAAGACGCCTATAGCGAAAATGTATATAAATAATTAGAAAGCATACATTAAGCGCACGCCTCGTCCCACCTCTTCTTTTTTACTTATTCTATGTTTATAATAAGGTTGGCCACTATTTTATACTTAGTAGTGACTATATTTTAGTTAGTTATAAGGGGTATATAACTAGCGTTATCGCACTTAAGTCTTCTAGATAGCCCGTTATATAGGCTCAATCTAACGGTGTTGATTTTAACTTTTATGTGCTTAGCTATGAGTCTAGGATTAAGCTATATTAAGAAGGCCAATATTAGTATAGGAATACTAAGAGGAGTTATCGTAGTACTTATAATATTACTAGGGGTAGTGTGCAATCCTCCTATGTCGTCGGAAAATGCTGATTATGCGTTAGTATCTTGGTATTAAGGTTTATATGGCCGGCTTAGGAGGCGTGTCTTATTGACCGAAAATATGTTTTCCACTTTTCGTTTATTTCTCCTACTTGGTAAAGATATCTGCTGCCATATATGGAGTCTTCTAGTATCCGCTAATGTGGTCTGCGGTGACCTTCCTTCTTTCACTAGATTATTTGGTCATGGCGTTTTTCTACTAGTGGCTACGTGGGCGGACTATACCTAGATACCAGACTCGATTTCACGTAATATTTTTTGTATATTAACTGTCCGTCCTATCTATAACTCTCTTAATCATCGCCATCGTGGGCTCTATTATAAAACGTTGGTTGCTATCGCTAGAGGTAAGTCGCTACTCCTACTTAAATAGCGGCGTACACTGATTCGAAAAGCTCTAAATACCCATTATTGCGCTCTCTTTATTTATCTTGCTTCTCTTTGGGTGGTGCGAGTTAGCATTAGTTTGATGAGGCTGAATATGCCGAATTCTGTGTATGTGATGGTTTTAATGGTTTTATCCTCGTCGTATTCCCCTTTGAATGCTTAGATAAGAAAGTTAGAATCTCCGGTAGTGGAGCTCTTCCGTAGTAGAAGGTCCGGCGGAATGTTGATCAACGATTGCTTCAGTGAATAGAAAAATCGGGAAGAATCATGAACGAGTCCCATCCTAGCTATCTTCTTCTTCCGATTAGGTAGTCACTTTTGACCCAGTCCAGATGTCTTATTTAATTGACACGTCTAATCTCTAACCAGCATGTCTAATATGTAGCTCATTCTCCGTTGGTCGGGGAAATGAAGCTCTATTTAGCGCTATAACTAGGATCATTGCTTCACCACCACACCTATTCCTCTATGGAGGACCGCGTTTAACGAACTACGTTCATGGATATTTTAAACTTTATTTGCTTATACGTTAGAGATTAAACCGACGTTGTTACTTAAGACGTAAGATGCATTGAAAGAAGCGTGGTGAAGTGGTGAAGTGGTGAAGTGAGAACTATCATTTTGAGCGCACTAGATAATAGTCCGCCACCATCATGAAGAATATACCCTTATTAAGCTATGCCATTCGGTGCCCGCTGCCGTAGATTTGACATAACCTAGATTTCTATATAACGATTTTCGGTCCTTGGATTTCGACGGTGTCAAGAATAATAATGAAATATTAATAAGGGCCGACGTGCATCATTCAGAATTTGGAGCCCGAGTCACCGCACGAATAGAGGGCGATGGCGAGCAAACACCTTTTAACCTTATGATTCTACTTACTACGATTATATATTAATCTTCACTATTAGTTGGCGAACCGCCTAAAAGCGATGCCGAGTAAGGATGGTATGTGATTAATGCGGTATCTGTCTTTAAATACCTCCTGCGATCCTATTTATAGCTTCTCGTTGCCTCTGCTCTAGGTGTCTGACGCTAGCCATGTCTAGCCAGTTCAATTTCCATTTTATGCTATCAAGGCTCAACAAATTCCTTCACAAAATAGTATTGTCCAGGGAAACTCTATACTTCTGTCGCGAAACGAGCGAGGCCACGAACCCACTTATCTAAGATTGTCACTAGTCCCCCGAGTCTCTATCTTCCCCACCTGTATAAGCTGGACGATATCTTAGCCGCATTGATCGTGAGAAGGGAGTCCCCGTGGGATATATATCTACTAGCCATCACCTATAATATCGTAGGTCTGGTGGTTATTGCCGCTCGCCGCACCCGCCTGTTACGCGTGGTGGTAATCCGAAAGTATCAAAGACAAGACGCTAAAGGTTTGCTTGATAAATTCGGGCGACTCGAACATATAAACCTTCTCTCCGTTCGTGAATGCTAAATTGATGGTAATTCTATGTTCGCTCTCGTCAATGACCTACCATTGACACTTGCTTATGTCGTTTCTTGTCCGAATTTCTACCCCACTAAGACCGAATTGGGTTCGATCCTGATGTAGGTATGCCATCTTAGTCCTTTGCTTAGCACGCTATTTATTGGCTTTATAGGTTCTGGACGGCGCCTGGTATTTGGCGGCTTCTGGCCTTACTCACTAGTTATTTTTATGTCGTGAGATATTGCTTGGCCTGGATGGAATTGTCAAGATTGTTTAGTGATGAATCAAAAATGCAACGAGAGCGCTGACATCTGATAGCGTGCTGGGACTACTGATTGTACACTAGGTTAGGCAGAAACCGTATACCTCGCCGCCCTGCCGTCGATCGCGATGCGGCTTATGCAAAAATATGATAAGGAGGAAGGGGTTGCCGGAGTCACTATCCTCTGTCGCTGGCCGATCGATTTAGATGTAGTGCGGTTCTTGTCCGCTACCGCGATGGTAGTGTCGATCGCACCCCTGAAGGAGGTGCATAAACTAATAAGACTCTAGAATGTGGCTAGCCGTGACTAGTAACCTCTCGTCGATTCAAAACCCGCTTAGCTGTTAATCTTATTATCCTTGTAAGGGCGGTCCTGCTTTCCGGCCAAAGCCTATGTATAAACCATAACCTGGCTTAGCCTGCTCCATCACTTTCGCTAGGAGTTTTGTCCACGTTGCGTCCTACTAGTGGACGCGGTTGGTATGTGTCTCACCGCCCTTATGGTCGCCTGAGACACGCGCTGCGTTGTCCCTGAACGGGTGGGCTGTGTGCTTAGGAATTATTGTTCTTTTGGTTTCTGAGGCCCAAAAGCCTATATAATCAATGTGTAGTCCTAGTGGTTTTCTAACCAGCCAACTTCTTTATAGAGTGTGTAAGGAATCAGTTCCGATACCCCGGCTTTGTTCCTGATCTGCACTAACCTCATTACGTAGTTTTCCGTCTCTCTTCATAGCTAATCTTTATCTCTTGACTGTTTTAGGCGATTGATTCCCTTATCTTTTTATGTCTTGCCGTGCTAGCCCATGACCCGCGCCGGTATGTGCGGCCTTCTGGCACTATCTACGAAATCGCCGAGTGCCTTGATTTTTCCCCCTTAATGGCTTCCTGGAAGGCTCCGTTTGAAGAAGATCGTTACTTAATGCTATATTCCTCTAACCGAGATAGTAACTACTTGTATTAGCTACTGTCGGACACTAGAGGACTTGCTTAATATCCCGTATGGTATCTCGTAGGGCCCGGCTGTACGAACAATAGAATACACAAGAATGGCCTGCAAACTTGGACTAAAGCTCGGCACCCGTAAGTGGCCTTATGAATCCTCTCACTAAGTGGGTGGGATATGTTCTAACCCGCAAGCTGAGCGAATAATCCATTACCCCGTTAATCCCAACCTAGAGATACTAGACACGTGCGCCTTCGATCTCGTAGTTGCGCTGTAATATTGCCGGTTAAACCGGTCGACTTTGCCTCGCAACCCTAGGGTGGGAGAAAGATTCGTTAGCTCCTTCTAGAGAGCCAGACTAGGTCTAAAACTGGCGAATCGAGTCATCTACTATTACTAGGCCGCCGGGTAGGTCTTACGACCTATGAACTCCTCAAGAATAAGGCTACTTTAGTCTATCTCTGAATACGATATTGACGCCCTTAGGGCTTCCCAATGATAAACGATGCGTATTACTTCTTTACTCGGTATATCTTCCTATGATAAAACCTAATGCCAGACTGCTCTAGTCCCAAGCTGATCCGTTAAAATGTCTTCTTTCTCGTGGATATAGTGATTTGCCAATCGCATCTTCGACACATTTTAGTAAGCATTAGAAGACCAATAAAGTAAGTGAGTAGCAAATAAATAACCCTCTCCAAAACATATAAACATCTCGAGATTACTTTTTATGGCGATAGCCTTACCATACCAACTTCATAATCTATATCTATGTGCTCGTGTCGCCCTGTTTAAATTGCTGGTTAACAAGCCGAAAGACCGGACACAATGAAATCATGATCATTTATGATCATCCCACACCTCAATCAGTGCCTTATAATAAACGTGAGAACCCCTATCGCTCGGGAGCTCCGGGGGACGTTAAACCAGTTAATATTGATATGCTCCTCCGCGGCCTTAGTAAGTATTATTGGTATATGGGACCTTGATAAGTCGGGCCACGCCAACCTTGCAAAATAACTTAATAGGACAGCAATTCTTTAAAGCCAATAATACTAGCGTGACGTACATGGATATTCTCCGCGTAAGGTCTGGTGTTAAAATCATATCCCGAAAGCCATAGAAATAAAATTCATATATCCTAGGGTTTCCTTCCTTTGTATAGCGTAACAGTCGCCGTATTTACGCTATAGCGGAAGCGGAAGCTTAGAGATAAGTCATAAATTGGTATTTATGAAATATTTCAACTTATGGCTCTGGTGGCAAAGCCGTAGATGCCTTGTGAATCGATGTAGCCGAGATATGATCACTCAAACCGGTTACCGAATATGCGCTATTATCTTGGGTGTATCTATGTAGCTTAGGACCGTGGAACACATAGTGATCTTGGGGCACTATCTATAGTCTATGGCAACCTCTTTGATCTTCACGTCTGGCTTGTAGATCACTCTGTCTACCTTCCTAGCTAGTCGCCACGTCAGCGTCCACGCTTTTTGCATGATAGCGGGCTATCTTATTGTATCTACTGCCCTGTATATCCCCCTAGGTTTATGCACCCCGAGCGCAAGGAGCCCTTGCTTCTAGTGAACACTCTAGTATTCCCTCGCGGGTTCGCCGCCGTCTATGACTATTGGAGCTATTAATAAATAAGGTGCATTTAAACGCAACTTTTAAACCGCTAAGGACGGTTTCGACTCCCGCGCGTATTAATGAATAAGATTATCTAGTGTCTAGTGAGAACGACTAGTCGGTCTGCTAGGGGTCCTTCTGACCCATCCATTGGCTTAGGAATCCGATTAATCCCTTCTATTCTAGTATTAAGTGATAACGGGATGCGTAGTCTCCCCTAGTCGACTGTGGCTTGCTTGTATCCTATATGGATAAATTCTTTAACATAAAAACCCCTAATAATGTGGAAGTCGGAAGTACGGCACCGACTTTTGCTAATTATTTTCGATTCACCTGACGTTTATCGTGAAGTTTTAGGAACGGTCGGTATTCTTATGTCAAGGACAACGTCAGGAAAGCGTGATGATCTAGGAGTGTATTCTTAATCTAATAATCTGATTGGATAATCATCATCCATAAAGTACAATACATCATATATTAGGTGTAATTATATTTAGGAATCGCATAAGAGAAGCAGTACATTAGGATTGAGAGGGTATACTTCAAAATTTCAGGATGATAGAGCCACTTGTTAACGTGGATATCTACCGCGCGAGAATCGGGTTTAATGCCACTTGTTTGATACTTTAAGCCGATTCTCCCGAACAATTTCAATAAAGATCGATATCACCGCTAATATAACGATACTTGGTTCTTTATAAGAGCCGTAGTAGATCGTGTCTCATGCCACTACTTAGGCAAGGGACGGATATTGATCTGGCTGAGCTACGCTAGAGCCTAGCACGTCGAGCGGTGCGATTTCATCCACCTAGGGCGCTCGATATATACCGGGCCCTGGTAGGAACGTAGCTAGCTGTTTATTCTGGAGTGACTCTATTGTACTCTAGATGCTATATGCCGTGGAGAGAAGATTGGTATGCGTCTCCTGGAGTATAGGCTGGATGTCGCCCCACGCTACTTGGTTTTGGGAAGTGAGAACCGCCGTCTTGAGTTGTTGCTTTAGCTAGGCGATTTCCTCCGTAAGATCGCTGCACTTTTGCTGCATCTATGTATGGTCGGAGGTGATTTGGTGTAAATTCGCTGTTGCTTGGGTGTTCTTACCCTATAGTTGTTGTATTGACTGCGAATCCTCCGATTGTGTACTATTGATCTCCCCCTTGAGCTTCTGGACCTCTACATCAGCCTACTTAAGATACATTAAGCAGTCATGGTGCTTAGCCTCCTAGTTGACTTCCTCTTGAAACCTTTTCGTTGACTATAAATCCTGGCTGGTAGTCAGCGGAATATGATATCTATTGCTTGAGGGTGGGATTTCTACTCGTAGCTGGGATTTGGATCCTCGTGGGGCTTTCGTCACGCGAGTGGGAGGCCCGCTAGACTACAAAATGTTCCCACGAGGCTTAGAGGAAGCCTTTCTAGCCAACGCTTGAGGAGGGAGGGGGGGTGGAGTAGGTATCTCGTGCAACTGGGCAAGAACCGATTCTACTGTAAATAACAAAGCTCGGAAAGATAGTATATATTGTAGCCAAAGCGGGTAACTCCGATCCTAAAATACCTAGAATAAACGGCGAGGTAGCTCACTTTTCGAGTTATACCGTGAACTAGAGCTAATTCTAATAAACCGTTGGTTATGTTTTTTTTTTCCCTTTTTTTTTTTTTTTTTTTTTTTCTTTGTCACTCAAGAAAAGAGAGGTTTCACCAGCTTACTGATTTAATAACTAGTCTAGATTAGGTCGACTACTAGTGGAGTCCTAAGTCTGGATCTATATTTTGGTCGATCAATCTCGCAATCCTAGCGGAGTCCAAGTATAACGTAATCCAGTAATGCTTTATGATTAATAACTTTGTAAATTGGTTAATAACCGCCGACCCACCTACCCACTTGAGCTTAACGGTTCTTTGCGACCGCTATCTAAGTGGGCCTAGCGGGGAAATAGACGACACTATTATTTAACCGAAACTTGATTTAAAGTAACAAAAAATGTTCTTGTTTGGTTTTCTTATTCGCCAATTGCGGTTTAATTTCCGCGATATCCCCGGGGGGAAATAATAGAAATCCGCGGTCCGGTCCTTTGTAGGCAGATCCGCTAGCCCAGCCACGGCGCACTGACCGCAGTGTGCCCTATTTTCACTTTGCGAGTCTCTCACTCCTTAAGGTCCTACGATAGTGGCAATTTGTGTATGGTTAAGCCCATTCATGATCATGCATATATTAGTGTCGCACTTCGCAGGGGAATGTTACCTTCTCTCCCACCTAAATTGATGATCTAGCGTGCTATGAACCTAGACTTCTGTTTTTGTATATAACGCGGCTCTAAGCGTCTGTATGGGTTATATAACTAGCCTCTTTGAACTAGCAGGATTCCTTAACTCGGTCTAGCGCTTTAAAAAAAAAGAATTCTCTCATAACCGGTTCCGATGATCCTAGTTCATATATTTTGGCCCTAAGCCCGACGGTATGTGATATAGTATCCTAGATTATTTGGGGCGGGATGGTCCCGCTAAGTGATTAGGTATTTATCGCGAGACACCGTTAATATTCCTCTATTATAGCAAAGTAGAGTAGATCCTTCGCTGCCGCGTTGAAACGCGGTTAGTAGACCGACTAATCTTTCCTAGGTGAGATCTAAAGCCTTATCCATAGTTGAGATTAGTCGGGGAACTTATGGTATATCCGCGAGCCCACTTGACTCTCTAATGGATTAACTAGCATAGTTGTCTTTCTATTCATGGAGTTAGAATGCAGGGGTATCGCTAGTCCCATCGTGCCTAGTCCTATGCCGATCGCCGACGAAGTAGGCTTAGGATGAACTGGAACTTAAACTGTGGCTGGAAGGGTCGGTTCCTGACCCATATGCCGTCTCTAGTCTTCGCTAATTAAAGTTTCCTTCGATAGGTATCTATAGAGCTTAGTATCTATTTTGACGAGCTAATGGGCATGTTCCGCTCCAATAAGAAGGTTAGGGAGGCCTCTTCTAAATAACCGACGAGCTATTAGCAAATCGGCAATTATGAGCTACTAGGATTATAGAGAAGCGATAGATAGAGGGAATTAGATAGAGAGGGGTCTTTGGAAACAACTATATATTTCTACACGATAGTATCTAAATTTATTCCTATAAGTATGCTGTCTCCTATGGTATTTAATATTTAGAACATACTACTAGCAGTATATTACACCCTATATCTTTTACGACAATGTTTTGGGAAAATCTAGCCATATATAAATTATACCTTATTTAACTCGCGGATGTTTGATTTTGTGGCCTTATATCTAAAGCACGGCGATGTACGAATCCCTAATAATACGACATGACTTATGGCGGAGGGACAGCGGTTAGGCGTGGAAAATGAACCTTTAAGCCTGCGAAGCATTAGTCTCGTGATCTAGAAAGAACTCATGATAGATCTGTCTCTCACTCTGCTTCCGACGTCTTGGAGAGATTTTTAAGAGAGGGGACCACCGTATGGCCCTGGCTTCACGAATCGCTTCTAGCAACCGATATACTTTTAGACTAGAGTTATGTAGTGTGGACGATAGAAGAGATGCCGCGGTATGCTGGTGTGGCAATAAGGTCCGGCGTGGAGTTATCTAAGGCTGCGGAGTCACTGGCTCGTTTTGTATCCTAGAGCGCCGTCGGAGGTTATTCTGTTTGCCTCGGAGAGATTCACCAGACCTCCTAATGCGGTACTATCTGAAATAGGCTTTCGAGCGTGCTTTCTAAGATAATCTTCTATGCTAGAATAGCTAATGCGGAAGGTTCTTTTCTTCCTATTAGGGCCACGTGATGGCGTCGCCTCGTGCTATGATGCTTTAAAGTGAATAAAGGCGATAGGATGGCAAATTATATGGTGGTAAACGGAGCTAGGCGTAGAGAATATACCATTAGGTTATTAAACGGGGAAGTCTAAGGCTTTAATATGCACGGCTCCTTAGAGGTAGGTCACCACGTTTAAAAATAAACTCGTGGTTAAAGAGCCTTACTTGGTAGGTAACCATTCTTCTATGATGATATCACTTTGATATAGTACTGTCGTTTACTGGCCCTAGAACGTTCTTGGATTGGTTGGCGGTTATGGACTAGCTAAAGACCCACCTAGGGAAACGGATCACCTCACCACGTTTTGACCAGTGATCTGTGTATTCTTTGAGGGCTAGGCTAATGATTTTCCATAATCCTATAACTGTTATAGGAAACATCGGTTATTCAACGGTCTCGATTTTTCGCCTTCCCTAGTCTTTAGATTTTAGTCTACCGCTTTAGTCATTAGCTATTAGATACTAATTATCTCTGTCTAGGTCTCGGTATAAAAAGAGTTTTACTAGAATGTTCGGTAGAGTTTATCTAAAGCTAAGGGCTAGCATAAAAAGAAAATAAAAGATATAGAATAGAAAAACGAAAAATAGAAATAAAGATTTAAAAAAAAGGAGTACAAATAAAAATAAAACAAAAAGTTGAAAATCAAAATGAAAAACAAAAAAATAATAGAAATAAAAAACAAAAACAAAAAAGGAAAGGCCAAAAAAGAAAAGCATTTATAAAATTCTAAAAGTAAAAAACAAAAGAGAAATTGAAACAGAAAGAAAATTCAAGGGGAGGGTGGGGAGCTGTCTTAGTAAGAATAGACCGTCCATAAATTCGCCCTATATATATAAAAGTAGCACTAATGCCCTACTCGAGTTCCTGTCAGGTGTTTTCTTTTCCACTATTATAAGAAGTCACCTATATCACGGTTACTTTCTACCCTATTCTAGTAGACTCTCGATGAAGAAACCTATAGACCATACGAATAAGTCCGACGAGGCAACCTATAGCTATCGGGATTAATTACGGCAACTCCTAACGATCACGTCGTCTAAACGAAGAAGTATCTAGAGCCTACCGGGCTCTAGTACTAGCTTAGTGAAAGATGACCCTAATCAAGACGATAGCTAGTTAAGCGAGGAAGAGGATGCTTCTATGGATAGCTATAGTAACGCGGGAGAACCGCAGGATATAGGTACCACGGCCCCTAAGTAGCTCGTCGATCTTAGTATGGTCATGATATATATAGCAGAGTATGTTCCTAGTCCCGCATTTATAAGGTTGATTTAGTGGCACATGCTGACTACTCCTAGTTTAGATAAACGGGTAAAGTAAGTTTATTCCCGACGATATATACACGGGGAATTCGTCTAACCCATTATATAGGTCAACTAAGTGCTCGCTTTAGAACCAACAATCCTAGAATAAAGGTATATAGTAAGACATAGAGAGCGCGCAAGAGACTATCCAGGATTTGAAGTCGATAGTGGCCACTTTGGAAGAAAAGATAAACCTCTTAGAAGAAAAGATAAGCCTCTTGGAAGAAAATATAAGGGTTCTCTGGCTGGGACGAAATCAGGGTAATGCAAGTGAGAATCCGAAAGTGGCGCCGTCTAACCAGTAGACGCGCAACGGCCGTCGCTAGGTCCTGTCTAGATAGTATACGATGGATAGTTTGGTGCCATAAATGCAGCCTTAAGTTATAATTAGTGCATGAGTAGTCCGCGACGATCATATTCGATACCTTCACCCACATGATAGTACATCGCCTGCCCCTCTAGTAAATTGCACTTACTAAAATAAAAGGGGGCTGGATCCACCGCAGCTTCCTAACCTCTGCGGCTGGTGGTAGCCTCCCAGAAAGATAAGACACAATCTGTCCACTAGACGAGAAAAACATGTTTTTTACCGTCCTTATTATAAATCATACTAGGCTAGGCTACGACTTACGCACGAAGCTAGAAGAGGGTAACTGATCTTAGGGGTAATAAGATAGTACCACTAATGATAAGAGGACTACGAAGATCCTTACCAAGAATGGGATGATATAAGGATTCTCTTTCCTAAAATGAGCCCCACCACTCGCCTATGTAGATCATGGCCTCCAATCATTCTAGAGCATAGTGGCATAGGCGGCACGGGCCATATCCGAGGACATACCACGGTTCGCACGAGTTTAGACATAGTAGGAAGCGCGCGACGGCATACCTGTCCTCGCTAAGAGAATCGCCTAAAGGCCATCTCCTATCTATATTTCTATATAAAGGCGTCGCCGACGGATCAGCCCTATTCCAATAGCTAAGATATCCTCCTGTCTCTATCCTCGGCGGCTCGGGTTCCATCCCCTTTAAGTGGATCTATTGCTCTAGCATTTGTGGATCGTGGAATACTAGTCCGGGGGGCCGATGTACGAATAGTTAGGCCCTTATGCACTAAAGCGATTCACCTAGAGCTAGAGATCATCTAGAAAGGTTAAGCGGTAATCGGATTTACAGATGCTCCACTTATACGGCCGGATCGGGCGGAACCGGAAATTTATAGATCGCTACACGACACTAAACGCGTAGCAAGGCCAAGATTTAATTACGGGGTTTTCGACTCGCGTGGTAGCGCTAACGAGCCTGGTACACTATAATAGAGCTGAAACTCTGGCGCACACGCGGGATGGAAAGAACCTAACAAAATATAGTAAGAGACGGTGGGGAAACCCACGACGAGACTAGTCTTAAGATCCATTAATAAGCCACTAGGAAATATCCTATTCGTGTTCTACTAAGAAGTATTAACCATTTACTAAAACGCGCAGTGTGGGGTAGCGATCATCCTCTTATTAGCTAAGGTCTAAGCACGAGAATAGCACAATCGTTCTAGGTGGGAAACTAGCAACCTATAAAGCTTATGTAGAGGCTATGTCCCTAGAGATACGTCGATTACAATCCTATAAAGTAGCTATGGTTGGTGGCTATCTTTGATAGAAGTGAGTAGCTAAATCCTAAAAAAGTTGCTGAATATCGTCATATTATACATGATGTATCGGCAGCACGCCATGGGGCTTCCTCTTTATAGGTAAGTAGCTAAGGTTGATCTCACTGAACCGGCTGTGGAGCACTTGGTGGCACATCTGCTGGCTGCGGTAAAGATTGGCCTGGCAGCGAGCTGGGGCCGAATATCCCTAGCGGTGCAGTTGGATCTGACTAAGGCCCTTAGAACACCCTGGGTCCAGGCAACAGGGACGCTAGATGTCTATTCTCAAGACTTTCCATCGTGCTCTAGACCCTATGCGCCGCGGAGAGGAGGTTGACATGCGTCTATTGAAGCACGGGCTGGATATCATTCCATGCCGTCTGGTCCTGAGTCCCGGCTGTGGCCTTAATCTCTTGTCTTAGCCGTCGAGCCTCATTCTCTAGCTCTTGGCTCTTGCGCGTTAGTTGGTCCTTTTCGTCTTCTAATTCGCGGATTTTGTCCATTGTGCTGGTAGTATCGGCACGAAGCTGCTGTATCGACTGCGCGGCACGTTTTCTCTCCTGACTCATCTTACTTTGAAGCTTTTGTTTATCTTCAATAGCCTGATCCTAGACTCTTAAGCACTCGCGGTGCACCACCTCCCAATCATCGTCAGCTGCAATACCATTTTGGGCCGTCTTTGACTTTGACGCCTAATAAACGTTAGATAGGAATAGATTGGCTTAGACATTGAAGACACTCACTAGAGTCTCTCGTAGCCTGTTATCCTGGATGGTAGGGTGTGATCTAGCCTCTATCCCCGTAGCCATGGCTTGGAGAGTTCGATGGGATGAATCACTAGAGCCTAAAGCTCGTTGGCTAGGCTTGCTGGAGGTCTTCCCTTTCGAGTTGCGGGATAAGGTAGAAACCTTTGGTATGTTAAATCACTAGGTAAGGAACCACTTAATGTAGAAAATGTATATACTGGCGAGGCGGACTTTATCTACAAAGTTGGATTGGAGCATACTAAGGGCTTTTAAACCTTTGAAGTCTATAGTCCAGTATAAGCGCGCTATAGCACTGCCACCAGCCCCGCAATTATGAGGCTAGTGGGCAGCGTGAGCTTTCACCGGCCCCTATAGACAATCTGACCCACAGCGGGTCGTATTAGGGGGGAAAGCAGGGGCTTCTCGGAAGGTTTCGACTTTCGACCACTATAAGACTGGCGATGGCTTTAACGGCCACCTCTTTGATTAAGGGCCTTAGCGCCAACATGCACAACCAAACAGATCATTTTTTCACCTCACTGATCGGCCATACTGAGCTTTCCGTGTTATCCATGAACAGCCTATTATATTAATTTCCTGCTGCTCATAACTGAGGTCTTCGCCTAAACTCTAAAGCCCAGCCGCTTCATCGCAACGTAACATGGCCGGTGGGTACTACGATTTCAAGGAACGTTATTGAGATCTAATTGGCTTGGCAGGGAACTATGGCGAGTTTGGCCCTGGTGCATTCGCCTTCGTTTGATTCCCGTCTCTTCGTATTTTTTTGGTGGCGGCAGCTCTAAGAAATATTTCACGTCCAAAAAACCGGGACGGTGGGGATATGCCACTTAGATATCGCGGTGGTCAAGGATACTATTAGGTCCCCGCGCGTTGGGGTAGCTCTAGATTAGAAGCCCACCCTTCTTTTCTACCCTCTCTTCGGCCATATCCTTCAACGGTTGTATAAATGGCATGACCAAAAAGACACCAGTCTCCCGTTACTCCTTACCTTTCTGATGCTAAAAAGGAAAGATTGAAACCTTTTTCTGCTTAGTATAATAGCGTAAGTACCTCTAGTCCGCATACCTCTAGGAGCTTTTCCTATCTGGATCCGAAAATCAAACGGAGTGAGCAATATTACCCCGCTCGGCATATTTCTGAATCACTAGTAAGTCATGAGATTCTACCTCATAGAGTGAGCTCACATAATTGGAAGGCCTTCTAGCTCACTCGTTCCACTTATAGATATCGAACTCCCTGCGTAGCCACTCCCACGTTGAATATGAACATGGAGACTCAGAAGGCTCCCCCGCCATTGAACCCACGTCTAAGATAGATCAAGCCTTAAGTAGCAGTAAGGCTTTCAAACGGGGCAATATCTAGTGGAGGGAGAGCTTTCTAAGGGCGGAATAAGAGCGACCAAAAACCGAAGCTAGGGCTCGTAGACTCTGCCACAGGAAGCATTAACTAAGGAGGGAAAATCATCAGCTACGTAGTCAAACTTATTAACTAAGTAGTGAGAATCGTTAACTAAAGAGTGAGAAGGACGACCTAGAGGCCAGGCTTCAAGAACTACAGCAATAGCATTAAATAATTTTGGTGGCAAACAGAGATAAAGATAAATACATTCTAGGGTCGTTGTAGGGAATCCATACCAAGCTGGTTTCCATAGCTTATGCGCTCCAACCCAATAAGTCGCGTGGAGCTTGATGCATAGTATTCTAAGATATACTCTAGGATATAGGGTGCGTTCTGAACAAAATTCAAAGCATGAGATAGTCTTCTCGTGAAATACGCTAGTTTACTATACGCGGTCGATATGTGTTCTCCCCGAGATTAAGGCTATCCTCTGCAGAATCTGCCATTGAATATATGTTATGTACTATAAAACTTGCTTAGTGGTGAAAATGCTTGGACCCTAGTTTAATTTAGGAAATATCCCACTAGCCTATCATAGTCTGTCTAAGTTTATAGGGTTTAGGTAAATATTTTGCATCCCTTATTGAAAACTCGCAAGCACCTGCTTTAAAAGTGGGCTCTTCCTAGAAGACCTTTTAACGGGTATCGGTGGAAAGACTAGCGACTACACAATAATGGCACGCTTGGATGTATGCTATGGTAACTATGAGTGGGGGGCTGGGGACTTAGCGTGACACTGCGGGCTCTTATGGTCTCCCGTACTAGAAAATCATAAAAGAGCCTTGGGCCCTTCCTACCTTTCAAGAAAGTAGATCTAGCTTCTAGTCTTGTTCGAATGGTCGGCCCAAAGCCCTCCTGCCTGCTCAATCGACTAACCACGGATCCCCTTCGTGACGTAATGCCCATGAAGTATAAAGACATTGAGGACTCGTCTCCCGGTAATACCACTATCCAAATTTAACAGCCTCTAAGACCATTCTTAGAGACGAGGGTTCGTCTCCTAGTGATACTACTATCTAAATTTAACAGCCTCTAAGATCATTCTTAGAGACGAGGGTTCGTCTCCTAGTGATACTACTATCCAAATTTAACAGCCTCTAAGACCATTCTCAGAGACGAGGGTTCGTCTCCTAGTGATACTACTATCTAAATGTGATAGCCTCTGAGATCATTCTTAGAGACGAGGGTTCGTCTCCTGGTGATACTACTATCCAAATTTGACAGCCTCTGAGACCATTCTTAGAGACGAGGGTTCGTCTCCTGGTGATACTACTATCTAAATTTAACCGTCATTGGGTTCATTCTCAGGGTACATTGAGGGTGTCAACCTCACTAAAAAGAGACACCTCCGCGACAGGTAGGCACCTCTACGTGGTACTAGGGACTAGTACCCAAGCTTTATATACTAGAGCCAGGAAGCCAAGACCTACCTAACCTTATCATACCATAGTGTACATGAATTTATTTAAGACCTTTTAAGATCTACTAAGCCCTGGCCGGAAATCTTCATAGCCCTACGTATTCTTATATCAAATATCAATCTTATTGGGCTTCATCCTGCGTATTACTCAACGTGACTTAGCAAGTAACATGAACATAGCTCTATAGATAGATGGAAATCCGCAATCTACATCGTATACTAAAGATAATTTAAAGCCGCACAGCTACCTCGGGAAATAATTTCTCAGCCATTAAAGGGGAACTAGCGTAGGCCAGGCAGACTGGTGGCGTGGGCAACGCCCTCCAGTATATTGAACGGCCGTAAACTGAAATTATTTACTGCTCCATAGATAAGGGATTCTATCAGGTTAATTCGCGAGTCAAGCCCATGTGTAACCATTGATACTCTAAGGATCCATGCTATTCTTCAGTCGACTTCCTCGTTAAACTGTTGCCTCCACCGGTGCTCCATAGTAACATGCCGTGCCCGAAGACAATCCGTTGAATGTGGTCAGGCCGGTCGACCAACACCCAAAACCAGGTTATAGATCACCAGGCTCACAGAAACCCGTACTTCTGGTGATATTGCAACTCTAGCAAATTTCTCGCCATGAGTTTCTTTGTAAGCACTCGGTACATTACCGCAAATTTACTTTGGGGTCTTAAAAGTGTCTATAATATGCTTTAGGAATATCGTTCTACTTCGACTAGACCATAGAAGCGAGCACGATCTCTAGAGTGAATTCTCAGCGCATAAGTCTATAGGAAAATAATATAAATCTACCACTTTGTCCACATTATACCTATCACAAGTCCATAGATATTATTACAACCAATACAAACGAAAACATCTACCAATGGCAAACACCATACCTCTATGCAACACGAACAGCGAGATAGACAATTTGGTATATTCACAACCCCCTCTTCCCCTATAGGCTATATATTAACCTGGATTAGAATTTCCTTCGGATTCTTTTAAGGCTCGATGCTCGGGCGCTTCGGGCAGAGCGAGCCCAAGCCAAGCTCGAGCAAGAGTTGAGTGCTACTGAAGCGAATGCCAAGCAAATAGCCGCCGAATTAGATTAAGTCAGCAAGCTGGTAGAGATATTTTACGAGGTCAGTCAGAGAATAGGCCTGGTGGTGGACCATTTATTAAAGAAGCGGGGTATTAGAGAGAGGGATCATGAGCTAGAGTCGGTCCATAAGCCAGAGTCGGTCAAGAAGATACTCAAGGAGGTGTTAAAGGAGCTAGAAGGCGATTCAAAAGCCACCAAAAGATATAATAACGAGAACGAGAACGGTGGCTCTAAGGCCACACAGCCTACCGACTAAGTAAGTTCGTGGTAGAATAGTCAAATAATACGTTACTATACCCATTCACCGTGTATACTACAGTACGCTACTAGGAAATACGACGTTACAAGAGAGATAGTCTATATATAGCTAGGAGTATGTAGTACACTGGTCTTAAAAGATACATAGGGAATTGAATGTCTTCCAAATAGTACCGCTTATCTCGACAAGCCTAATGAACTATCAGAAGCACTACTCTTGGGCCCGGATACTTATACGGGCCCTGGAATCTGCACTGGAAGCATATCGGCCTAACTTTTCAAAAACCAAATCGCAAAGTGCGTCCATTCCCGACGCCGCCGAGAATGACCGCTGGCGACGGTCAGCCGCTCCCTCGCCGGAAGCATCTTTTGATCAAAGGCTCACGCCGTAAAGGGCAGTCTCTCATTTGGTAATCCGCGCCACATGAAGCGAAATACCCATGCCTAAGCTGACATTGGTGCAGGAGCCTTGACGAGGAGGGCAGAACGTGAAGCCCATCGCCTGGGAATGCACAGCATGGGGCCGATTCCATTAGGACAGGTTCTGTTACTGAGCGTAAGAAAGGACAAATAGACTGGAAGACATCCCATTGGCAACATTGCATTCTAGGGGGGACTGGCAGTGTAAATACAGTGCCGACCGCTTTCGCCTTCCATATCGAATACATAGAGAAGCTGGTTCAAACCCTAATCATGTGATCCGCTAATCTAGATATAGGTAGTATGTAATTAACCCGTTTTGTAGCTGACCAAGTAATATATACCTTAATACTAAAATACAAGTATGAAATATACAGTTATTTACTCCTGACTTTCCAGGCTGGAAGATTCCATGCAAACCATGCAAACAGAGCAGTGGTTGAATAGGCAATCTGCCAACAGTCCCTCTTTGTATCTTGCGGTTTCATTACTGCAAAGCACCTGGTGCTTTTCTGCGTGTCTGCCCGGGATCAGGTTGCTGTGTGAGGCTCGATCGACAGTAAGGCTTATTTGTAATCCCCGCCACTGTCATCATGCCATCCTTTCGGATCTTATTGGACGCAGAGATGTTTGCTAATCGCTTCCGGTTCAATCTGCTTAGGCTTCCCTCCCCCACTTCAACGATGGCCAATAGCATTTGTAGCGACGATGCTTATCAACCCCAGACGGGTCGCACATGGGACGAAGATTCACAGTATGCCCCCACTCCTGGTTACTTCGGTCGTACGCCATCCGTATTCTCTCCTAGCCCTACCCTGGTTCGTGCGACCGATCCGGTCCAATCAGACCAGCTTGGCTTTCTCCCGCTTGACGAATGGGATGAAGATGTCGACTATGATGAGCCATCTCCAGAATATATCCGCTACACGATTGCTTGGAAGCTTATGCTTAACCGTAAGAAGGTAGGCAGCGTGTCCGAAAAAGGGTTAGTCATAGCTCCTCAGGATTACTGGGCCAAGGCTTTGAAACCAGCGGTTGAAGAAATGCTGCAAATGAAAAAGAAAAATGGCCAGCGAGTTCGATCTGAAGGTACGGCTGTCACTGTTAAAGCAGGCGACCGGTCTCAGCAAAATCTGGAACTATTTTGTGCAGCTACCATTGACTGGAAGTCGGTGGAAAAGCAGTTACGTAAATGGAGCAATTTAGTCCGGATGGGCAAACAACTTACAATTGATATTGTGTTTCACTACAGGGGCGATGATGAAGTGCCGCAGAAAGTCGAAAAAAGGGGCCGTGTGTCAGCAACTAGCAGAATGTTGGCAGAGCGTAAGAGACGGATTGATATTGAAGAAGATATGAATGAACGACCTGCAACTTGGGATCTTGTTTATGACTTGATGAGGTGTGATGTCCGGTCATGCCCACACAAGTGCGGTTGGTGCTGGGAGGACCCTACGGATAAGAAACACTATAAGCTACGGGCCCCACATCTAGAACGTCTGATTGACTTTGTTGACGGTGGTGGCTGCCTAGACACCCATGATGACGTCTCTAATGATATTCGTCGGGACCTCGTTCTGGAGAGTCAGAAAGGAAGGAAATCAACCAAGACTAACGTGGTGACAAACGGACCATCATATCCCCCGACCATCATTAATGTTCTACCGGCACAAAACGGCAGTACCCCCCTAGTCAGTTCCTCTCTACACAAGGCTTCATCTGATGAGCACGTCATTATTCCTGGGCCTCGTGAAGTGGCTGTGAGGGAATACTGCGAATGGTTAGAATCACGCGCCACCGACGAGGCGTACAAAGCTGGTTTCCGGAAAATCACCTAGATCTTGAACTGATTCTTGAGGACCCGGACTCTAGCTTCTTTGTTCAGCGAGGAATCCAAATTGGAACAGCCCGTCGTTTCCTGCGCGACATAAACGAATGGGCAACTGTGATGAAATCAAACAAACTTGACCAGACTACCGTTGGAAGCGGTTACGATGCCGAATGAAATGTTGTCTTACCCACTGTGGCTGGCTCCATAAGGGTTCAACGAAATGGATTATCTATGCGTCGAAGTCGTCTAATGAATATTGGCGTTGGCTTTTTTTTTTGGATAGTTAGGAATCTGTTTAAACTAGAACATAAAATGATCATAAATATGCTGTTCACAATACAAATACTGGTCTAATGTTATGGCGCATCGAAAAAACAATAATCCATCCTCCTAAAGGAGACCATTCGGCCTATAAGAGTAGGTAAATCACTCAATCAAGGGTATTGCCAGATCGCCCGGGTCTCGCTGACGTCGAACATCCTTGTTCGAAACCGTAACCGCTCATGCCTTTTCGACGGTTATACCGGCATGTCGAAAATGGCCCTCGGCGCTCTGCTGTTTTGCACCAACGTCATGCACACACCGGCGGAGGAAGACATCAAAGCCCTGGTGAGGATTCTGTTCATACGTCGACCAAGCCCGCTTAATGTATGCTTTCAACTCGGCAAAGAATTCTTCGATGGGATTGAAATCAGGCGAATAAGGCGGCAAGTATAATAGTTTGACCCCCGCGTTAGAGCATAATTGCTTTATTCGGTCGGAATGGTGAAAAGAGGCATTATCCATAACAAGCACGGACTTTGGTTCCGGCCATCTTCCACAATGCTGCAGAAGTTGCTCAACAAAAGATTCAAAGAAGCTAGCATCAGTTGATCCTTTGAAGATACGAGACAAGATGACACCATCCTGTGTATAGGCTGGTAGGATCTGGTAGCGTTGACCCCGGTGAAATTTAGATACTTGCACTGGCGTCACCCCTAGTGGTGACCAACCAGTCCGTCGGTATCCCGCCCGTTTATCACATCCCGATTCATCAACAAAGACCAGGTGGTACGAACTAAATTCCGATAATTTATGCTGGTAGAAATCCCGTAGTTGAGGGTTCTGTTCCTTTACTCTCTGCTGGGCTTTCTTTTTGTCCAGCCAGCCCGCGCAAGGGCACGTTTGACGCTTGATGGTGATGGCTGGCAACACCTTGAACTCATCCCAAAGAAAGAGGGCCATCTCTTCAACGTATAGGCCGGGCTTTTCGGCGAGGTGGTCACAAAGGGCGTCTAGCATCACAGGGGTGACGATTGACGGCTGACCGGCAGGGACGGTGGGGGATCTGGAGTCGCCAAAGACCCGCATGTTTCTGCGAATGTTAGTGACCGAACGCTCACTACACTTAGCCACCTTCGCCATCTGTGAGATGGTAAGTTCCTTTTGGCTGAGTGTCATATGAGCAATGACTTTCCGCTGCCAGGCCTGGAGGTTTCGTGCCATTGTGTAACAGCCTGGGATGGCGATGGGCTGAAGCTGGAACACCTGCGAATATTATCGTAGGGCGGGGGGGGGATCTTCCATCTTGTTTCTTCTCACGTGGCTTCTTACAGTACATGCCGTTCGGCCCTGGAACAAGCCCCTTAAATACAGCTATAATCAGATCGAGTTTAGTGTATCATGTGATGAAGGGTTTCACGAATGTCACTTGAGTTTAGAACATGGAGAGGCCCTTCCAATTCCTACTTATAGGATGCACTAATCCAGATAGGGATAGTCCGTCTATTTATAGTGATGTGATAAATGACACTAGTACGGAAGATACAAGGCCTAGGCGACCAGAAGCTTCGATCTGCACTATACGAAAGATGATTGGCTGTGAGACCATGATGCCTTAGCCTCACTTTCCAACCCCGCTACTCTCGAACTTTGCATTCCAAGATTGAGTTCCGCGGTGTCGCGATTATACAGTAGACATCGATAACACTCATATGAGAAGACAGTCTTCCAGTCTCGAGTGAACTTATCAATATATCATCCAGCATGGCTGCTAGGACTCCCCTATCTCGTGACGATTACACGGTCGGGTGGATATGCGCCCTGCCGCTAGAGATGGCGGCTGCGAAGTTGATGTTGGACACAATCCATCCCAGTCTGCCAAGTCCATCAACCGATCATAATACCTATATCCTTGGAAATATCAGAGCGCATAACATCGTCATTGCCTGTCTGCCAGGCGGCGCATATGGCATCGTATCAGCTGCAACAGTGGCGATGCATTTACTGTCGAGCTTCCACTCTATCCGCTTCGGTCTGATGGTCGGTATCGGTGGCGGTGTACCGAGCAGCAACGCAGATATTCGACTAGGCGATGTTGTGGTGAGCCAGCCAAGAGATACATCTGGAGGCGTGGTTCAATACGATCTAGGGAAAGTGTTACACGACGGTCGATTCCAGCGGACCGGGATGTTGAACCGGCCCCCGAAGGTTCTGCTGACCGCTCTCGCTACACTGCAAGCCCATCATCTTACGGAAGATAGTCAAGTGATTGAGTTCCTTTCCAACATCCATACCAAAACAACATCTCGTAAAGCTGCCAACTTCGCTCGTCCCGCCCAAGAGGGCTGCCTATACCAAGCAGAATATGATCATTATGCAGCTGACACATGTGCGAATTGCGACCGATCGAAACTGGCTCACCGACCTTCGCGAGATCATGAAGAACCAGTGATTCACTATGGACTAATCGCATCCGCAAACCAGGTGGTGAAAAATGGCAGACGGCGAGACCAACTAGCGCAGGACTTGGGGGTATACTGTGTGGAGATGGAAGCGGCGGGGCTGATGAATGACTTTCCATGTGTGGTCATTCGAGGCATCTGTGACTATGCTGACTCTCATAAAAATAAGGAATGGCAAGGATATGCGGCGGCAGTCGCAGTAGCCTATGCTAAAGAGCTGCTTTTGGTGGTTCCAGTCAATCAGGTTGATGAGACCCCCACCGCACAAGACACTCTCGCAAACTCCGGTGAGAGGCTCTAATACTTTATCTCTGGGCTATCTTGTGTAGTCCGAATATTATACTAAATAGGCCTTTCTGTATTTAGTGGATCGCTTTATCATCCCATTAGACCTCACTGCCGTCCCTGTGATTGAAAGCTTTGTGGGCCGGCAAGCCGAGCTAGACCGCCTTTGGCAATATTTACAGCCGACAAATGCCCAGTCACGCAAAGTCGCGATCCTCCATGGGCTTGGGGGCATAGGAAAAACACAGCTCGCGATTCGTTTTGTACGAGACCACAAACACGAATTTACTGCTGTATTGTGGTTGAATGGCAAGGACCGAAGCACACTTTTGCAATCTCTTAGTTCTGTCTTGCCACGCTTACCTGGACACTCCCAGGAAATCGGGGCGATCGATGACGAGGAGCTGGAGCAACGAGCGAAGTATGTGTTGAACTGGCTGGCGAAAAATGGCAACTCACGCTGGCTACTGATTTTTGATAATATCGATCAATACTCTCCCATCACCAGCGGCAATGGTGATGAATATGACATTGGAAGATTCTTCCCTTCAGCAGATCACGGGTCTATTCTTATTACCTCTCGGTTGCCAGACTTAAGTGAGCTGGGAAAGTCCTTTCCTGTGCATCGGCTTGAAACAACGGACGCAACTCAACTACTCTTGCAAAATAGTGGCCTACCAGCGAATGCCATTAAGAGCCTTCAGGACAGTCCAGGTATGATGATATTCTAGATACAGACCTTATGAGTTATGGTATCCGTAATACTAAGATATCTAGATACCGTTGTCCTCATTAATCGCCTCGATGGACTGCCATTGGCGGTTGTGATCGCAGCAGCCTTTATGCGTCAAACCGGAACCAGTATCACCGAATATCTGCAATATTACCAAGAATCCTGGTCTGATTTACAGTCACAATCTACTCCTGGACGGCAATATCAGCAGGGCAACATATTACAAACGTGGCTAATCTCATACCATGAGATACAAAAGCGGGACCCGAGCGCAGCCGAGCTGCTCCTGCTGCTTGCTCGCTTTGATAACCGAGACATTTGGTATGAGTTGGTAAAAGGTGCTTCTCATAGCAGCGATGTCCCTAGTTGGCTTGAAGGGATCATATCAAGTGGATTCTCATTCAGAATTCAGGTGAAACATCTCATCGGATTTTCTCTTCTTGAGACTAAACAACAAGAGGGAAGCTATTCGATGCACCCAGTAGTACAGTCCTGGTGCCATCATGTTGCGCGCACGAATAGGCTTGTGAATCCCGGCCAGCTTTGTGAACTAGCGCTAATATCGGTTGGATGGACTGTCCCTAGCGCAAGCGAACGGAATTATTCAGAGCTTCAGCAGCGGCTTATTCCCCACGCGAATTATGTACGTCTTGGGGAAATCTCTGGTAATGATATTGCAGGATGGGGAGCATTTCATCGGTTAGGGAACCTCTACTCTAACCAAGGAAAGCTAAAGGAGGCCGAGGAGATGTACGAGCGAGCTCTGGCCGGTAAGGAGAAGGCCCTTGGTCCAGATCATACATCCACCCTCGACACTGTGAACAACCTTGGTCTTCTCTACTCTAACCAAGGAAAGCTGAAGGAGGCCGAGGAGATGTACCAGCGAGCTCTGACCGGCACGGAGAAGGCCCTAGGTCCAGATCATACATCCACCCTCGACACTGTGAACAACCTTGGCAATCTCTACTCTGACCAAGGAAAGCTAAAGGAGGCCGAGGAGATGTACCAGCGAGCTCTGGCCGGCTATGAGAAGGCCCTTGGTCCAGATCATACATCCACCCTTGATATTGTGAACAACCTTGGACTTCTCTACTCTAATCGAGGAAAGCTGAAGGAGGCCGAGGAGATGTATGAGCGAGCTCTGGCCGGCTATGAGAAGGCCCTTGGTCCAGATCATACATCCACCCTCCAAATTGTGAACAACCTTGGCAATCTCTACTCTGACCAAGGAAAGCTGAAGGAGGCCGAGGAGATGTACGAGCGAGCTCTGGCCGGCTATGAGAAGGCCCTTGGTCCAGATCATACATCCACCTTCCAAACTGTGAACAACCTTGGCAATCTCTACTCTGACCAAGGAAAGCTGAAGGAGGCCGAGGAGATGTACGAGCGAGCTCTGGCCGGCTATGAGAAGGCCCTTGGTCCAGATCATACATCCACCCTCCAAATTGTGAACAACCTTGGCAATCTCTACTCTGACCAAGGAAAGCTGAAGGAGGCCGAGGAGATGTACGAGCGAGCTCTGGCCGGTAAGGAGAAGGCCCTTGGTCCAGATCATACATCCACCCTCGACACTGTGAACAACCTTGGTCTTCTCTACTCTAACCAAGGAAAGCTAAAGGAGGCCGAGGAGATGTACGAGCGAGCTCTGGCAGGCTATGACAAGGCCCTCGGCCGAGATCATATATCCACTCTAGATACAGTCAATAACCTTGGCAGTCTCTACAAAAATCAAGGCAAGCGGAAAGACGCAGAGGAGATGTACTAGGGAGAACTGCCAAACAATGAGAAGGTCGCACATCTCAATGCTAGTACGGCACGGCGGGCTATTAAGAAATTCTCTAGATTGTTTAAATAATAAGACTGCAAGAATTACATGCCTGTAATGGAACTCGGAAAAATGCTACATCACTGCAGTTTATCTTCTGTATGACTTAAATAGGATCATAATATCATAGCGTCAACGTAAAGAAGGCTACGTCGAAATCTTTAGTATAAACGAAGCCTGAATATATCTATCCTGTGGACGGACGATGCACGAAAGATACGATTAATTTACTCAGAGTCCCGTGCGGTACATAATACCTATTTAATGGTTGGCCTGGTATGTTTTAGATCTGTACTCCTAGATGTACAGATATCCAAGTTGGTAATTTACTGGTTCCGAGTCATACGATTCACACTTGAAACAGATATTGAAATATAATTCAACCAGATATGGATTAGCGTATCATGTGATTAGGGTTCAAAAGAGCTTCTATGTGTTGTTCAATATGGAAGGCGATAGCGGTCGGCACTGTATAGTTCATGTTTTGGATAACGCTTCGAAAAAAACATCAATGGCAAAGGTGTTCGTTGTCCTGATGGCCTTGGCGAAAGTAGCAACGCTCTATCTCTATCCTTTATATATTCCGCCCTTTACCCTTAAGCTCTGCTGGGACCCATCCTGAAAGCCTGTCGCACGGCCTTATGAGACGGTAGCGGCTCGCGAAGCTGCCTAGGTAACAAGACATCCTGTGTTGGACTGATTTGACTCTATGCATTTAGTGATTGTGTCTAGCGATTGCGTCTAGCGCTAAACGCAAAGTTTTGGTCGTTCGCGATGTAATTGGCATCTACGATATAGCATGTATCGGGCCGTGGTCAATAAACGCTGATTGGGAGATGTGTTGGCTGGATAGCTCTGAAACAGCATGAGATAGATCGCTGCGTTAACGCGGGATTCTTTAGACACGATATTCTGGCACTCTCTGCCATTATCGTCCCTCCAGATACATCCTTTATGGTGGTAAGGATCTCTTGGTAGTCGACTAAGACTATGGTAATCAAAGATGTTCATGTTGGAAAATGGGAGCGTAGACGAGTGGGAAGATACTATGTGAGGATTTCACCGTGGAATAATATGACCCATAGCTTTATAGTGAAGATAGAGATTTATTAGACGTAAGGAGGATCACCTACTCCTAGGAGGACTAGGTCTGCAACGCTAACTAAGAGCGTATTAATCTGAAAGTTATAAGGTTGTTGGTCCGACAACCTCAGACAGACGGCAAGTTAAACGGGCATTAAAGTGCTGGTGCCTTGGGTGACCCCACGCCAGCTGGCGAAAGCAGCACTGAACGAGCCATCGGTTATATAAGAGTTATTTAGGATTTTGGAGTGTGTACGCTGTCCGTCGCGTCTAGCGGTTGACGGTAAAAGCGTTCATAGGACCCACGGGCGATTTACGTCCCGTTGGTCAACGTACGCGCAATCCTCAACTTAGATACATCACCGTTACCCGGATAGTAAGCGTCGTTTAATGAGACCATTAGGTCTACGGGTACGATTTTCGATAATAAATGACACCTCCACATTAGACTAGACATCGTCTACGGCATCCTTCCTATCATAGGACTAGTGATAAACGTGCCTGGAGGATAGAGTCTGGTGCTTATAGACTATAAGAGTAGCCGTTGTCATAGACTACCGAGCTACGTTGGCTGCTAGCCATACACGCTAGTCGACCTAAGCATTGGCCGCCCACTATATGGCTAAAAGAAGCCCCCAACAAAATTCAATCGCCGCTTCTTTCCCCTTCGCCATTTTCCGAGCCTGCACCCGTCATATTAGCGGCGAGGCCCGCCTCAGACCCCTCTGCGCAGCCGTTAATGAACGAGAGTTCGGCTTTGGCGATTCGACATATCGCGGAAGACCCTTAGTAAACTTACGAGGCGATCATTAAGATTTTCTAGACCGAACGGGTTTTTCTTGCCCGCTATCGAAGGAATAAAGCGGAGCTTATCCACGTCCAACGCCTGGAGTAATCCCCTTCGGTGGCTGCCTTACGCGAGACTATAAGCTAGCTATCGCATCTGAGCTTCTGTACACTCCTCGAGACTTATCATCACGCGAACCATGCATTCCTAGTGTGGGAACTAGTGGCACTCTCTATGAGCCTGGTCCTGGCATCTAAGTGCCTCGTCACGGAGAGTGAGATTCTAGCGATCGTTCGGCCTATATATAGTATCGTTATTTATCCCGGACGATCTAAACTAACGTGTAGCAGGTCCTCAAGGGAATTAGGCATCTACGCGACTAGGGGAGAGTGCTCGCCACCCTGAGCGCCGATACCATTTTGCTTACGGATTCTGGAGGGGTGCGGATCGGTAAGACCCTTAGAGACGAAGGCATAGGCCATAATGCTAACGGCGGTCTATCGCATAGCGGGGGCCGAGTATAGTTGTAAGATTAGTCTTCTGGAGATAGACGCCGCTATGTCTAAGCTATTCGCCCTGGTGGAGGTTGTGACGAAGCTGATACAAAAAAATCCACCGCCCCATTAATAGAGTGCCGAGATCACGAGTCTGCCGAATTAATTAAAGAGCAAGTCTATAGAGGAGCTCTTGTAGGTTAGTCTTACCTTTCTATGTCTGGTGTTCGCGACTGACTAAATAGAGCAACATCATTAGGGGGCAATCGCGGCATGACGGGGAGTTGAAGTTGCTTATGTGCGTGGCTAATAAGACCGCCTATTACCGAGTTAAGTCCTTTTCTGACCGTTCGTGAAGAACGCCACAGTTTGCGCTGTGGCAGCGCAGATCCTCGATTTATTTTAGCGAGATTATGGTGGACTGTTAGACGCCTGAAAAGGGGTGGGTGGGGCCGGTAGAAACGTTACTACTAGTTATTATTTGGGATGGACCCCTCGGGTCACTCTAGTCGGTCTCTAGCCACCTGAGGCTTAAATAATTAGACTTAAATCTTGACTCTGGAGATGGAATTGTTCTAAGGCGAAATTGTTTGGCTAAAGTTGATAGGGTTTGATGTGGCAATCCTATTTTGTGCACTGTACTCGTACTTGTATTATTCCTGATGTTCCTGATTGGCGGTGTGGTGAGGTGCTTCTCTCTAAGTATATATATATATATATATACTGTACGTACATAATATACTGCCTGCTTGAAGTCGTCCGCCTATGGTTCCTTCACTAGTAATAATATAACATAGACGCGCTATTTTTTTTTGATCTACTAAGGCAATAAAGCATGGTAGAGTAGTAAGAATCCTTCGAAACGCGTAAAAACGCGTGTTAAAGAATAGAAAGGTATGGTAGAGAGGCTTTATGTGATTTCTTGTTTTGGGGGTGTAACTGGAGGTGGAACCCGACCATAGAACGCTTACTGGTCAATAACCATAGCTAACCAAGCTATAATAACAAAAACTTCTATGCAGGAGTCATCATCTCGCGCCGTACTGCTTACTTGATTTGAGTGTCGAGTATCCACGTGATATAGGCATCCCTACACGCTCCAGGGGTGGTCGAGTCCTATTTGAGTGGCTATCGCTCTATGATCTCTGGTATTCCTTAAGTCGTGTCCACGATCTCGATCGCAACGGGACTGGTTAAGGTCTCTGGTGTGTTATCTTTGGATGCGGTATCCTGATTCTGTAACAAATATGCCTGTAATAGTTGTATTGCCTCCGTAATGCCTGTTCTTGCCTGGACTAGCTCCCTTTCCTGGTGGTTCGACTGAGATACCATAGTCTCTATTTTAGTCTGAAGTGCGTAGATTTGTGCGCGAAGACTGCGCCCTTTACTATTGGATGCCTCTAAGTGGGTGCGCGTGCGATCTAACTCGAGGCTTAAGCTGTGATTGGCGCATTCGAGACTGTGTAGCTTGGCGGTGAAAGACCTATCTGACTCGCCATCACGGTTTGTTTGCTGCTTCTGAATACCTTTAGCGTTAGATGAATAGTTGGATTTCGAAAAGAGCCACGTAACTCACCTTTGCTGTAACTCTTCCTTCGGTTTTGGGACTAGACTAGGGCCCCTGTAGGACCTACGGCGAGATAGCCTCGAGCGAGCGACCGAGCTCTTTATAGATCGTCTGTAATAGACCCACTATTCCGCTACTTAGGTTCGACTGTAATAAAAAGGCCATCGGCTCCATAACGGACTAGGTATATCCGTCCTTAGGAGGCGGCTATAGGCGGACCTAGGCGGGAGCGATAACGAGGCTAAGTCGATCGTCTAGGGAAGTTAGCGTCGAGAGCATGGCGGCGAATGAGTGACTAACGAATATGGGCGGCTAGAGCTTCTCGATATTGTTATTTTAATAATGCGCGCTTCTCGTTGCTACTTTTAGCTATTTTGCTTTAGTTGGCGATGCTATGTTCCTGCTTGATGCTTTTATTTGCGGCCCCTCTACTAAAGCCCGGCGAGGAGAGCCCGTTAAAATCGCCTCTAACTTAAATGTCGGTTAGATTAAGTATGGTTCGTGGTATATTATGGTTGGCTTACCTATCTATTTAAATAATAGTTGAGTCGTCCGTTAAAGCTGTCCGTTGAAGCCGGTCTTTACCTCAAAATCTAGTAATGATAATATAAACTGAAACGCTAGATTCTGGCCACACTGATGGCCTTAAGTAAACTATAATAAACAGAATTCAAGTGGGTATTACAATGGCAGTCATTTATTGTCTACCATAATCACTCTTTCTTAAAGTCGGTCCTATGCGGGTCTTGGTGGGTCACTAGTTAGACCTACCTTATGACGAACTTAACTCTCCACCGCATTGCTTTAACGCTGGAAACAGCCACCGCTGTCATTTTTGAGGGCGTATTTATGGTTAAATTATCTATAATAAGATCTCTATCAAGTAACTGATATGAGTTTAGAGGTATAGAATATGAGGATATGGTGAAGTACGAGCGGTGAAGAGAGGGTGGTGAAGAGAGGGTGGTGAAGAGAGGGTGGTGAAGAGAGGGTGGTGAAGAGAGGGTGGTGAAGAGAGGGTGGTGAAGAGAGGGTGGTGAAGAGAGGGTGGTGAAGAGAGGGTGGTGAAGAGAGGGTGGTGAAGAGAGGGTGGTGAAGAGAGGGTGGTGAAGAGAGGGTGGTGAAGAGAGGGTGGTGAAGAGAGGGTGGTGAAGAGAGGGTGGTGAAGAGAGGGTGGTGAAGAGAGGGTGGTGAAGAGAGGGTGGTGAAGAGAGGGTGGTGAAGAGAGGGTGGTGAAGAGAGGGTGGTGAAGAGGGTTTTTTAACTTTCTTAGGGAGAGCTAGCCTTTTACTCGCTGTTAGTTGACACAAACTTTAATGACCTTTGCTATGAGAGGGGCATCTCTTTGTGCTAGAGTAGTCCCACCGATATTTCTGGTGACCACGTTAGATTTTGAAGGGTAGAGAAGCCGCCCTATATATATGGCCTGAATATTAATGCTTCATGGACAGCAAGTGAACCAGTATGGTAGATAGCCGCCCTAATTAAACCGAGTAGAACGTAGTGTATAACTCCCCCGTCCCGCCGGTGACCGTTAAGTCTTCCGCTGACTTATCATCGCCTTCTTTCCTCCCATGGGCTGCTCTGGACGGCTCGCGAGACCCCTGCTATAGACCCTTTTGAACTAGGTCTGGAGACATAGAGGTTGATCTCGAGAGCCGGCTAGCTTGGATCGCTAGATTTATTTGCTAATGTACTGCTATTGGTTCCCGCTTAGGAAAGTATTGGCCGTATGGTCACCGCCGCTGGCAAATTTAATACTATAGAAAAAGAAGTACCATATGATAGTAGAATTCCCTATATCCATTGGTCGTATATTCGTAATTAATCTCTGTTACTATGAGTGCTTTAAAACCGCCCTCCCTGTGCATTAGCGCCTATGGACTTATCCACGATCAGTTTCTACTTAGTCTATTAGTCTCCTGAGTGAGAGTCATTAGCTACTCGATAGTCGTAGTGAATAGCGCTAAGGGCCTAATGGCTGGGATTTAGTAGAAGGACCTAAACGCCCGGCTAATTGGGTAGATCGGCGCGGACCGGGCGTGTTAGACCGGTTAGGAAGACGTAACCCTTCCGCCGCTAGCCGCGGCGTAGCTATAGTAGTTGAAGCGCTGGTATCGTGTTCTAATGAGTTCGTCTGTTTGGTATTGGCGGCGCTTAGTAAATAAGCCCCTCGTGGCTAATATTTCGCGACGAAAGCTCCGTCGTATATACTATTCTCTAGTTAGTGATGTTCGGCCTATATTGGTTAATCGCGCTAGATATTACTTACTATTATAGGCATAACGTATGATATCTAGGCCGCTATATCCCAAGCTATAGTTCTATATAGTCTAAGTGAGCCATAAACCTATATCCTCCATAATATAGAGTTACCTCGTTCTTATACTCTCCGTGGTAGATATAGCATTTCTCGCGGCCTGAATTGGAGCTTTGGGGTAATCTATAGGTGAAACGTTTAAGCTTTAGAGTCTACGGTCCCGCCTAATCATTCACAATCATTAAGTCGGCGAGAGCCTCGTCTAATACCGACTAGGTCACCTGGTTCGCCCGAAGCATAGCTGGCGTGACCTGTTAGTCTCTAGATGATGGACTGAGTTACGAAGGCACCAAGATGGATGGGCTAGTAAATTCAACGCCGTCCATTATGTGGGATCGCGACTGACTCCGCCTTTTAGTCCGCCTTTTAGGATCGATGGCGGAGTGTCTTATTGATCTAACTAGCCTTAGAGGGCGGCGAGTCGTGGGTTGCGACCAGCGCGTCTAGGGCTGATTCCGAATCGCGGCTTCGTACCATCGCTGCCCAATCAGATCGGCCTGGCGCAGCTAGTACTATCTTGTGTAGAGGAATTCTGCTGCAATGTCGCGTAACTTAAGCTAGAGATTGTTAATACTAAAGGGTTTCTTGGCGAGGGCGTCTAGCTTCTAGCGACCGCTCTTAAGAACCTCTTTTCTTACCGCGTTTTTGCACTGGTCGCCTTTTTGCGTGATGCCATAGCAGGCATTCCCGTGCTTAAAGGGCCCACTACCTATCTTATAGATCAAGAGCGGGTTCTATAACCACGAAGGATGGTCCATTTTTGGGAAGGCCAAAGTATGTTTAAATTGGATGAAAGGAGAAATACAAGTGTCGGACTTAATAGTATAGAACTAGTCATCGGTCATTACGGTAGAATAGATATTTATAGTCCTTCTTACTGGTTACTTAAATACATCACGGGAAGATATAATTCGCGCTAGCCAGATGACGGGCTAATTTTTGACCTTTTACGAAAGATAATGGCCCCTGGGAAACCATCCTGAGCTCCTAGAACCTAAGTGACGGCCTCTAGGAACCTATCACGACACCCCAGGAATGCTCTTATAGGACCTAGGAGCTTCATATCCCCTAGGAACTAACCACTATGATCTAGGAACTACACTATTCATCCTAGGGGCCCGAATTTTGCTAGAAGGTCTGCGAGAATTCGGTGGAAAGGCCTTAATATAATCATGCTTTCTTTTAGTGGGTATATAAATATAGTGAATCCTAGTACCCCTCTAACTCGTAAGCTTAGAGCATACGCTCCAAATCTAACGTCGATATGCCTCCAAAGAGAACAAAGCGAGTGCATTTTTCGGCTATCATTCCCGCACCATATAATCGCTCAACTCCATCCATCTAAAACACCCCGAGACTTCTATAGGGTGCGACAAGTCCTCATTCCGCATAGTAGAGCGTGAAAAATGCGAGGATAAGAGCGGAGATAATCATTAATGAAATCTCCACCGAATGCATAAAGCTACTTAGCATAAACTATAAAGAGAAAGAAGAGAAGGCCGAACTCGAAGCCCATATGCAATACCTGATTTGTTGTCTTTAAGCAGCTAAGCAGCGAGCTTAGAGGCTTAAAGAGCGCGTTAATACCTTAGAGGTTGAAGTGGCGTCTCGAAACGTGGAAACCCCACCAACAGACCAAATAGCACCTCCGCGAGAGATACACAACCGTTCTGGGGAATATACGGAGTGAAGCGGTGGATTCAGGGGGTTCATTTCGCGTTGCACATCAGCGACGTTGGATGATTAGTCAACGTTAGCTAGCGAACCATTGCTTTTATTCGTGTTTGTTTAGAGCAGTACAGTACTTGAGTTCATATCAAGATATTGATGCATCTATATCTTTTTTCACGATGGCTTTGAGGACGCTGCCAAATGACGAGTATGCAAATGAAAGCAAGGGCAATTATCGATACGCCTATTATTACCATGTCGCAGAGTAGGAGAAAGGATGAACATAAGCGTAAGGGCATGGAGTGTAGCTTTTCAAGCTTGATTAACATTACGTCGTCTCTGCCAGACGGTCAAAAATTCAGCTATTTCTCAAGATACAGTAGAATTCGAAAACAGATTACCCCTCAGACACAGACGCTTTCTTTCCCAGCGCCCCACTCAGATCGCGCTAAACCGTATTCGGTCAGGAAAGTCCCCACCATTTTATTTCGATGTATCTCTGGTAGATCCCCAATGTTACCGTAATTACGGTGTCTAGCATCGAACAGATCATACTTGCAGAGACCCCCATCGGCCGTAAATACACTTTTCTTCCAAAAGTTCTTCTCATCAGTGATGTGATACAAAGCCAGTCGCTAGCCAGTTCTCAATGCCTCTCCTAGAGGACAAACATGTGCATTTCAAATTTATCCACACTTTATTTAAAGCCTTTATGTGCATGAGGAACGGACCATAAAAAGAGGTCGCTTCTCTGCGACAATTCAATTAAGTTGTGAATTTAAGAATAAAACCCATCCACCAGGGACAGTATAACATCTTCAAGAGGAATGTCAGGGTTTGAGACAAGGTCGAGAACTTTTTCACCAGTATCAAGCACCGCCAAAGCGCTTGGGGCCGATGGGCGCTGTACTCCCGACAAGTCTTGGAATGGCACGGCATCTTCATCCGCAGTAGCAGAAAAATACCGCCCTGAATGTTCTGTATAATCTATACGCCCATATTCTTCTGGAGGAGTAATTGTGTTTGTTTCAAGTATATCTTGAAGCCCTGATGCTTTTGGATCGCAAGGAGTCCGAGAAGGATCGAACACCAAAGATATGCATTCAAAATCAAGGGTTTTATCTGGGTCCAAGCGCTGAACGCAACTATTGAAAAATTCGAAACCTCGGCTAGCGGACTCTGAAGTTCTCCTCAAGCAATGCAGCCAGTAAAGACCTTTTGTCACACCAGCCCAAACAACCGATTGCGCAGGGTGCTGAATTTCTTGGGTGCTGGCTGCCGGACCTATTGAGATATCGAGAAGCAGAATGGCAATTGACTGTGTGAGAATGTGTAGGATATCCCACCATTGTGGGAGTTGGTAGCACCAAGGCAAATCTGGTTGATCTGGCAATTGTGCAATGGCTCCCAAAGAAGCCTGGAGACAGTTGAATGCGACCTTATTGGCAAATCGTAAGCCAGAATCACGCGAGTCATGTTTCTTTTCAAAGGCAGGGCCATTCAGACACGGCCGATTTAGCAATATATGAGCGCTGTAGTAATTCAAAGCAAGAGAAAATTGCAATGGTGATCCTCTCGGGTTTGAGATGACTTGACCATTCTGGAAGCCGAAAGAGGTGTGTATGGTCGACGCCCAGAAATCCAACTTTTTGCGGTAGAAAGCTATACGGCTTTCAATGCGGCTCCAGCCTATCCGAAAGGGCTCTAAAGCATATACTTCATTGGTGATAGTATGAGTGATCAAAGCTAGATCCGCCATATAGAAACAGTAGAGGAGATTGGTGGGCTCCAAAGATTTGAGAAACGAACTTTGAGAATTTGCGGTTTCCTCACTCAAGTTGATTGTCCATTGGAGCTCGTTGGTAGGTTGATTCATGTCAGGAACTGCAAAATCCAAATTTGGGTTGAGAAACGGAGGACTTGCAGACTTAGAGGCATTTCCAAGGCAAGATACTCTCCCAGTCATGGTTGAGAGAAGGCTTTCCAAGCGAAAAATTGACCACCACAGCTGCTTTCGCGCCTCTCCTGATTTCACGTCAAGCCCAATGATCCTTTTCTCTAAATTGAGCCCTAAAGTGATGCCCGAACGTGTGGCGATACCGATCATCTTCCACGACCTGATGATTTGTCAAAATCCAGATTGTTGAACGAACATTTCAAAATCACACACCTGTTTATCTGCGATTGAATTAAAAAGAGGAAAGCCATGAGTGCCTCAGCCTGTACTTGTTGCAAATCTCCATGGTCGTAGATAACATTATCCGAAATACTAAGAGACCTAGCTCTCGCAGAGAAAACGTTCTCATCGGCTTCTGGTGATAATTCCCGACCAGAAAGTCGACTGAAAGCGCAGGCGATCGCCAAGACCATGTTCAAGACGGCCAACCATTTCCTACCAGGAAAATTCCCTTCTCTCGAGAAGCATTGACGGTACTGGGCCACAAAAAGGTCTTTTCGTATGATTGGCAAGAACTCCTGAATGTGTTCCATATAAAGCTGGAATAAGCTATCCGCTAGTACCTTTTGTGGCAAAGCAAAAGAGTTCGTCACACTCTTGTTTGATATAGATTGATGATCTAGGTGGTAATTCAATGATGCCATTGTATTTCCAATTAGAGGCTGGAAACCTGGTTTCAAACAGAGTTTAGTTTTTATATCGTGCCTTGAGGTTTGCAAGTCCAGACGCTGCATCCATGCAATTTCAGAATTATTCCCCATGAATCCAGTCGCTCTGCTGTCCTGATTTCGATTGAAATCTTCGTTTGCGACATCAATTTGCTCCGAAGAAGCTAAGGATGAGGAGCTGGATATCTCACAGTCACGATTCGTAGTTTTCTCCTGGTTTGGTCTCTGATGGACTTTTTAACATGTTGCCTATGAAAAACATTCCTCAATAGGACTGCACGTACCTTGAGTGCCCTAGCTACTCGATCAGCAGTAGGTCCTCTAAGTTCCGGAGAAATCTCTTGGAGCAGTTCTCGATAATTCTGGATTTCTCCTCGCATCGAAACGATAGCCTTCTGCTGTTGAACGATTGTTCTTTCCGGGTAGAAGCAATTTCCAAGGCCTTGACCAAGGCATTGGGAGCAGGTCGGTCTGGCCCCATCACACTTGTGCTTGCGCTCTCGACAGGTTTCACAAGCCCGGCTGGTGCGGCCGCCGGCATTCTCCTTTCTTGCGCTTCGCAGGCGCGGAATAGAAAGCTTGGCTGTCATCTGAGCTGTGCTCGTGCTAAGCCCAGACTCGCGATGCCCTCGTCGACATTTCACCGCGTCGTTCACGAAGTAACTAAAAGAGTTCAGTTTTGCACGTACTAGGAGCCTCACGAAACTTCATGAAGCATGCGGGGCTCTCCGGAGAGAGTTCCGCGAATCAGAAGGGACTGCGAAGTCGTATTCAAGGGTAGTTAACGTAATTCCTGGTCGAGTCGTACACCCGGCCGAGCCGTACACCCCATCCAAAATCGCGTCTTCCTACCTACATACCAACTTCAGCCACCTATCATGCCACCAATCCGCTCTAAATCTCGGCAAGAATCTGCCAATAAAGAGGGAAAGGTCTTATTAGCCCTTGACGATATTAAAAATGGCCGTGTCAAATCTCTCCGCGCAGCAGCGAAGCTATACGAAATCCCCCACATAACCCTGGCCGATCGCGTCAATGGCATACAAGCACGCGTCAATATACGCCCAAATGGCTATAAATTGACAAAATTAGAAGAGGATTCGCTTGTTGAATGGATAATCTCTATGGATTCGCGTGGAGCAGCACCTAGGCTGGCTACTGCACGAAAGATGGCTAATATTCTACTGGCTGCGCGCGGTAGCCACCCTCTACCTACGGTTGGCAAAAATTGGCTATTAGCCTTTATAAACCGACGCGAAGAGATTCGATTACGCTTCTCTAGGCGTTACGACTATTAGCGCGCATTAAATGAAGACCTAAAATCGCTACGAGAGTGGTTTGCGACCGTACAGCGCGTTGTTGACGAAAACGGTATACAAACGAAGGATATCTATAACTTTAATAAGACAGGGTTTGCAATAGGCCTTATTTCGGCGTAGAAAGTGGTCACAGGGGCTGGAAACTACGGTCGGAGATCTATGTTACAGCCAGGAGATCGCGAATGGGTCACTACTATTGAAACTATCTGCGTAGATGGCTATTCGCTACCGCCATGCGTGATTTTCAAAGGCAAGGTTGCTATTGTGGGTTGGTTTGATAACCTTCCAAAAGACTAGCGATTTAAGGTCTTGAATAATGGCTGGACTACTGATAAGATTGGCCTACGTTGGCTACAAAATCTATTTATCCCCTCTATAAATTCGCGCGCACACGGCCAGTTTCGGCTATTGATTCTTGGTAGCCACCTTACACCATAATTTGACCGGATCTGCGCAGAAAACAATATTATACCTCTTTGTATGCCTGCGCATTCTTCGCATCTACTACAATCGCTTGATGTTGGGTGCTTTGTAGTGCTTAAGCGCGCGTACGGTCGCTTTATAAGCGATCTTGCGCGTGTAGGCTATAACCATATCGACAAGTTTGACTTCTTGGATGACTAACAACGCGCACGGCTAGAAGTGTTCAAAAAGCCAGTTATAGTTAAAAATAGCTTCGTAGCTACTGGCCTAGTACCTATTGATCCAGAAAGAGTGCTTCCAAAGCTTAATATTTCTCTATGAACGCCAATACCCCCAGGAAGCTGGCTAAGTAGTAGATCTAGCCAATTTATACCAAAAACGCCTAGAACCGTCGTTCAGCTACAAAAGCAAGCTTCTATGCTTAAAGACTTACTAAAACAATGGTCAAATAGCCCGCCAAGCCTATTGAAAGCTGTACTAGATCAAATCATCAAAGGCCACTATATATCGCTATACCATATAGCGCTACTAGCGCAAGTAAACGCAAATCTACATATAGCAAATATCAAGAAGCGCCAAAAGAGCAACCGGTCTATTAGGCAGATACCTTGCGATGGTAGCCTAATAGTTGAAGAGGGCCTACAGCTAGCTACACAGCTGAATTTGCTAGATGAAGCCACTCTAGTAGGTTCGCATACACAGGGCGAAGCACCTATTCAGCCAGGCCAGCCAACCAAAAGGGCTCTGCCTTGGTGTAGTGGGTGTAGAGAGATTGGCCACAAGATCAATTTATGGAAAAATCGCTTTACTTAGCTAAATTAATGGGTGTTGGCCGATATATATCGATTTCAATTTTCTAATGGGTTGGGGTGTACGGCTCGGTCGGGAATTAACTACGTTACATCCATTGATTACTAAGTTATGGCTAATGGTCTTTCGGCAAATATGATCTGTCCAATGCCGGAAACCGTAATTACGGTAACATTGGGGATCTACCAGAGATACATCGAAATGAAATGGTGGGGACTTTTCCTGACCGAATGCGGTTTAGCGCGATCTGAGTGGGGCGTTGGGAAAGAAAGCGTCTGTGTCTGAGGGGTAATCTGTTTTCGAATTCTACTGTATCGTTAACCCGATTTCGTGGAAGTAAACAGCGAGTAGATCGTGCTACCCAGGGCCGCATAGAAAAAAGTGGCTAAATCTTTGTTTTCAAACTAAGGCCCTCCAATAAGCATACTAGGGCTATATGGAATAGTGTGAATATCCAGTCCATGAGACAAAGTGGGACTAAGTCAAGACGGAACATTTTATAGATTTATCTCCTTCCTTCACTGCCCGAGTGCTATGTAAATTGCAAATGCCGCGGAAGTCGAAGTTGACCCTTGCCACTTGATTGTGCGGCAGTCCCTTGATCACCTCTGCAAAGGCCAAGCAACACTGCTTCACTGACGCAGCCGAAAATATTGTCCATGGCTCAAAGGCAACATCGTCATCAGTAGGCATTGTCTATGGCAAAATCGCATTAGTTGGATCCGAGCTGGGTCTCCATGCTGTAAGATTCGACGTTACCTAGAAACGAGCTAATCCAATTCTCTTTTTTCCGGCTACAAAAGGAATCTGGATGCGACGATGCTGCTGTCATTTGCTGCGCAAGACATGGCCGAGAACACTCAATTTAAAGAAATAACCAACAAAAAGGCTGGGTTAAGTTTCACCGGGTCAGATATACATGAGGCAAAAAGGGTTAGTGGAGGATAAACGATGGGTGGACCCACATGGTGCATCTGGGATTCCCTGAATGCGAGGAAGCCCCTTCTTTGGTCCCTCGTGCTACGTTCTGAATTTGGAGTCTAGTATAGCGTTCTTCAGTATCGGAGCAATCTTCATTTATGCATACGCAAGTACTCAGAATGGGCGCTCTGCTCCCAGGATCCTCTAGCTGGCTCCTGGAGCAGCTACCTGGACAGGGGGGTTTTGCAGCTTCACCGTTAAATGCATCTAAATGTTGTGAGTAATTTGTGTAGATCGCATCCTACTTCTTACCTTCTTGGCCTTCGAAATTGCGAGTCGGATCGGCGGGGCTCGGTGAAGACCGCTTGGACCTTGGCGTCGAAATGATTCAAACCACAGATTGACCCTGTATTTCATTGAATCCTGTGCCAGTGTGGTGGAAGAAGGCCAATGGAATATAAACTGCTGCCTTACTTCAACAAGCTCAGCTGGGTGTTGTATCTGGACACCGTAGCGCATCCACCACCGACGTTATTAAAGCTTAATCGCTTCTACTGACTTGTTCTTGAAGATAAAATCTCGCTACCGAAGGAGAAGGTGAGTTGCGGTCCATTTGCGCCGCTTGGAAACTGACTACGGAGCTGGGAAACATTCCTCATTTGTGAGTCAGTATAGAGAAGCAGGAGCTGATTTCTAAATAGCTCGTCTTGGAAAATAAAAGATTCGTCTTCTCATCTGTATACTGAGGACGTAACTTGCCTAGTTGATCCACAGTACCGATGATATTCTCCCCTACTCTGAACCGTAATGACGACATATTGCCCCGCCGATCATATCATCATCCTCAAAGTGTGGCTTATCCCAACGAGAGCTATAAAAAGGACGCTGGCCAGACTTATATAAGTGAATTTGCCGCAGATATTATTTGAAACGGCCTCTCTGTATAATTCTTAATCTGGTAGGCTTGTCGTTCGCTACTCTATAGGGTCCTGATCACACCCTGCCGTAAAGCGTGAAAAGCCTGCTGGCGATCCTATAATAGTAGCTCATGACCGTTGCAAACCTGGCGAAGTTGTTCGTTTTCTGAAAGTAGCCAGTTGTTTGTGTCTTGAAGTAGATGGTGCTCTTCTTCCAAACGGATCTTCCGCGCCGAGTTGATCACGTAGCATTCCTATAGATATATATATAGGTTAAGAAGCTTAATAGCCGATGAGGTAAGTGATGGAGATGTTTGTAGGATCTGATTCATCTCCTCCGTGAGGGAATGAGTTGCTGCGACCGCGGTCGGCTAGATAACTTGTGAGAGCTAGTTTACTATCATTGCATTGGAATTCTGACCTTGTACTTGTTCTAATCCATAGTCCTAGTTGATATGCCGCCCATTTTCGACCTAATAGAAGAGTGGTGTCCATAGGAAAGTAAAGAATAGCGTCTTCGCTTCGAAGGTCTCCTAGAAAATAAGTTAATACTAGGCGATTCCATCACACTAAGCAACACGCACTATAGCCAGAGGGTAAGATAGCGGATTTATAAGAGTCGTTAAAGATGGATGTGAACACGCTTTTTATAGGCCTTACGAGAAATCGTTGATAAGCTTATCCTGTCGAGCTGGGTGAGGCGGGCTGATTTTCTCTACCGATGGTTTAACCAAACTTTCCTGCGGTTTCCCTATCTAAGCCTTTTAAGGACTACGTTAAGGGGACTGTCTATGTTGGTCTATTGAGTAGTTTTAATCGGTGTAGAAATCTAGAGTAAGACCTATGCTGTAACGGTTACTAGGATTGGTGGCTATGAGCGAATCATCTTTGCACTGCTGTATACCTATTTAGTGGACTGTATGGGGACTAAGCATGCGATGTTTACCTGATCCCTGCTACTCTGACGACCCCAAATGTAGTCCTAAAAGTTTTAACTAAATGCCTTACTAAGATGAATCATGAAAGAGAGTTCTATGAACTAGAAAATTCAAAATTAATTTATTTAGACCACTAATCTCGCATATGGAGTAGCGACTGACGACACTAAAATTCGTATGGTGATTCTATTAGGCCACCCTCTGGATATGAAGAGAGAAACCCAACTCTATCTATAAAGACACCTCGCTAAATGTTAGGATCAGAGATTTCTCTAGGGCAAAAATCAAGGTGGCTCGAGTCCTGGCAATTCGGATTTCGTGGACCTAGTCGTTGGTAGTCTGCGGTAGTGCTTACGCGACGCACTAAAAACTACTAGTAGTGGTACCGATCCCTATGAGAAAAGTCTCTAATCGCAAGGACTTGTAAATCCGGAAGCCCATCGCTGCCAAAGGCCCATTCGGCGAATAAGATAAAATCTTCCGCCTTAGTCACCATTGCGGTAGTTACCGCACCTTGATCGATATCCTCCCGAGCGTCATATAACCCTAAGAGTGGGGAATCTTGGTCGTTAAGGATATGAGAGTAGCCTAGTCCGGTATCTAAAGAGAGGCGAGAAAGCTCGATGCTCATATCCATAGGACTTAGATGCACCCTTCTCTTGCGTAGCACACTTAAGATCTCTTGTCGCATGTCCCGATAGATCCGCTTAGGTCCACTAAATCGTAGATGTAGGATCTGCAGCCGTGACCTTCGGGCCATTGGCTATAGGTATTATCGCTGTTTCGGTCAGCATACGTCTAACCTTTAGATCCGATTACTTACTGCTATATAAGGGTCCGCATAGAGCGCGAGGGCTGTTAACTGCTGCATATTCACGACGGAGACTAGGTTCGCAATCTAGCCTAGTAATATATCTCGATCTCTCGCGAATAGACCATTGTCGTTGATCGATAGGAGCTATCGTTCGTGGTAGAGAACGCTTTTTAGAGTAGGCGAATGGCCTTGAATGGCATCTTAGATATACACATCTGTGACTAAATAATTTGATAGTCGTAGATGCAGGTGTTCTAGCCCGCGGAAAGAGCAAAGGAACTGCGAAATAATAGTAAAGCCACCGTCCTCGCTAGGCTCATTAAGTAGGCAATCAAAATATACTTTAAAAAACTTTAGTTGCATTGGAGTTAGAGAGCGCGAAAGTGAACGTAAGAGGCGTAGCTAATTTGGGCAATCTCGTAACGTTAGCGCTCGTAGTGAGCAGAATATCGTAGATCCTGTTAAGGTAAGGCCTGTAGGTAAAGAGACTTTGGAAAGCGATAACGTTCTAAGGTGTGGAGCGTCCACCACGCTCGAGGACTCCTTTTCGTCCCCTATATAAGCCTCCTCCGCATTTCCCTATAGCCTAAGGGCCTCCTAGTGCAGAGATTGCGCCACGGCCGAAAAGACAAACCTAATAGATAGTGTGCGGAGGTGTTGCTTATTTCGATTAATACACCGTTATAACGAGCGGACCTCTATTAGATGTTGAAGTCCCTCCCACTCTAACGTTGTTAAGTAGGGTAGGTTAGAGAGGCCTTCTAGACCATTTTAGGCGGAGGGATAGGTTCTATTGGTCATAAGTGAAAGACGTCGTAAGTACCTTTGGTTCTGGGTTAGATAACCTTTTCGATCTAAAAGTCCCGCTGGCACGTAGGTGCCTAGTCGCCACCTATAGGTTGTTAGTCTTGGTGTCGATAGGAGATTGTGGGCTAATATAAACTGAAATGTTCGTAAGCTATCTGGCTTGAGGTGCATAATTACCCGCTGAAACTGATCCGTAATATCTTCTAGGAACTGCGTATGCGCCGTCGCGTTATTAGTGGACCCTAGCGTTAATGAATAGCCTAATAAACCCGCGGCGTGGAAGATACTGTAGTAAGCACATCGGTTAAAGCGGGCAAGGTATATGGGCGCCTAGATGTCTAGATATTATATATGCTAAAGATAGCTAGTTGCCGGGGATTGGCTGTGGTAGAGAAAGAAAGACTTAATATCGAGAACATTTAGGGCCTACTTACTCGCGGCACGAAATGTCACACTCCGATAGATTAGTGGGATTAGCACTGAGTGTAGTCTGAAGGACGCTTGGCTAAGGGCGCACCGGCTAGCGGTAGGTAACTTGTTATAGTGAGTCCCCTGAATGAATATATTATTACGAATATAGAACTTATCTTATGCGCGATTAGGATCAAAATTTCGCATAGTAATCTATTAAGCATAATGCGGACTACTATGGATACGTAGCTCCACCCTTTTAATGATAGCACGGTATGCTGATGAATACGTGCTGGTACTAGAGACTTAATATAAATCTAGACTGACGTAAGTAAGAAATCCGAAAGATGTCACGCGTACTGTAATCACTATCCGTTTGCTTAAGTGGATTAAGTAAGCGGCCGGTGATGTTTGTCTTGGAGATTTTTGGTAGTAAGCCTTTCACTAATAGAGGAGTGGCTCTATGCGATGACCCGTAGGTATATAACTTAGCTTTGCTCTGGGCTATGGAGGACCCTTAACCGTGTTGGTTCACCGCGTGGAGTTAATATCCATTAATTCACGGGTGGTGAAAAGTGGTGATTTCCCGCGATCCGCACTAGATTGTCGTTCGTGGCCGACCTACCCTGGGCACCATAATGGCTAAGAAAATGCGGATCTCTAATCTTACCGGCAAACTTTATGCTATGTAACGGGCCGAGCAAAAATCAAATAGTGGTTTATGAGAATTAGCTATTGCACCTCTAAAATGTATATAGGTGCTAGAAGATTAGGCGTATAGTGATGGATGAGATTTAACTAAAGCCTAGGCCGATGATTAGGTGGATATTGAAGAAAAGTCACTTTCATAATAGAATACTATGTATATAAAATTCCACATGTGGACCGTAATCGACCAGCATTCTAATCTACTATTGCCGCGGCGCGTAAGTAGTGCGACCTATCTATGCCGGTATTTGATGAATCGAACACACCTCAATATCTGAGTGCGGCCTGCATAATGGCTTTCGAGTATGCCACAAGACTGTAGATAACGACAAGGCGCATTATATAGACGCTGGGCCGCTAGCCTTAAACCACTACTAGCCGCTCTAACGGCCGAAGGAGGTAGAGGGTAGCACTAAGAATGTTAGCCATAACCATTTGACTAAACTCCACCGCTAAGGGTAATACGCTTTGAGTTGGCGCTACCAGCGCATGTATGGTCGGCACTAGCGATAGTAGGCCTAGTGACGCGTAATAATACGGGAATTTAATGCTCAACGCGGATAGTAAGGGATCACTAAACAGGAAGTCGAGCATATTCCCGACCGCAAATACTATAAAGGCACATAGATATCTAAGCTGGAGGTAGGGTTGGTTTAGGAACAGGAACACGATCGTGGGCAGAGTTGCGGTCTAGATGAGGAATAGACCCCCTCCGAATTCTATCCTCTGCCACTCTGCTCTATTTCCGCTCTGGAATGTGCTAAAGATATAAGAGAATAAGCTAGAAAGGCACTATAGGATGACACCTGCACCAAAAAAGATCACCGCTAGTGCGCCGATGATGGCGTCTTGCGATGAGGGGAAATGGAAGAGAAGAAATTGTAGCACAAAGAGGCAGAAGTATGAAAGACTAAAAGTGCTGGTGATAGCCCCTATGGCATAATCACGCCGGTTCTGACTATCGAAGCTAAGTATTATGAGAATATCGAAGTCGTTAGTCTTTTCTTGGTATAGCCTATCGTCTGGATTAGGTTGGGCTTTTATAGCTGGATAAGTCGTGTCTAGAGAGGTAAGCATCCCCTCCAGCCGCAAAAATTGATTTTCCTTAAGAACTGAAGGGGCGTCGTTAAGCCGATATACTTTCTTGAGCTAGGCTGGACTTACCGTCATAACCAATAAGTAGGGTATTTTATTTAAATTAGTATCTTCCTCATAAATAATGTTTGCGTCGTTGAACTATAACTAGCGCCATTCTGATTAAGACAAGAAATCGCTCTAGTTGTCCTTGTTGCACTTATATATCTATCTCCCTAGTCTGGTATAGTCATAGGCTGCATTTGATTCAAATTCACGATATGGATAAGATTGCGTAAATCGTCCGTGACATTGGCTAGTAGTAGGGCGAGAATATGTACTTTCGGGCTTGCTACGCTATTCTTAAACGACTGCAGGAATTGACTGAGCAAACGTCCGATGATCTTCGTCGTCTTTACTAGTCACCATTCGTTGGCTCTTCTGATGAGGCATTTGCTCCTGTCTACCACACCTTATGCGAGCTCCAGACCGCTGTTTTTGCCTTAACTGACTAGGCTTGTAATGCCCAGTCAGCCTGTGAAGAGCTATGTCTAGTGGATCTATTATTTACCGCGCACTATGTCTTCGAGCCCGTGCGGAAGATGTAAGCCAAAAGATGATCACTATTTATCGCTCTGAAACAAGGAAAAACTGGACTCGTAGCCTTAATTATTTGCTTGACTCTGAGCTAAGACGTAGGGGATGTACTATTTTACTTCCTCTGCTAAAGGTTCAGGCTGTGGATTCTGTTTATGTATAAAGTGTGAAGATATAATTTGTCTGAAACAAAAAGGCCTTGGATGGAAGCTGTAACCGAGTAAATATATTTTGTCGACGTGGACCTAAGTACAATATAGATACGAGTAAGTATTCTAATACCATCGGGGAAGTCTGATTCGCTGGATGGCTTCTTCTAGCCTGCCACTCGCTGGACTCTCTTTAAAAGGAAAGCTAGTGCGAAATGCTCTTTGTTTTTATGCATCGTGTTACTATTTATGGTATACCTCGTTCTTTAGATACCTTAAATACAGCAATAAAAGAGTTAGATTAGCTATACAAGAAGCGCACTGATGGAGAACGCCACTGCTAACCATGTTGTAGCAAATATGTGTCCCCTAAGGCTGGCCGAAGCACCAAAAGACTACAAAACACTTTTAATTCTAGTAGTCTAAAGCCCGTAAATGATTGTCACTCTAATTATGGTAGTGGTAACTAAGAGTATCGAGAGCTAGAATCGTCAGTAAGACTCTTGGATTCGTTGTTTCTAGGTTCACATACTATGGCAAAAATCGCTAGTAATTTGTTCCCCCCGGAAAAAGCCACCTTTCGCACGCTAAGGATGACCACTAGGACCATTAAGATGAAGCCCAAAATGTATAGCTAGATGATTGCTTGGGAAACATCCCGATAACCTGTAAAAACTGTCTGATTCAGGCCCGGAATGAAATCATTTATCTCTATAGACACCGAATCAAATATATTCACTAAGTCAAAAGAGAAACTTATGCTTAGATTAGAGTAATTCGTGACTAAGCCATTTTAGCCTTTATAGTAGCCCCATAGACTAACCAAGTAATACTTGGGTAAATGCGGCTTTAGTTTATCTATTAGGCTTTCTAATTCGCTGCTGACGTGGCTAGCTATAGTACTCGCCGCTATAGACGCCTTAGCTATAGTAGTCCCCGCACTATGCCCCACGCTATTCATAGTAGCACTCGCTTCTATGGCAACACTGGACCCATCTAGGTTGCTAAGGCTGAGTGAACGGCGGATAGATAAATCATCTAAATTGGGAAAGTCTGTTAAGTTCACTTGTTTCTCAATTAGTGGGATTAGGTAAATAAAGGACGTATCTTACCTTTATAAAATATAAATCAGCCGGAGTAGAGGATGAAGTACATCTGGTAAAGACAATAGCGAGATATATTAAGATAGCGATTGATAGTGCTAGGGCCCTAATAAAGATAATCTAGTCTAGTCTGCTTCCTATATGCGGTCTTATTTTATAGTAGAATGTGACCACGTCTTACTATGTCTTACTATGGTGGAAATAATCGATCACGGAGTAGATTTTCTAAATAAAGCATAAGCTACTTATAAGATTGGCTAGGAAGAGAACTACTAGGATATGGAATAGCACAAAAGCTTGATTTTATTTATGAGGGTTGCTTATGTTATCCCTGGAGCCGAGTGGTGAGTGCGTTAACGGGTTTAAAGGGGTATAAAACCGCGGCTATTGAATATCGAGTCTGCTGTACTACTATTTATGAGTTTGGGACCTCATACCGTGGTTTAAGCTATATTAGCTATCTTTTAGAGGGATGCATCTAACGTCTAGTGATATGTCGCTCTAGGCATTAAAAAAATGATAGAGACTTTGACTTAGGTACAGAATTTTAACGTCACTTTTCCATCGTTAGTCATTAAGGATAACTAAAGCTGCCCTAGAAAGAATCCGGTAGCTAAAGCTGTAAAATATAGTTCTTGGTGTAGTTTTGGTATAAAGCACGAGGTCCGTAAACTCAATTATCCTTTGACTCTAGTATCGCCTTTCTCGTTTTACCCGCTGTAATGGTCCTTAGCCAGGCCTAAGTAGAAGCCCTTAAGGATAAGCTGTTTACGTATCGTTAATGTTAATTTAAACTAGCCGCACGTGTGCATCTTTCCTATCTCACCTTCGAAGATGGATTTAGAGAAAGAATGAACGATCGTCAGAATATTCGCCGATTAGAACGCATCATAGAAATATAAGGATGCCAGCGCCTTATGAAGGACTGCTACGTCCTGGTGCTAGTTCCTGCGGCTGACTAGGGGCGCCGTGTGCGGTAACGGCTAGGAGACGATTTGATTCCTAGCTTAGATATAGACTTTGATTACCGTCTATAGGCTTAAGACCATAAGAATTTGATTGCCACCGCCCGCAAAATCCTAGGGCCAACTAGTTAGTGGTGGATTATGGATGTCTATCTCACTAAGTAAGGTAGTGCGTTTATTTGGTCTTTACACATGATCTAATCGTCCTCTATAGCAATCCCAATTTCAGCTGATCTAACTCGATTAAAGAGAGTCGCGATGGTAGAACGATGCAGGAAAAGCTTATCCGGGCACTAAAAGAACGGTTTCTAAATGACAATCGACCACCTAACGGGCTTATATACGAACGCATCCGTCACTATAAGGGGCTTCCTAACGGGGTTTTAAATCGAATAGCCGCTAATGATTGGTGGGCCGCGCTGGAGACGGTTCCTAGGAGCAAAAAGCGAAAATACTTGCGGCTGTTTTTGAAGCACCCCACACTCCCTCGAAAACTAGACTCGCTGCTTATTATCACCGGTCTTTGGGAGGATATGCGAATCGGGCTACTACATAAAGTGGTTGCTATGCGCTATGATGAGGTGAGTGTTTTCACTCTAAAACTGACTTTACACACTAATCTTAGACGTACCATTAGCTAATCGGATGCTACTGGGAGTTTATCCTAAGTATATTCCTTAGGCTAGTTAGAGGAAGGCACGAGCTTCTGCCTTTGATTAATAGGGGCACAGTATATTTGCTTTAATCCCGTGCGCTAAAGGTTTCCTAGCGGGACCTTAAATTTTTAGAGAAGTAGATAATAAGCGGTAAGCTTTTTTGCGGTATTCTAGATAAGCAGCGACTTAAGATCTGGGAGCAATTGAAGGGAATTGACTTCCCGATTCCGACTCTGGCTACGTTCTTTAGGGACCGACTATACCTTGAAGTTAGCTAAACTATAATACGGCAACTATTCACACCTAATCTAGATCGAAGGACCACTATTAACGAAGGCGTCTACGAGCAATATAATATAGCGGTTCCTATATTGATAGCACATCGGCAGGAAATACTTAAGTCGGACCTATGGGAACTTTGGCGGTTTAGCTTCTAATATAGCTTTAAGATGACTAAGCATCGACGCTATATACCGCGAATGAAAGCCGCTACCTAATAGCCGTCCTATCTAACCTTTTCCTAGAGACCCCCGACCCTAGATCCGACCGCTCTTTAGTAATATTACTATGGCATTGCGAGGGCAAGAGGATTCAAAGTGCCGTTTAAGGGAGAGTTACTAATGGATCCCCACTATCTCCCTTTACTAGCTCTATGCGACTTCCTAGAGGATAGTTTAGAGGAGATCCAAACTACATAGAGGTGCGGAAAGCCATTTTTAGACTTAGTAAAAGCGGATCGATATGCCCTAGCCGTAGAGTTATTACAGCAAGAATGGATAACGCCGCGAGTGATAGCGGGGTTTATCCGAAGATCTATCTTCCTAGCCTTTTTTCGTTATCTCATAGAAAACGGCGACGGCCGCCTATATGCTAGCAATACCGACGATATAGACGGTGGGGCCTCTGGCTAGGAGGAAACTAGGGGTATGAACATGAATTCATCTTCGCAAGCAAATTTCGTTATGCTAGGGAACACTATAGACGTAGCACTACCTCCACCGTCCTATTAAATGTTTGATCCCGACCTTATTCTGCGTGCGGCTCCTGTGGCCGATTTTCAAGCGGCCTATTTCATGATGGATATATCTTTACCCGGGAATAGGTAAACGTTAAGGCTACCTAATGACCTAGCGGTATTAAATCCCTTTCTCGAGGGACTATCTAGCCATTATTTTTATATTTACATCCTAGAGGAAAACGGAGAAAATGGACGATCGATTAAGCTAAGTATATGCTACACGCACTATATCTGGAACCCGTCTACCAGGCTGCACGCTAAATTCACGGTAGTAGATTCATTTGTTATATACTATTCTTCCACTACAGAACAAAGAAGCCGAAAGAGAATACGGATGGACTTTACACCTTAGCTTAGTGAAGCTAAGCGGTGGCTAGAATAAGAAGTCCCTTAACTATCCTCGTTTCATGTGCCTTAAGAGATAAATATTTTTTAAGATTGCTGGAACTTGATATGGAAACCTGCATGATCTATCTAATCATATGCTATAGGAAAATAATGCGTTTAGGGCTACGTTGATCTTGATTGTAAACATGCATAATATCATTCATCACTCTTAAGCAATACAGGATATGTTCGCTTCGTTCCTGATTATCTCTGGGAACCAGCTACTAAGGCCTCCTTAAAGTCTAAATCAGATTTTTGTTCCAAACATGACAATTTTCTTCTGGGATTGGGAGGCAAATTAATGTCTATCTAAATAATCAGAGTGGTTAGTATCTAGTTTCCACTAAGGATTTGACTGTGTTTGCATGTATAGTTGTTTTTAAAGAGAGCTCGCATAACTACATTAGAATACGACTTAGCTTCCTGTGGGCTATATCAACACGGTAGTGTAACAAATATGTCATAGCATGCGGCTTGTCTGGTAGGGTCATGAAAATTAGATCTGAAATCATATTAAGATATAAGTACCGCTTTAGGTGGAGACCTTAGATTCAAATATGCATTTTATCTTTTCTTACTTTCTCGATTATTCTTACTCTTCTACCCCTTCTAATACCTTATCTAAACCATAAAGGCGGGCCTGGTTATCCACTTACCGCCTTGGTCTTGAAAGCTCGGCTAAGGCATCGACTGTACGTCAGGAAGCTAAAGATCTTTGGGAGCACCGCGTCATTTCCCCTCTTATAATCAGTAATAAGAGGATAAAGAAACGGAAGCGATGGCTCTATATATAGTTTTGTTCTATATAGCCGATAATTTGTACTATAGTCGACGAACCCCGTAAATACGATCGGGATCTGGGCACCCGCTAACGATATCCTATAAAGAATAGCGTATAAGCTATAGAAATTTCGGTAGTGAAGCAATTCCTATTCTAACGTTAGTAACGACAGGCGAATAATTAGCTTTTTATCGTACCTTTACTACTTCTTCCAATTTCCCGCCTAGGTCGCTGACCGCTGTAACCTCTTCTACATCATGGTATAGCTTATTCCACTCAGCGCCTAGTAGTTAAAGATGCTGATCATGGGTGCGAATACTGTTGAGATAAATGTGATGAAATCGCGCTAGCGCTTTTCTGCTTAGTTGTAAGGCGACTACTATGGCCGAGTGGCTAATAAGGAGATCTATAAAGCCTATCTCGACGCTAAAGACCCGCCCTTAGACCATATCAGGGCTTATCTAATAGCGTTGGTACCGAGATTTGAGCACCGTGAGTTTAAGAAGAATGTTACGGTCAGGCGCCGAAAGCAGTCTCTCTAGTGGATCGATAATGAACTTTGCATCTATCTGGAGTGGTTCGAACTACCCCCCTCTCTCATAGAGAGTGATAGTATATGCGAGTGCTTGATGCAAGAAGCAGTCATTGCTCTTCATGATCTGCTCTCTGTTAAAAATGGCTCTCGATTTTTGTTTGCGATATGACGTACCTCTAAGATCGCCCTATATTTTCTAGCTTCAAAGGGGAAATAGGCCAAGAAGTTATAAAGAGAAAAGCTAAGTTTCTTATAATAGGCCTGGAAAATAGCAAGGGATATAGAAGCCTTTCCTATGGCCTGCTCTACCCAGTTATCCAAATAAAGCTGTTTTAGTAGGTAACGGCTGTCGTGGAGAAGCTTCATAGTGATATCTTGCTTATTGAGACCTTGAGAAAACACCATCCACGAATCTCCGACTCACTGACCGGCTTCTTGAATGATTTCGTTAGAGGCTATTGGCATGGGCTTAGGGTTGGGAGTGGCATATGGGGTCTCATTCAATATCTTAAGAGACTAGGGGAACACGAAGGGATACTGACCTTCGATGGTTAATAGGTCCTATATCTTAGTGGCGATAAAGTGATTGCCCAAATACTACTTACAATATCACTTCCAGAGTGTAGATAGATCCATAGCGGGTTAGAACGTTGCATCCACTTAAGTACCAAGTACGTGGTATATAATGCAAGCAAGTTATTTAGTGGCTGAGTACCACACTAACTTATAGAGCCCACATTGTCGTCTGTTAGATTGCGTTAAACACATAGTTTCATAATAGATATCTGTTTAACGTCTAATCAACCGAAAGGTCTCCGATAATAACCGCATATACTAACTAGGAAACACCTCATTCGCAATGTCTAATTTCGCCTGTCAAAAAGACGGTTGTTCAACCCTCAACCGTGAAGCTTTATAGATAGCTTTAGTGCCCTCGGTAGAAGTAGCGTCCTAAATCACTATAGACTAAATGATAGGCAAAAACCTAGGAACAGTATTTCATTTGGATGACCGATCCTACCTGGCTTGATAGGATAACCATCTAAATCCTATCTAATACTACGCTAGTACGTATTTAGAGTTTTTCCGTAGAGCCCTGCCTCTGGGTATTGTACTATTTTTTATATGAAATACCTGATACTATAGCGGGGCCGTATTCACCTGTAATATTACAGTTATACCTCATACCTCCGTACCCCACCATGAAAACTCTCCTCTTCCTTGGTATAGAAGATCTTGAAAATCAGTCACCCGTGGTTGGCTACTACGAGAATGGCTCTAAACCTAGCTCCTTCTAAGCATGAGTTTATCCATGATATGATCCGCAGTGGAGAACTATCGATATTGGAGATGGCAGAGGCGGCTGGTTATAACAAGAGTACCATCCTAAGAATCTCTTCCAATATACAGATGTTTGGCAGCGTCAAAGCACCACCTAATAAAGGTGGTTGACCACGAAGCATCACTCCTGTTATGTTAGAGGCTCTTTATGATCACTTATTCGAAAAGCCTGGCTTGTATCTTAACGAGATGGCGATTTTTCTGTGGGACGAATTCAATATTCATGCAACAAAATCTAGCATCAGCCGCGCTCTTGCATATAAAGGATGGTCCAAAAAGACTACCCAGGTCAAAGCTAGAGAGCGCAATCTAGACCTACGTGATGAATACTTCTACTTTATGTCAGAATTCTGTTCGTACCATCTTGTCTATATGGATGAATCTGGATGTGATAGAAGGATAGGCTTCAGGCGAACGGGTTAGTCCCCACTAGGCACCACACCAGTTCAAGTATCTAAGTTCCACCGCGATCAGCGATATCAGATACTTCCTGTATATGCCTAAGACGGCATTGTTTTGTCTTGAGTATTCCGGGGCTTAACTAATGCGTCCGTCTTTAAGGATTTTATTAAGTAACTTCTCCAGCATTATGGGAGGTGGCCTGAACCAAAGTCTATGCTAGTCATGGATAATGCATCCTTCCACCACTCTGAGCGAATAGAATAGTTATGTTCTAAAGCCGGTGTGAAGCTGGTGTATTTGCCCCCATATTCACTAGACTTAAATCCTATTAAAGAATTCTTTACTAAGCTCAAAGCCTTCATCTGGAGAAATTGGTAGTCTTATGAGGAAAATCCCGATCAAGGCTTCGATAACTTCCTTAAGTAGTGCGTTGACGTGGTTAGCGCAAGAGGGAAGAGTGCCGAGGGACACTTCCAGCACTCAGGTTTGACATTGGAGGAGTTGTAGCGCAGCTACTACGGGCAAAGCTCGAACTTACTACCCGTGGTTAGCCCAACCAGGTTTTTTGTTGGGCCATATTGCAGACCGCGCAATATTTCAGATTTTTCAGGGTATCAATAGAGGTGTAACACACAAATTTTGGGGCACATCAAGATCATCGCATCGATAATATCAATGCAGTGTTTTGACATTAATACACAGATAGGGTTGTAAACCACCCATTAAGTCGTAGACCCGCAAGATATCCCAAACGCGTTAATCCATCTTCTCTGACATCTAATTCCTCCATATCCCAAAGGACCTTATCGATATATTCGCCTGCGCCGCTCATATTTATGATATGCGCAATAGCACGGTGGACATCAAGAAGCCGGGCGGATAGCAGATCTATTGTGCGATGAGGGCTAAGGGTTAATGAGCGAGTGACGGGGAATAAAGGGTCACGTAGAAAAGGGCGCTGCTCTATCAAGTCAATCCTATACTGGTATGGTATGCCAGTGTGTTGGAAATATATCTAGAATTCGCCGAATAACCGGTGGTAATCCAACGTTAATGTGAGGGCGTTTAAGGGGCTGTCAATTTTTAGACCATTAATTAAATGGCCAATGCCAGGATCGAACATATCCAAGATCCGAAGAACATTTTTCTTCAAGTCGCTCTAGGCAGGACGTTAGAAGGGCAAAATAGGACTTCGTATATCGGACATACCAAATCCGTGTCTCCTGAAGCTACTGTCGTCAGACAGTGGGGCAGAATATGGGCAACCTCTAAGTATTTAAATTAGTCACTGGACTGATCCTTCAGCAGCTTCCCGTCATCGTCTTCATAAGATTCCCCATTTTCTGCGAAACGTTTCCTAGTCGATGCTCGATCGAATTTCGAAGAAATAACACAACGGTGGCGATCACGCACGAGACAGCTCTGTCGTAGGACAGATATACGCTGGCTTGTACCAGTCGGGGTAGAGCTCTGTAGGGATGATAATAAGGTGGGTGTCGGTTGTGGTGTCTTGACAGAAGAGGCTCTGACTGGATTTCACAAATGAATATTCGCCGATTGTAGATGGGAAGAGGAGGATTTGACATACGGGGAAGAAGGAAGTTATCAACAATGTATTCAGCGAACTTTTCTAGAGCTTCGTTGAGATTCTGTATTCGTTCAGAATCCGAAGAGGCAAACCCATCGAGGTAGGATATAGTGTGATTAATATAGAAATCAACCGCGTATTGTTCGTTTGAGAAGAGGGCCTCATAGATGTAAGAGAGGAAGAAAGTCAAGAAAGTATCTGGAGACGCAACGTATTGGAGGGTAGCCTGTATAAGCGCAGCAGGCTTATAGCCCTTCCGAACGGTCTGTTCGGGGTCATAATGCCACAAGCCTGATCACAAGGTTCTTTGCCAACTCAAGCTGCTGTGGGGTTAGTGATAAGGGTATTGAGAAATGGAAAATACCCTCAAGAGAGGACTGATGACGGTGCATCGCCATGATCGTAATTGTCGTAATTCCTGGAGAGTCGTGAGAACACCAAAAGACCCAGGACTTTCTCAGCCTGAGGCAGAGCGGAGGACGGGAATACTATAGTCCGCAGAGGCCTGTGCCTAAGCTCCTCTCACACGTTGTTGCATTTCATAAAGCTGGAACGGAATAAATGATTATCCTTCCCGTTCCTCCACGCTGGTTGGTCGGCTGGCTGACTTTTCGTTGTGAAAGTTGGATTACTAACCACAACCCACTAACTAGACTTGGTGCGGATTCCTACTTTTGGCCTAAATGGATAAACCAAGTGTTAAAGCACTAGTGACGCGCGCTATCGCACCCCATGGCCCTGAAACGACGTGAAACGTGAAAATCTAAAAGAATACTGGGTCTGAGAACACTCGATTACGCAACACTACTCTTGAGGCGCAGCGGATGTGTGGCTGATGAACGTAGAAGATATATATACGAGACGAGACCATGATGATGTCCCTGATAGCATCCGGGAGCAATTATATGCCGAAGAGAAGCAGCGGCTTGGAAAACAGAAAGAAGGCCGGGACAGCTCAAAAAAAACTGGATCAATGAGCCCACTGACAATTATCAATAATTTCCTCTATGCTGGATCATCTCAACTGCCCATGCCTCTCTCGTGTGCCAAATGAAGCTACACAAGTTAGGACTAGCAGTGCCGAGCCAATCGTAATACATGGTCTGCTCGATATAGCTGTCGATGAATATACGGAATAGCAGCTGTCACGAGTGCAGAATTAGTCTTTCAGGGAAAATATCAAAAGAGCACGCGAGGTGACCCTCGAATATTGCCTTGATCTTTCGCAACTTTATGAGGATCAGAACCCTGATTTTTTCGTCCAGCATGGCATGAAGTTAGGTGCGGCCCGGCGATTTGTTCGTGATATTAGTCTTTGGGTGAAACAACGGGGAGAGGCCGCTTCGTATGATATGAATAAGTAGCGGATATGATAGATACAGCGAATAGAGAGTAGCCCGCACCGGCATTTACCCTAGTTTCATTCCTGTCCTAAAAGGCCTTGTTAGGATTTTGCAGCATCGAGTCTTGGCTTTTCCCCTTCAAAATACATATTGGTAAACAGCGATCGCGGCTAAGTCCCATCATGTGAGGGTCCCGACGGAAACGGACTAGTGTAGCGACGGGAAGTGGGGCACTAGGGATTTAGTTACTTGACTCATTGTGACGCACGATGTGCCATTGCGGATTAATAATATCTTGGTACTTAAAGATCGAGCTGTTCCATACGAACCGTCTCTGTTGTGAGTTCCAACTTTCGGCCTTTCTAATCAAATCATTGCAATGTTGGCCGGGGTCTTTTCCAACGGGCTCGCCTGGACGCTCGTTGCAATCGTCGCTGTCTTATATCACTTTATCAAAAAACCGCGGCCAATTTTTCCCATTGTCAACGATTACCCTCTGGATTTCTTTCGTCGAAAAGCATATCGTGTATATAACGAGAATGCTACAAAGCTAATCGTCGACGGTCTCGCCAAATACCGCGGCCCTATCACGATACTTGTTCCCGGCGGCATGAAAATTGTACTGCCGTCTGCTCTGAGCGACTGGGTCAAGACGAACAGAGACCTCGATCACCAAGAACTCGTCAGGGAAGAGTACTTTGCTCACTTCCCGGGATTCGAGGCTCAATATACACTCCATAGCACCGACAGAATATTGATTGACTTGTTGCGGACGAAACTCTCTCAAAACGAAGAGATAATGCCAACTGTCAACAAGCATATTGGGCCAGCTCTGCAATATTACTGGGGCGATAGCAAGGCCTGGCATACGATAGATTGGGAGAAGGATACTACGGGGATTATTTCGCGGGTAGCAGCCTCAATTTTCGTTGGTCCAGAAAAGGCAACAGACGCCGAGTGGCAAACGGTAGTCCAGAGCTATGTGCGCGAGTTTTTCGCTGCCGTGGGTGAGCTTCACGGCTGGAAGGCGCCACTACGACCGATTGTGCAATGGGTTTTGCCTCACACTTCAGCATGCCGAGACCTTATGCGTCGAGCTCGCATAATAATGCAGGATTTGGTTCAAAAGAGGAAACATGAAGCAGAAGTTGCAGAGGTTCAGGGCCCAGCAGCGCCTCGGTACAATGATGTTGTTGCCTGGACCATGCAACTGCCCAATAACAAGCACCAAGCGGGCGACATCCAGCTCGCCTTGGCTATGGCAGCACTTTTTACAACTACAGAGATTTTCAGACAAATCCTCATCGACATTGCCAGACATCCAGAACTTGTGGAGCCACTCCGACACGAAATTAAAAATGCGTTATCGGAGCACGGCCTGGGACTAGCTGCGCTGGCAAAGATGGAACTACTCGATAGCGTGATGAAAGAATCACAGAGGCAGATTCCTATCTCGGGTAAGTTTTCATCACAATATTGTCCAGGGGTAACTCTAATGTTGGCTACAGTGGGATTGGAGCGCAAAGTTATTCGCGAGACATCCCTTCCGAACGGGACAAAATTACCTAAGGGTACCCAAATTATGGTTGACTCCAGCGACATGTGGAATCCAAATGTTCATGAAAATCCCGAGGTATACGACGGGTACCGTTTCATGAAGCGACGTCATGCGGGAGACAAAGCAAGTCAATTTGTTCAATCGAGTCGGGAGCATAATGTGTTTGGTGGTGGTAGGCACATATGCCCCGGCCGCTTTTTTGCCAACACTGAGTTGAAACTGTGCTTGGTCCACATCTTGTTCAAATACGATTTTCGGTTAGAGCCAGGTTACTGTTCGAGTCCTGTGAAATTTGGGGTTTATGCGAGTGTTGATCCCAAAGTTCGACTGGAGATTCGGCGGAAAGAGGGACCCGAGGACTGCCCATTATGAGTCATTTTTTTCTCCTTGTCTCGTTGCATAAAAGCTACCTTGATATTTCGCTCTTTCGTTTCTGTTTACTCTTTCAATCACACTTTCCTTTGATAACCGCAGCCTCTTTCGTTGCTTCTTTCGCAGCAAGATTACCCTGTGCGGCGAACAAAGAATATATTACCCATTTAACCTACTACTCTCACCTTGTTACTATTACAGTAAACTCCCGTTTCGGCACGGGCCTCCGTGCAACAGAATTTCGGTGGGCCTAATGAAAGTGTGCCGCTAGTACTACACCTAAAAAGGGTTGGTAGGCAGCTCAGATTGTCATGTTTGCACTCTAACTATTGATGGTGCAGGACATCACGGGTGGTCTTCACTTTTGCCCCGCCACATTGCAGAAGTTCATGGAAGATACAGTACGACACACATTCTGGAATATTTTGCGGAGGGATAAATGTAGAATACTGCTGTTGGTTCTTCTCTATTCATTGTTATACCTAGTCCGAGAGGCTGCTATGGAAAGTGACTTCTTTGCGTCGTTTCACCCAGAGGCCAATGTCACGGACAAACCGTCGTGCAGCACCTACTTTCACGCCGTGCTTGACGAAGAAATCCGGGTCTTGATCCTCGTGTACTTGCATGAGATCGAGACAATTCTCGAGAGTCACATCCCGTGCTTTGTTGATACTATCTCGAAACATCTCGTTGCTCGCCCGTGATAGCTGCCATTCGGCATATTCTTCCACAGCGACATCAAGCGGCCCGTGGATTATGATTGGTTTAGGATAGCTGGACTTGGCTGGCGTAGCCTCATTTGCTGAAAGAGGAGGTGTCGACTGCTGAGATGTTCTAGCTGGAAGGAAATTGTTGATATTGATGGGAGGGCACATTGAAGCAATTGCAGAGTTATCCGCGGCCTTCTTATTTTTGTCCACTCGCTGGTTCTCCTCGGCATAGAGCTGCTCGCGAACACTGTTAGGAACGTCATCGTGCGTCTCGAGAACTCCACCTTGCTCCACGTATTTAATAAGGGCCTTAAGATGGTGTGTCTTCAACCTATGGTGCCTCTTCCCCTCTGGATCTTGCCAACAGTATTGTCCTTTATGGCGACATGGAGGCCTAGGGCAACGCATAATACGGTACACATCGCGCCAGACCGAATGTTGGCTGGAGACCTGCTCCGCGTCAATCTGAGCTTCTCGGTTAGTGAGCATCCGTGTGGTAACCGATGACTTCCCTCTCTTATCGGTTCTAGGAGGACGAGGCCTAATATCTTCTATGTAGTTAATCGATATCTGAAGCCGGGTCTTCTTGCCTCGATGGAACAGATGGCCCCACGCTAGTAGCTATTTCTCCACCGCTGCCCAATCAACGCTAGTGCCTTCAAAGTGTTTGTCAATGCCCCGTTGGGAGGTATAACCTGCCTATGTAGAGTTGACCAGCTTGATGTACCATAGTGGATATTTTTGAGACATGATACTCGTTTACGTGGGCCTGTCCATAGAAACTTGACACCAGCCACGAAGATCCGTTAAAATTATATATATCTGTCAACCTAATTGCAAATCATCTTAGGCAATTAACCGAATAGATCTTCTTAGTTCCCTGATTTTATTCCAATCCATTTCAAACTTGGTGCACAAAGTAGCCTTGAGAAATGGCACGTAAAAACGCGTTTGCTCCACGACCCAGAGCCTCCAATGACCCTGGCTGCATTTGTTTACGTTCAGAATCGTCAATATCGCGTTGCAGAAAACAGAAAAGAGATCTATCAACTTTCCACGTCAATAAGGGCATATAAAGCGCGAACATGACTGGGCTTGTCAACCATCATCCTATCCTCAAGTCCCCTATCAGTTTCTAACCCTAGCCTAGGTAGCTCAAGGTATGTTTTGCATCACCATCGATACCCTTTTGATATACTGATACCAGGAAACAGTAGCATGGTATCTATACCTAATCCGTCCATGCGGAGAACGCGTGGCCTTCCACGTCGAGATTATAATGCTCTATATAATGGCCTGGTTTCGTCACCTTCGGAGTAGTCTGAGGAATCTACCTTTGAAACCGGACGCCCTTACTCTCCTGAGCCTTCCCCACCTAGGAACACCGAAGACACGCCTCGGACGAAGCAGTCTTATTCTTTGCTTAGCTCTTCGCCCTCCCCGCTTGATCCTGCGTTTTCGGAAAGCAGGAGCAATACTAGTAGTCCGCACCCGTATAAAAGACGAAAAACCAAGTCGTATTCTAGTTGGACCATTGAGCACTTTTGGACTATAGATCTGGATAGCACTTGGTGTCGGCAGGGTGGCCCACTGAAAAAAGACCGACTGCTGATTTGCAAATATTGTAGCTGGTCCTCTAGAGATTCGTCGCGCTATGGTTCCACTTCGAATTTGTTGGTGTATCTCTAGACTAAGCATCGTATTAAGTCTGGGGCCGACTCTATCTTCTTACCCGCGGTCGAAGGAGGCCTTGACTGGTTCTTGGAGTCGCCGAGAAAGAAGGTTGGCGTTGAAGAAATGCTAGTCCGATGGGTCATTCGAACAAGATAACCTTTTATGGTGGTGGAGTATCCGACTTTTAGGGCCCTTATTGAAGTAACAGGGGCTTCTTTGCCCATTAAGACTGCTGATACTCTTTTTAACCGAATCAAAGAGGAATTCTATTTAAGTAGGGCTTACGTGAAAGAGGAGCTTGCTAGGAGTAGCCGCATACTCGCTTTGTCTCTTGACGTTTGGACGTCGGAAAATCAGATTGCGATAATGGTTATCCTTGGCTATTGGATCACCCCCGATTTTGAAAAGCGAGATGAACTTCTCGAGTTCACCGAGATCAATGGGCTGTATTCTGGAGAGAATCTAGCGGAAGTTGTATTGAAGATGCTCGCCGAACTGGACATCGCGCCAAAGCTCCTGACCATTATAGGAGATAATGCGGGCAATAACGGGACGCTCTGTGATAGCCTGCATGACTAGCTCCTCAAGAAGTATGATAATGACGATGACCGCTTTCGCATTAGGCCTCTAATGCGATTCCGCGGACGACCGAGCTTTATTCCTTGCCTTGCCTATATCCTTAATCTGATTTGCAAAGATGTGTTAGCTTCTCTGAGGGCTGGTTCGGCTCGAGAAGCAAAGGCGATCCTGGACGATATAGCCATTTATACTAGCCTAGTATTTAACTCTATTCACAGCACGAAAGGAGTAATCATGAAAATACGACTTCTGACGCTATGGATCGCCCGTAGCCCATAGCGCCGCCAAGATTGGAAAGAAGTATTACCTGGAAAACAAGTCAGTTATGATGTTGACACCCGATGGAACTCGACGTATATCATGATTTAAGATACCCTTCGGCTACAAACTGAGAAGGGGCAGTTTGTGCGGATATATCTAGAACTCCAGGCCCTCTAGCTTACCGATGACGAATGGTCGACACTTTAGTAAGTAGCCAAGATCCTTAAGCCGTTCTAGGACCACACAAACTCCGTTTTAAAGGCATGCCCAATAATTGTGGAAAGTCTACCAATTTACTAGAGCTTGGACAATTTATTAAATGACGTTCGAAATGCGGAGGGAGATTTTGAAGACGTGAATATTGAAATACGCGGTGCGGTGGAAAGAGGCATTCGGAAGATGAATAAGTTTGCTAGAAAAATGGACGACAACCTTCTTTACTATGTGGCTTCCATATTGGATCCGCGTATCAAATCGTCTCTGATTGTGTCTTAAATGAGCGAGCAAGATTCGGGGCTTATCGTCTCGCAAGTGCGGGAATTTCTTAAGAAAGAATACCCTCTAGAGCTATTTATATCGTGTGAAGTTGACCATCCACGTCCAGCGGGGATGTCGGAAACAATATAGAGAACTCTGCGCAAAGTCTAGCCATCCAAAGAGGCCTCTTTATCGGATATTGATAAGTACTTGGATTCCCCGCCGGTCAACTAGTCCCACCACATGATCGGCGATGCGGACGTAGAATAGGTCCTAAAGTGGTGGAAGGCTAACGCCTTTAATTTTCCACTCATGGCAAAAGCCGCTCGCGATTACCTACCCATCCCTTCGGTAGAGGTCGGGATTAAACGCGAGTTCAGCAATGCTCGAGATGTCTTGGGCCTCCGAAGGCACCGTCTGAACGCGGAGACTATGCGATGGCTAATGCTATTAAGAGGAAAGTCTTAGACGCATCTCTTCCATGACAAGCGCTCTATATACTCTTTTCAAGACTGAGAAACACCCAACATCAACAGGCTGCAGAAGATGAGAGGCATGAGCAGGCATACAAAGCGAGATAATGTCATTCTCTTCACATATTTTGTCGAATGTAGGTGTCAAATGAGATGAATGTCCATCCAATATCAACAACACATACTTCCCTTTCCGTTTAGGAAGATAGGATAAAAAGTGCTTTTTGAGCCAATCGATACCAATCTCATCACTTGTCCATCCATTCACGCTTTTATTCAGACTCCAAAGCGGTGGTTTTGAGAGCCAGCGCTCTAAAAAGTCCTTTCCTTTGAAGATGAGATATGGCGGAAGCGCAACACCTTTAGCACCTATACACTCAATCACAGTGACCCATTCTCGATTCCCAGGCTGTAAAACGCCTCTTCTACCATGATATTCAGCTGAGGTGATGACTCTTTGAGTCGAATTGATTCCCATTGCAAAGCCAGACTCATCAAAATTATAGATATCATCAGATGTAATACCATATTTTTGGATTGTGGTTTCAACAAGGTAAAACCAGGATCCGATCACCCGCGGGTCCTCAGAAAGGGCTCTCTCATAGTTGTATTTACGAGAAAGGCGAGACGAGAGAGTTTCATGTCTCTTGACAAATTCTGTGGTCCAATTTTGCCAACTTTTGGAGCGGGATCGGAGGGTGTCAGTTCACGCGATCGGAGCAACAAATTGGCCATATCGCTCAACATAGCATGCGTGAGAGCCGCTCCTCGAGAGTCCATAGACAGCAGCCAATTTTCCATGGACTTTTCCTCCAACACTGTAAATTTATGGCCGGAGGGGCGAGATTCATTCCAGAATTGTCGCCCTTTGATCCTGTGCTTCAAGGTAGAAACTGGCACGTTAAAAGCACGTGCAGCAGCAGCGGCAGACGCATATTGACCATCCTTTATAGCTTTGATAGCTAATAAGAGGGGCCCCTCTTGCTGTACCAATTTTTGAGATTTTTGAGAGCGTATTGGTGGCATGGTTAATGTTTAAAGGTAAAGATTGTTATAGAAGCGATTTTTTGAGACTGTCGCTCGGGCGACCGGGAACCATGTTATAATCAGCTATATTAGTCAGCGGACCACAGGAACTGGCTGTGGTGAGACTAAAGAATACCAGACAAGTACACATACGTGACCCATACCATTGGTACCCCGAGGCAAGCTGTAATAGTAATCCCACATATTTAGCCTGCCGTAGCGCAGAGAGAGAAATACCAGACTGTTACGCCTGCGAGATTCTATTGGTTGCTTAGATTACGGTCCAGTTCAGGGTCCGATATGATCGTTTGATCACGTAACTAGTGACGTAAGTTTTACGTATTCTGAGCATTCTGCTTATGACGTTTTCCATTCCATGAGATCCAAGTTAACGCTATATTGTACTCCTTTAATCACCGACCCCAGTAGAGCAAACGCCGACTTGTGTTTCACAATATCTCTCACTCACAGCCTGCCTCTTATTATGGGGGATTCTTTTTACGATGGAGTTATTGTTGGAGCGGGTCCCGGCGGACTAGCCACTCTTGCAGCATTGCTTGATGCTGGCCTCAGCAAAATATTATGGGTTGATGTCACTTTCGAAGGTGGAAGGCTCAATCAGCTATACCGGGAAATATCATCGTACGTTTTCTTGGTCCTTTTAGCAAAATCTTACTGAACGATCCAGTAACACGAAAACCGGCATCTATCTAGATGCAGTCTACTCCTCTGGCGCTTGTCGGTCGGTCATTGCTTCCACGCCTGCTCCAAATGCGATAACTAGGCTTGAAACCATGGATAGAGACTCAACGTGCCAGCTCAGTCTGGCCGGAGACATGATCTGTATGCTGAGGGATGGGTTCTTCCGACGTCCCGAGGTAGAACACATAAAAGGCATGGTAGACACAATGTCTCTTGATGTAAGTAGTTGACACATTGCCCCATCTATGAATAACTATGGGAAATTTTAACGACAACTCAAGGGGGACTTGTGGACCGTCTCAGCATCCTGTGGACGGGTCACGACCAGACGTGTTTTCCTCTGTACCGGCTCTCATCCGAAGCCTGCCACCTTACATCTGCCTTTCAACCCAAAGCTTAAGGTGCTCGATCTGGATGAGTGTATGCGACGTTCTCACATTCCAACTATGTTTCCCAGGGATTCGAAATCAGTTGTGGCGGTCATAGGAAATTCCCACTCGGGTATTTTGTGCTGCCAGAACTTGTATGAATTCTCGCAGTGCAATAAACGAATTCTGAAAGTCTTTAATTTTCGGCGTCGACCCATCAGATATGCCAAGTATACTAAACGCGGTATTGTTTTTGATAATTCAGGTCTCAAGGGAAGAACGGCAGAATGGGCTAAAACCGTCATGGAAAGTGAACCAGACCCAGACATGCTTGAAGAGATCGATTCTGGCAAAGATCAAGACTCGGTCTTTCGGAAATATCTCCCTCAATGCACACACATTGTATATGCAATCGGATATATTTCGTCGCCTTGGCCGAAAATTTACGTCGAAGGGCGCCAGAGACAAGAAGAGCTTGAATTCGACATGCAAACATCCGGCTTTCACTTTACGGACAAATCCGCAAGAGTTCCAGGGCTTTATGGGAATGGAATTGCTTTTCCAGAGCAAGTAAAAGATCCCGAAGGTAATATAGAGGCGGCAGTGGGGATTACAAAATTTTTCAGTTTTGCAGAAAGGACAAAGGAAAGTTGGCTGTATGTCCAATGAGAGGTGGTATACGGTACAAATCAACTTTGATCTTGATTTGAATCCAGATCAAACGACTTGAAAAAAATTCTTTCTCGTATCACCTTCAAATGCCAATTGTGAATCGTTTATGCCATGGTTCTTGCTCGTAGCTATAGATCAACACAAGATAGACAACTTATTCGTCCTCAAAGCTCATCATATGCAGCTAATTCTGAGCGCACTTTAATTACCTAGATAGGGTAGAATGACTCAATAGTTAGTTCATGCAACTACTCAAGAACATGATGGATCATCTCTCAGACCTATTGTCGAATTTGGAGTAGAGTCGGGTCAGGCTCATCGTGAAGGAGATAGGTAGGGCTTCATTGGCCTCTCTACATTTAGGCACATATTTATGGCTTAGTGTAGTAAGTACCTATCGAGCTTTATGTCGCAGGTATAAGGATATGGTTTGCTTAAATACGACAGATTCCTCAGAGCGGGCCAGTTAATATTTGGGGTGGGGGGTTATTTCTAGACCTTGACACAACCCGCGGGTTACCCATCACGGGTCTACCCAAAACCCGTAATGGGTCGGGTTCGGGTCTGCGTCTTGAACCCGCGGGTTGGGTTCGGGTCCTAAGCGTCAACCCGTCCGGGTTTTACCCGAACCCGCGGGTTTATAAACAGTGCAAACAAGCTGGATCTCGTGGCGTGCATAATTTGTGCAATATCAAGCTGTATCTTTGAGTATTCTAATTACGGGCAAAGCTGCAAGGTTGCGAGGAATCAAAATTCATTTCCATCGCTTATTAGCCTAGTATTCTATAAACTGATCATCATCACATCTTGGACGCTTTCGAATCCTCCCTGAAACTCGCGTTTGGGTGTCTGGAAGGGGAAAATTTGCCTCATCATCAGACTCCATATTTCCTTGAGCTTCTATGGTATCAGACACTCTACTTTGCTGCCGCTTTCCTCCAACACACTGCGTGGCAGTCTGAGCGAGAGCTTGACCTTGAGATTCCATTGTGTCATCTTCTTCATCGTCGCTGATAGGGTCAAGAGTGTCCTTAAGGAGACCTGCATCCTTCTCTTCCTGGATCGCTTCAATCTCTTGATGCGAGAGATATTCCTCCTGTAGAGCCAGATCTTCGGATTCTATATCGAACTTTGTTGTGAATTTATACATCATAAGTTCCTGGATTGTTGTTGCGCGTAGTGACCCTCGACGGTAGTGGCATATATCACGGGCAGAGTTAAAGAGACGTTCAACGCCAGCACCAGTCGCCGGGATCGAGAGAATATCCCGCGCGAGGCTTGCAAGGGCTGGATACTCGTACTGATGCTCTTTCCACCAAGCTCGGATCGACTTTGGAGTAATTGTGCCTATACTGGAGGTCAGTAAAGATGCATCAGTATTTAGAATGTACAGTACCGACCTGCGTCAAGATATTTACTCAGCTCATCTTGCTGATGTGCTTGTGTTGACGCGCTTGGCTGAATCATCATGTCGAGGTTGATCTCGCTTCCCTCATCTTCACTGTCCGGATCCGGGGTCTTCCCACGACTATTTTGATATCGTTGGCTGTAAGGCTCAAAGTATCCTACGCAGCTCTCCCGATACCGCGAAGCCCAGTCTACATCCTCTTCTGCCCAGTCCTTGAAGAACTGGAGCTTGTGCTGTGGGGCAAGGATCGTTCCAATTGCCAAAAGATCACCGTGGATATCGTCTGTCTTGCTATAGTAGTATGCAAGCTTATCCTTGGCCGCATAAAGGGCAGCGAGCATGACCTTCTTCCACGGCACCTTCTTTCGTTGGAGCTGCCCAATCGACTTTTCCAGATGGTCAAAAAGCATGTTGAAGATGCCGAACACTAGATGAAGAGTCCTATCCTTTGTCTTCGACAGTGCGGTGGTGAACCTGAAAAATGGCCGAGTAATCCACAGGAGGTAGTCAATCTGACGCCATTGCTCCTGATCCAACATCAAATGTGACTGTCCATACTTTAAGCAGTACTGATCAAAGATGAAACGTAGCCGCTTAGCACGTCGAAGCATTAAAAATGTTGAATTCCAACGTATCCGAACATCTTGGATCGGTACAAGCTTAGGCGCTTCAGTCTGGAGCTCGCAAAATTGTTCTCGGCGCTGCGGGCTGGCGTTGACAAAGATCGCTAAGCGCCGAACCTTGTAAATGTTTAGTTAGCTGAGCACCAGTAACGTGGGGTTGACGTACTTTATTCAGGGTATCAATGATCGCTGCTTGCTGCGGTCTGTTGCGGGGAGACTGTTCTTGAGGGTCGTACCAGTCTTTCTGCGCAAGGTCATTTTTTGGGTCCGCTTTCATGTGCCCAAGAAGCTGCTTTAGACTAAGCTGAATTACATGGGCAAGGCAAGGGACTCGAATGACTGTGATCCCCTCACCAAGGTTGAGCGATTGGATAGCGTCTTGGATGCTTTCCATCAAGGTATTGTTGTTGGATGCATTATCCGTGGTGATTGCCAGCACTTGATCGGCAATCCTATGCTGTTTGAGGAGATCCATGACAACAACACTAAGGTTCATACCTGTATGTGTCCCGGTCAGAGGCTCAAATCCAAGAAGCATCTCCCGATAGTCCCAGTTGTCATCAATAAAGTAGCCAGTGACCGCCATAAATGCCTGCTGGAACGGAGAAGTCCAACAATCTAGAGCAAGTGATATCTTGGCCCCTTTTGGCAGCCTAGACAGAGCTTCACGCTGACGAGTAGCGACGCTCGCACTAATTCGACGCCGTGCAGTCTTTGGACTGAGAAGCTCTAGTCTAGAAGTCATACGCTGAGCCATCGTAATCAACTCGCAAAATCCAGGATGGCCCAGTAATCGAAATGGCAGTTGAGATTCGGTGAGAAAGCGAATTTGCGCTGCTTCCCAGGAATCCTGCGAGATTGCTGCCAAACCCGAAGAGGACGATCCCTACATGTAGTCATGCAGTTAGTGCGTGTTTTGAGTTGTTAATCTCATACTATCGTACCTGTGGTTGCATAAAGTCCTTGATCCCTAGTGTCATCTAGTCTCACCCGTCGGCCACGGGCTGTCTTCCGTCGTAGAATATTACAAGCGTCCTCTTTTATCTATTCCCAGTAGGATCTAGGTGGATGAGTCAGGTCTTATTTTGTATCCTTAACCACAACACGATTGTTCAATTTAACCCTCCACTCGATCTGGTAGTGGATACGCTCCGGAGATTGTTCATCCCATGCACTTCTATCTGCACGTTCAACCATAGGATCAAATCTTTGCTGGTCGGATAGATGTTGATGCAAGGGAGGTGAACATTCACCAACTATGTCCTCGGGATCGGGTGAAGGGCAGATTACTGATGGTGTCTATTCACGGTCTAGGTAACCAGGGGTGGGGGCATATGAGGGGGTCCGTTCCCATTGATCAGGCAGCTTAGGTCGGTATGCATCATCATCATCGTTAAAAGGAGTGTAAGTCATCCCCCTAAGGCAGAAGATGCCACTGAGGAGTCTGTTAATATGGTTGTCTGTTAGCTTCCACCAAACGTGGTACCAAGAGTCAAGAAGAGAGGACTATGGCTGACAGGCTGAGTATTAGGATAAACAGGTTCATGAGTAGTCTGCAGGTACAGTAAGCAAGTAATATAAGTCACTATTTGCAAGGTCTGGTGCCGAGTAAGCCCCTAGACCGTCACTTGGACATAGGAGTGACAGAGGGAAGTGATATATCGCCAGGTTCACGAGGCACTCACAAGCTCACGTGTTTGACATGTTTGCATATCCATGAAAAATTCCAGCTCCCTTGGGCCGCCAATACAGTTATGAGATAAGGTACCGTATTTTTAACAATATAAACTACGGTATGGAGACTGATACAGGAATATAGATATTCCGCCGCTATTCCTAACACAGTCTAGCGGCTCTTGGCGGTGGGCCTAGATAACCAGTCAAAGAATGCAACCACTACACTCTTCGATTGACTTTCCTGCCCCTTACGCCAAGTCGCACTAGTCTATATTGGGTGATATTTCGGTAATTGCATGTGTATTTTCTCGTACGCGGGTCACGTAGTAATTTAAGGCATGTATTGGTTTGTATTTTAAATACATCTGACACCTCCATGCCCCTCCCCCGACACAGCTTTCCTCGGCAGGCGCAATTGACAATCAATCACGAGTGGTTCAGCCAAAGATGGCTCCAAACCTAGCTCCATCCAAGCATGAGCTTATCTATGATATGATCCATAGTGGCGAACTATCTATAACTCAGATGGCACAGGCCGCTGGTTACAACAAGAGCACCATCTCGAGAATCTCTTCTAATATAAGAATGTTTGGCAGCGTCAAAGCACCGCTAGTCAAAGGCGGGCGACACCATAGTATCACACCATTTATGCTCGAGGCTTTGTGCGACTATCTTACTAAAAAGCCTATACTATATCTGGACGAGATGCTGGTTTTTCTGTGGGACGAGTTCGCTCTTTAAGCAACGAAATCGAGTGTTAGTCGCGCCCTTAAATCTAAAGGCTGGTCAAAAAAGACTACTCGGGTCAGGGCACGAGAACGTAACCTTAACCTTCGGGACGAGTACCATCATTTTATCTTAGACTTCAAGTCCTACCACCTTGTCTATGTTAATAAATCTGGATGTGATAAAAGGATTAGCTTCCAGCGAACGGGTTGGTCCCCCCTTGGTACCGCACTAGTTTAAGTATCGAAATTTCATCGTGATCAGCGTTATCACATTCTGCCTGCGTATGCGTAAGACGGCATTATTTTGTCTCGAGTGTTCTAGGGTTTAACTGACGCTTCTGTCTTTAAGGGTTTCGTCAAACAGCTTCTTTAGCACTATGGGAAATAGCCCGAGCCGAAGTCTGTGCTAGTGATGGATAACGCATCCTTTTATTACTCGGGCAGGATAGAATAGATATGCTCAGAAGCTAGCGTAAAGCTAGTATACTTGCCTCCATATTCTCCTGATTTGAATCCTATTGAGGAGTATTTTACTAAGCTGAAGGCCTTTATTAGGCGCAATTAGCAATCCTACGAAGAAAATCTAGAGTAAGGATTCAATAACTTCCTCGAATGGTATGTTAATATTGTTGGTGCGAGGGAGAAAAGCGCGGAGGGACATTTTCGGCACGCTGGCCTAGCTGTAGAGATATAGCGCTACTGCAGAAGCAAAGTTCGGGACTAACCTCACCGGCTGACTAGAACAGATTCATTTTCGGGCATTATTGCGAACCACATTATATTTTGTAATTCGGCGACATTCAAGATTCGTAATACATAATTTCTTCGACATTATAATGTCATCGTACTAATTTCTAATGAACTGATAGGGTATCTAACCACCCGCCAAGTTGTAAGTCTGCAAGATATCCCAAATGTGTCGATCCATCTTCTCTGACATCTAGCTCCTCTATATCACGAAGGACCCTCTTAATATATTCTCTAGCGCCGCTAAGTTTCATAATGAGAGCAATGGCACAGTGGACATCAAGAAGCCGGGGCGATGGCGGATCTACCATGCGTTGAGGACTTAGGGTCAGCGATCGTGTAACGGGAAACAAGGGGTCACGTAAGAAAGGGCTGCTTTCTATCGAGTCAATCTTATACTAGTATCGTGTGCCAGTGCGTTCGAAATAGACCTGAAATTCGCCGAATAACCAGTAGTAGTCCAGCGTAAGAGTGAGGGCGTTCATGGGACTGTCGATTTTTGGTCCATCAAGAAGATAGATTATTCCGGGATCGAACATGTCCAAGATCCAAAGAGCATTTTTCTTTGAATCGCTCTAGGCAGCACATTAGCATCTTCAAAATACCAATCACAATAAACGGACATACCAAATCGGTTTCACCAGAAGCTATTGTCGTCAGATAATGAGGGAGAATATGGGCAACCTCCAAGTATTAAAATTAATCGCTAGACTCATCCTTCAACAGGTTCCCGTCATCGTCTGCACAAGATTCCGCATTTTCCGCGAAACGCTTTCTGGCTACTGCTCTATCGAATTTTCGAGACAATACACAGCGGTGGCGGTCGCGTAAAAGACATTTCTATCGTAAGACAGATACACGCTGTCTCGTTCCAGTCAGTGTTGAGCTCTACAGCGATAATAATGACGTGGGCGTTGGTTGTGGTGTCTTGACTGATGATGCTCTAACTGCAATTGCGAATTAGTATATACTAACCGGAGACTAAGCGTATGTATAGGGGATTCACGAACGGGGGAGGAGGAAATTATCAACGACATATTCAGCAAACTTTTCTAAGCCTTGGTGAAGCTTGTTTATTTGTTCTGGTTCCCATGAGGAAAATCCCTCGAAGAATACCAAGGCGTGAGTAATATCAGAATCAACGGCATGTCCTTCATCCGAACACAGGTCCTCATAGATGTATGAGAGGAAGAAAGTCATAAAGGTATCCGGTGATGTAACGTGCTCGAGAGTAGCCTGGATAAGAGCCGCAGGCCGATAGCCTTTCCGAACGGTCTTCTCGGGGCCATAATGCCGTACAAACCTTATCACCAGGTTCCTTGCCGACTCGTGCTGTGGTAGCGTTAATGCTAAGGGTATTGAAAAGTCCAAAACCCCCTCTAGAGAGGACTGGTGGCGGTGAGTCGCCATCGTTGGGAACCTGCGAGCCTTGGGGTGAGGGCGAGGAAGATGGTGGAGGAGGCATGTGATGAGCTGACTCATATCGGCTTTAACGTCGGCCCGACAAAATCTCCCACAGTAACGGAGACGCAGCGAAGTGCATCATACGGGTGCACCAATAGGATCGATAACAGGTCTACGTTGGCCCCACTTAGCAGGTCTCACATCCAGTGAGGACTTGAAGTGAAACAATACTGACATTATTTAATGGCGGGTAAAAGTCTTCTCACAATAGTGACATGGATTATGTCAAGTAAACATCCGACAATATCTTCCCTACTGTACAGTATGTGTGTGTGTGTGTAATTCATTTTATACAGTACAGTAGGATTTGTAATTAGTTTAGCATTCAAACACGCATGCTTTGTTTCTCGATACGTACCCGAAACCACGCTAACCCATATATAGCCAATCAGGTAAAGAAGGAGCCGCAGTATAAATTACAGTCCAAATGGGGTTGGATGGGGGTCTTGTATGCTTTGCTCTGTATGTATATACATACCTACCAACATGTCTAATGGCTGTACAGTGGTTGTACTGGTAGCCTGAATCCCTTACTCCCTAGGCCCCAGCACAAAAGCGAACTGCTTCGAGAGAGGTGACACCCTCCAGCGTGCAAAGAGCTGCGCATTCTCCACCAAGATCCGCTGCAGCATCTCGCCCCTCTCCTCTGCACCAGGCCACACGCCCTGCTATATGCGTACATACGGCCCAATGGTCCCCAATGCCTCCTTTGCCCACCTCCATACCTCCTCCTCGCCAATTCTCCCCTTCTGCGCCATCTGCCTCTTCAGCTCCCCTATGAAACGTTCCCTCTCCAGCCTGTCCTTCACGGCAGCCTGCATGGCCGCTCGTGGTATATGTGACCGGATGGACAAGTCCAAATCATCCATTTCCATATCTTCCAGTCCTAGTTCCAATGTCTCCTCCACCGCAACAGCGGCTAGGAACTCCACCTCCTCCTCACTTCCGACCTCTGCCTCCCAACCCCTCTACCGCGCCTGCTGTCCAATCCCTCCATTGGGCAACCCGCACCACATCACCTGCTCCGACTCGCCATCTCCCTCGGCAACCACCCCCTCCGATTGCTGTGCGAGGTACGCTGCTTCCAACCCATGTATATCACACTTTCCCTGCGCAACCAATATCCCAAAGCCATTGGGGCCCCACGCTGCCCGGGAAGCTTTGTTCAGCCGAGATGAAGATGAATCAGGAGTAAAATAGTCAAGCCAGAAGCGCGCATGTGACTCCGAATAGGGTTGTGCGCCGGGGTAGGCTGTGTGCCGGCGTGTCATGGTTGCCTCCAGCGTGTTGAGGGCTGCTGCAGTAAGAGTCACGAATGGCAGAAAGGGCTGCCTGCGTCGCGTGCACAAGACAGTGTAGGCCCTGTGATGGTGCGTGAATAGCGCTCAATTTCGGGTCGCATATCCATGAGGACCTAAACCATCAAGTTGACTAGGCACAAATTGTCCTATTCTCCATCCATGCCAAGGACTTTTTAGATCGCCACCCATATGAAAATTCATTTCCTAAGCTCAGTATTAGAATGCGTAGTCGGCATCGTAGCTTGGCCAGTTTGTCGTGATGATTTAGCATAATGTAAACCACACGCGTTACATAGAGTTCGGGGACCGTGGGGGCCACGGCGCCATTCTGGTGTGTGCCCGCGATTGCACATCTGACAACTAAGATTGCTCTGCAGGATAGGTGTAAATTGAATGTCGGGATAGGCTTAAAAATCTCATGGGAGGAAGAAAATCGACTTACTCTGTGCCGCTTTTGTCGTCTCCCAGAAACGCCAAAAGCTGTCTTGTTCTCTTCAGTGCGTGTAATTGCCGTCGAAGAGACGGCCTCATCCGCCCCCTTTGACACATTTGCAGTTCTCTGGGAATTTTGCTGGAAAAGAGCCTGTTCCCTGTTCAATCGTATGATCTCGTCCCGGATGTGATTCAATGCATTATGTTTCTGTTGTTCCATGCTCAACAAAGCGTCTATCTCGGACACAGATGGCCTCGAGGCAGATATGTGGGGTTGATTTGGTCGATTCATTGCGGATTTATTTTGCGCAAATGATAGGGATCGTATGCTCATGGTTTCGACCTGTGCGAAGAGTTCTCATTAATTAGACGTGACCGAAATAGAAAGGCATATTGGTTTTTAGCCATTGGGTCCATATTCGATTGCGGACCGGGGTGAAGAAGGATTCCCTTACCACGTTGAGAGACATATGCATATGAACGAGGCGAGGATCCCGATCCATCGACCGACCGGGATTGCGCAGAGCCGGCGGAATCTGGCTTATGAAATTCCATGCATTTACCTCTGTGGATGATTGGGTGGAATCAATCGGAAGATGAGAGCATCCCTGCTGTGCCAGTTCCGGTGGGAGAACTGACGCCCTTGCTTGATGTCTAACATAAGTATCTGCTAAAGTGTTCTGCTGGCACGACTCAAGTTTTGAGGCATGAAATTGGAAGACCTGCTCGCTGGGGCAAGAATTTGCGATGAATTGGTCGGAAGCACAAGAGACTGGCGGCGTAGGAAGACTTGGCTTCGGTAACAGTGCGTTTGCTGGGACGGATTTTGATAGGACGGAGTGAGAGTTTCCAAACAAATCTTGAATAGATGGCAATGGTCGTATCGGTAAGTCCTCTCGGCTAACACCATCAGCTGTGGGAACTGTTGGGGAAAGGGCCATGTCTCCAGAGCGACAGTAGGAGAACGCAAAATCTTGATCAAGAGAGTGCGATGCGAATGTTCGTTATCCACACATGTAGAGAGGGCATTTGTATCCGAGTGACAATGTGTTGAGTATGGATCTGCATTCTCGCTGCTTCTCAGCGGGAACCAGAAATGAGGTTAAGCTCGCAGCGCAAGGCTATCTTATGAGGAGAAAAACCAGACGTGTGCCGACATCCGCGAGTGGGGCGTACGATGAAAGAACCCGATCTGGTACTTTCAAGCTCACGTTTTATTGGTCCGATCATGCGGGTGAATCATCCCGATTTGGAAAGAATGAATGGTCTCAATAGCTAGTGGCTAATAGCACGGCTGATCCTCCCCTGGTTCTGACAACACAACAGAATACCACTGGAGACAAGGACTTACAAAAAAAAAAGCAACACTACTTGGGTTCCAGAAGCTCGCCGTGGTGCCAATTCTACTGCTAATACTTGGAATCTTACAAAATATGAACGATGTCGGGTTTCCAAGGATGATGACGTCGATCACATCATCAACATAGTGCGATCGAGATCATCAACTAGCGAAATACAGCTCGAGGTGAATGGCGTTCTCAAAGGGAATAACTCCTCTCGAATTGCGACATGAGTTGTGCAGAGTGCCTCGACAGATAGTCTCTACACGGGTTACTGATGCTTGTCCAGTGTTGTTGCACGTTTAAAGCTCCTTGAATCTTTTGACACGATGGCAGTTGTGCTCAATATCTGCAGAATATGAATGAAAATGTACCACGAGCAATCATCTAGATACGGATTACACGTTCTTTGCGTAGAACAAGATCGTTGGGCATGGTAGGGTATGAAGGTGTGTCGTAAAAATGCTTCGCTAGAACACTGAGATAATCCTATATCGTAAAGATCAGCCCTGTTATGAGAAAAAGAGTTATTTGTGGCTAAGCCAAATATGGCTTAATGCGGTTTCGGGTACGGGCTGAGAAACGAAGTGTGTGTGTCTGAGGGGTAAATTGTTTTCGAATTCTACTATACTTGCGTGTTGTGAAAGGTCTTTAGAGTGAGCTTACAATTTTCGTTATGGTATTATGATCGCCGAAAGAAATTACATTTCATTCCGGACCTATGCAAAAGGATAAATGCAGCATGCCAGTGTAGGCTGTTCTCTAAATAAGGCACACAAATACACCTAGACTAAATGAATATTTTCGTTGCAAGTCATTTCTTTGCGTAGTTTGACCCAAAGGCCGATATCACAAACGAAGCGCCGGGCGGCACCTACTTTCACGCCGTGCTTAACAAAGAAACCTGAGTCTTGATCCTCAAAAATCTGCATGAGGTCAAGACAATGTTCGAGGGTCACATCGCGTGCTTTGTTGATGTTCTCCCTGAAAGTCTCGTTGCTCACCCGCGATTGCTGCCATTCAGTATATTCGTCCACAGCGACATCTAGCAGGCCGTCAACCACGATTGATTCAGTACAGCCGGGCCCGGTGGGCATGGCGTTATTAGCAGGAGGATGTATCGAATGCTGAGATGATCCTGCCGGGAGGACAGTGATGTTGATTGAAGGACACATTGAACCCATTGTAGAATTCTCCGCGGCTTTCTTTTTTTTGTCTAGTCGCTGATTCTCCTCGGCATAGAGCTGCTCGCGAACACTGTCAGGGACATCAGCGTGGGTCTCGAGAACCCCACTTTGCTCCATATATTTGACGAGGGCCTTTAGATGGTGTGTCTTTAATCTATAGTGCCTTTTTCCCTCTGGGTCTTGCTAGTAATATTGTCCTTCGTGGCGACATAGAGGCCCGGGATATCGCATGACACGATATATATCGCGCCAGACGGAATGTTGGCCGGAGACCTGCTTGGCGTCAATTTGAGCGTCTCGGTTAGCGAGCATCCGCGTAGTCACTAAGGACTTTCCTCTCTTGTCCGAGCTAGAAGAAAGTGGACTACTGTCTTCTATGTAGTTGATTGATATCTGAAGCCGGATCTTCTTGCCTCGACGGAATAGATAGGCCCACGCTAGTAGCTGTTTCTCTACCACTGCCTAGTCAACACTAGTACCTTCAAAGTGTTTGTCAATGTCCCGCTGGGAGTTTACCAATAAGACCATATCTGTATCATCTAGTCTCACCCGTTGGCCACGGGCTTTTTTCCATCGTAGAATATTATAAGCGTCCTCTTTTATCTCTTCCTAGTAGGAACTAGGCGGTTGAGTCAGGTCTTGCTTTGTATCCTTCACCATAACTCTATTGTTTAATTTAACCCTCTACTCGATCTGGTAGTGAATGCGGTCTGGAGATTGTTCATCCCATGCGCATCTAGCCGCACGTTCAACCATAGGATCATAACTCTGCTGGTCGGACGGATGTTAATGCAAGAAAGGTGAATATTCACTACCTATGTCCTCGATATTGGGTGAAGGGCAATTTACTGATGGCGTCTATTCGCGATCTAGATAACCGGGGGTGGGGACATGCGAGGGAGTCCGTTCCTATTGATTGGGTAGTCCAGGTCAGTAAGCATTATTGTAATCGTTGAAAGGAGTGTAAGTCATCCCCCTAAGGCAGAGGATGCCACTAAGGAGTCTATTAATATGATTGTGTGTTAGCTTCCACCAAGTATTTATAGGGCGTAAAGAAGAGAGGACTGTGGCTGATAGGCTAAGTATTATGATAAGCAGGTTCATGAGTAGTCTGTAGGTACAGTAAGCAAGTAATGTAAGTCACTATCTACAAGGTCTGGTGCCGAGTAAGCCCGTCACACAGTCCCTTGGACATAGAAGCGGGAGGGAAGTGAAAGGTCGCCAGATTCTCGGGGCTCTCCTAGCTCTGGTGTTTGACTAGTTTGCGTTTCTATGGAAAATTCTAGTTCCCTTGGATCTCCAATACAGTTACGAGACGAGACGTCGTATTGTAATGGAAGTAAATCACGGTATCAAGGCTGGTACAGGAATATTAATATTCCGGGTCTATCCCTAATGTGCTCTAGTGTCTCTTGGCGGTGGGGCTGGAAAATCACTCTAAGAGTGTAGGCAGTTGCACCGGTTTCGGGACATACTGTAATAAGGCATGAACAGTAAGCAGCCATTCAGGTGCCACGGCTAATGTTGAAAAAGATCGGCGGTTATACTGGTAGAATACTGAAAACCTGGGGCATTGTTATCACAACGGGACTGTACAGCCCTTGGCCACGACAGATAGGTATTTGTGGTAGATCGACTACTGTATTACGTGCGGAAGTGATAGCCTTTTTGTGCCACGTGGCGAAAATACCGATTTCCCGTATCGAGTGAGTAATGACGGGACGGGCCGCGATGCGAACCCCTGATCCGCCCGACCGCGATGAACGCGAGGATTCGCCACCGCGACTGTCGAGACCGAAGCGCACCACCAAACCACCGAAAAACTATGCTCGAGAGCAAGAGATCGACAACGAGCAGAGGAAGACGCGACCGCTACCAAAGAAGAGAATCGAACCCGAAAACCAGCCTGACGTGGCAACTTCGGACGACTCCGCGACCGAGAGCGACGACCTCGATGTCAGCAATCTGCTGCAAGAGATCGCCAAACTCAGGAGGGAGATCAGACTCCGCGATGAGATACATAAGGAAGAACTACTAAAAGCCCAAGCAGAGGTTGGTGCCGCTCTCGCCGAGGTCCGACACGAGCTACAGAACCTGACTGGTGGACCCTTGACACCGCAATGCCACTCCGAGGCATGCTCTCAGAACAACCATGATGCGATTCTCCGCGAGATTCAATCCTTACGCGAAGAAATCAGCGTCCCCGCTCCCACGAGTGCCCCATCCTATGTAGATGTCGCGCGCACTCCTCCAACCAGTTACCCAAGTAACATACGGACACTGTCAACGCTAGGCACGACACCGACCACCTTTACCGAAACTTTGTACTGTACGATAGACACCTCGAAGATGACCGAAAATGAAAATAAAAAGATATCCGCGGGCTCAATCAGGGCCGCAATCGAGAAAGAGATCCGAACGATGGATGATCACACCCACTAGCGCTGCCGCGCGGTCACCGTGAGTCTAAGAGACCCCAATCGGATTAGGATTACGTGTCGTGATGAAGCCGAGCACCAGCTGGTCAAGAAAGTGGTGGAAGAAAAGATTGGAATAGGATCCCGGGTGCTCCGGGACGAGCTCTACCCGATTAAGGTCGATGGCGTTAAGAGGGCTGCGGTGCTGGATGACAACCATGCTATTCTGGCTGGAGTAACCGTAGCACTGAGTGAAGAAAACGAAAGTATAGTTGCTAAGATAACGTGGCTTAGCAGCAAGGAAGCCGCGAAGCCATATGGCTCGATGGTCGTGTACCTCACTAAAGGCTCCGACGCGCGGAGGCTCCTAGCTGATGGAGACTTCCACGTTGGAGGGGAATCCAGGACAACCAGCGTCTTTGAATATCGGCCACGACCGATGCAATGTTATAACTACTAGGAGATTAGTCACAAGGCATTCTAATGCTGGAAGACCCAGAAGTGCGTAAAGTGCGCCTTGGAGGGTCATCACCATAGTCGCTGCGATTAAGAGGTTCTAAAGTGTGTCCTATGCGGTGGGCCATATAAGTCGTTTAGCAAGAATTGCTGGAAGCTCTACCCACTACGTTATGAATAAGACACTTCGAATAATCCAATTGAATATAAGGAAGCAGGGTGCCGTGCATGAAAGCTTAATAAACGACGAATAAACCAAGGACGTAGTGGCGTTAGCGATTTAGGAACCCTAGGCGAGGAGGATTCAGGGACGACTCTTAACCACCCCGATGGGACACCATAAATGGACGAAGATGGTTCCCTCCACCTGGAGGGAAGGCAGATGGGCGATCCGGAGCATGCTTTGGGTCAACAAAGATATAGAAGCGGAGTAAGTAGCCATTAAGTCCCCGGATCTGACGGTAGCGGTCATCCGACTACCCAAACGGCTGATCTTTATAGCATCGGTCTACGTCGAAGGGGGAGATTCCTCGGCTCTGGATGACGCGTGTGGTCACCTGAGAAGGGCAATTGCGATGGTGCGGCGAGATACGGGCGCGGTGGTGAACATCATGATTATGGGAGATTTCAACCGCCATAATCAACTCTAGGGCGGAGACGAGGTATCCTTAGGAAGACAAGGTGAAGCGGATCCAATCATTGACCTCATGAGTAAATTTGCTCTAAGTAGCTTGCTCAAACGAGGCATGAAAACATGGTATGGCGAAGGATAGTATGGGGACTACGAGTCCATAATTGACCTCGTCCTGGCCTCCGACAATTTGACAGACCTAATGACTAAATGCGTAATACACGGGACTGAGCACGGTTCGGATCACTGGACGATTGAGACGGTGTTCAATGCACTATGGCTAGCCCCGAAACATCAGGAACGACTTCTTCTGAAGAACGCGCCATGGAAAGAGATTAATGCTAGAATCGCGAGCACCCTAGCCACTACTCCGTCGGAAGGCACAGTGCAGCAGAAAACCGACCAACTAATGTCCGTAGTCTTGGATACAGTGCATACTTTAACTCCAAGAGCGAAACCATCGCTACACGCGAAGTGGTGGTGGATAACCGACCTGACATAACTCCGCTACATATACACACACTAGCGCAATCGCGCTCACTTGGAGCGACGGGCGGGGCGAAAAATACCTTAGCTCGAAAAGATAGCCCAGGATGCGGCAAAACAATACCATAATGCTATCCGCAAGCAAAAGAAGAAGCACTAGAATGAGTTTCTCGCAGACAACGACAATATCTAGAAAGCCGCTAAGTACCTGGAATCGGGAGAAGACGCGGCATTCGGGAAGCTACTATAACTCGTTAGAGCAGATGGGACTACCACCGCTAACCATAAGAAGCAAGCAGAAGAGCTATTATCTAAATTCTTTCCCCCTCTACCGGACGTGATTGAAGACGAAGGGACGAGACCACAGAGAGAGCCAGTGAGGATGCCTACAGTTAGCATAGAAGAGATCGAAAGATAGCTTTTTGCTGCTAAATCATGGAAGGCACCAGATGAAGACGGTCTACCAGCGATAGTCTGGAAGATGACATGGCTGACTGTCAAGCACAGGGTTCTCGATTTATTCCAGGCGTCACTAGGAGAAGGCGCGTTACCGACACAATAGAGACACGCGAAGATTATACCGCTCAAGAAGCCGAATAAAGAAAATTACACTATTGCAAAGGCATGGAGGCCAATCTCGCTCCTCGCGACGCTAGGTAAGATACTGGAATCGGTGGTTACGGAAAGGATCTCGCACGCTATAGAGACACACGGCTTACTCCCGACCAGCCATTTTGGAGCCCGAAAGCAACGGTCCATGGAGTAGGCGCTTATGCTATTACAAGAGTAGATCTACACCGCGTGGCGTGGCCGACGGGTATTAAGTTTGATTAGCTTCGATATCAAAGGCGCCTACAACGGTGTGTGCAAAGAACGACTACTCTAGAGGATAAAAGCGCGAGGCATACCAGATGACTTACTCTAGTGGGTCGAGGCATTCTGCTCAGAGCGAACGGCCACTATCCAGATCAACGGGCAGCTTTCTAAGGCCCGAAGATTGCCCTAAGCTAGCCTACCCCAGGGCTCACCCCTATCTCCGATCCTATTCCTTTTCTTCAACGTAGACCTCGTGCAACGACAGATCGATAGCCAAGGAGGAGCGGTCGCTTTTATGGATGATTTTACCGCATGGGTGACCGGGCCAACCGCGTAGAGTAACCGGCAAGGAATTGAGGTAATTATCAATGAGGCGCTCGATTGGGAAAGGAGAAGTGGAGCAACTTTTAAGGCGGAAAAGATAGCTATTATACACTTTGCTCCCAAGATGCGTAAATCGGACTATAAGTCATTCATTATTAAGGGATAGACGGTTGTACCTAAAAGCCACGTTAAGATCCTGGGTGTCTTGATGGACACGAGACTGAAATATAAGGAATATATGGCGAGGGCCGCGTCCAAGGGCCTGGAGGTAGCGATGGAGCTTCGGCGACTTCGCGGCCTTTCCTTAGCAACGGCGCGGCAGTTATTTACATCAACGGTGGCGCTAGTTATAGACTACGCCTCTAATATCTAGATACACGCGTGTAAGGACAAGGCCATGGGGCCGATCAATCGAGCCCAAAGAGTTAGAGCACAAGCCATTATGGGGATATTCCTTATAGTCGCGACCAGTGTAGCGGAGGCGGAGGCCCATATTACCACCGCGCGGAACCGCTTCTAGAGACAGGCCGTGAAGATGTGGACGGACATACATACCCTTCCTGAAACAAACCCACTCCATAGAGGTACAGACCAGATCAGAAAGTTCAGACGATATCATCGCTCGCCGCTATACCAAGTGGCAGATGCGCTTAGGCACATCGATATGGAGACACTAGAAATAATTGACCCGTTCACGTTAGCCCCATGGGACGAACGCGTACAGGCTAACATTAATGGACAATATGAACCTCAGACTAAAGCGGGCGGGTTGATGCAGATCGCGATCAGCAGCTCGGCACAGAACGAGCTGGTGGGATTTAGAGTCACAATCGAGAAATGGCCACCTCGAAATCGAAAATTGAAGCTTAAAACGTTTTCCATTACATTAGGCGCGAGGGCAGAGTAGAACCCGTTCTCTGCGGAGCTGGCAGCCATGGCACATATATTGAAAATGATAGTAGGAATCAAGGACTACAGGACTATGTTGCTCACAAGTAACAAGGCGGCGGTGCTCACGCTAAGGAACCCCCGACGATAGTCTAGCTAGGAGTTTATTTATTAGATGTACAAGTTGATAAGAAGGTTACGGAGGAATGGAAACCGTATTAAATTCCACTAGATCCCTACTACTAAAGACAACAAGCTATTAGGGCTGGCTAAAGAACAGGCCAGAACTACAACACAAGAAGATACTCTCCCATAAGAACACGTCTCGAGGATGAAGTCAACAACATTAAACATCGCACGGTCCTAAGCAGTCCCCAGTAGTGAGCTACCAGAGAAAATAGGAAGACATGCAAAACGAGTAGATGCCGCACTACCAGGCAAACACACCCAGTAGTTGTATGATCGCCTCACGTGGAAAGAAGCGAGCGTACTAGCCCAGCTCCAAACCAGCATAGCTAGGCTCAATGGGTATCTCAATCAAATCAATGTAGCAGAGACGGATGAATGCGATTGCGGACAAGCAAGAGAGACCGTAGAGCACTTCCTCTTCCAATATCGGAAGTGGACGGCGCACTGGACGGAAATATTACAATGCACGCAGACTCACCGAGGAAACATATCCTTCTTCCTGGGCGGAAAACAGCCTTCTAATGATCAGAAGTGGACGCTAAACCTAGAGGCAGTACAGGCCTCCATACGTTTCGCCATTGCGACGGGCCGACTCGAGGCCACTTAAACATATCGACTAACATAACCCCCACCCCCTTCTTCTAACCCTACTTACCCACCACCTCATGCTACACATGGTAGACGCGCTTCAACTACTGAAGATAGGATGTTGAACACTTGGAGAAGCACCTTTAAGCCAGCCTACTAACCCACTTACTAACCCACGAGAAACTCGCTACGACACTACTTTCTAGAACTATTATATGTTATCAGGTTTTATGTATAGGCTTTCAGGAGACACAGCACACACAGATGGACATATATAGTAGATCAGTAATAGTTGCCCTTTCGGCTCAGCCGCCGGGCGTTAATGAATTGTTTGTTTATTTGTTTGTTTGTAATAAGGCATACAGAGGGGTGTTTAACGATCATGCAGCTAAGAAGCCCAGTATCTGATCGCCGAGGTAACGAATTTCACTAGCTCCACTTGCTCGCTAGAAAGTTTGATCGTTTCCAGGGACAATTCAACCAAAAGGGGTATCGCTATGAAGATTCGTCTATATTCAGGGTACCTTCTTACGAGGTCCTAACAAAAGAGCTCTTTCTGACTATCGAGTGGACATCTTTCTGCCTCACCATCACTATCACTATTTAATGATGCGAATTACTCTCTTAAAAGCTCTTAGGCGACTTTTCTTCCGCCGCGATACATAATTTAGCCTAGCTTCGTCACTTTGTCCCCAGCCAAGGCCTTTCTTCTTAATGCTTTGGTTAAGACCTGCACTTTCTTCACCAAACCTACACATCGCGAGATAAATTAGCGCTTTGGTATTGTTATATGCACCTACATAGTAGCTTTCAGTTCACTTTAAGCTGACAGCTTTACTTTCGAGTTCGTCGTGACGTGCTTAGGGGGTAACAAAGCTTAAGTATATTAGGCCTTTTCCAAGTGAATCTCGCTGGACAGACCTCCCGGCTTGATTGGTTCTTAGGAAGTTATTCTAGGTTCCTCGTTCAAAGGCGTCCTCAGAAATAAGAAAGGCATATTTGATCTTGGGGATAACGCAATACCAGTATCGGTTAGTGGTGATCTTTCGCGGCTTACACACGGAGTCTGTTTGATTGAGTGATTGATAAGCCCTTCACAACAGCCAGCCGTTCTAGATAGAGACTCGCGGGGGACTAAGCCCGGACTGGCTAGAGAAGATTTAGATGGCTCTAATTCAATCTTTCAAGAAACCCTCGGCAAGGTTAAGTAACACTTTCTTCTATTAAGTTTAATTTCTTTGCCTATGGCGACGAGTCTTTTAATAGCTATCAGTAATCCCCAATACTTAGAGGAACAAAATATTCTATTTTAACGAATCACAAATATGAGGTATTCCTTGATTATCAATAATGTGAGGCTGGGCAGATCAAGTCCATGCCTCAAAATGAAGCTCACTTGCTGTCCAATCGAGGTAGGCTCACCATTTGGGTAATCAAGCTCGGGCAAGAATTATGGGTTACTGAGTATTAACCCGATTCCACTGAATATTGAGTATCGGACCTTCAGTAAAACTACGAAATATACTACGAAAACCTTAGACCAAGATTGATGTTGCAGAATGGATAGAGCTTGGAAGGTCGCGTCTCGTTCTAATGACGGGCATAATGACTTCTTCCGCTTATGACCACCCTCCATTAAACATCCATTGACCACCCACTTGACCACCATTTAACCACCCATTAACCACCCTCCATTAACCATATTATCCCGGTCGCTGAGATGATAAAAGGCTGGGATCACGTGCATACATTCACCTACCTCAACATTTCACTTATATCTTAGACAATACACCCAATACAACACACAATTAACTCCCCTAAATAATACGACCATTGAAGCATCACTTAAGAAACCAACACACCCTCCATTAACCACCCTCCATTAACCACCCTCCATTAACCATCCTCTGTCTACCTCATTTCCCAATTTCTATTACTTGTCAAGACTGTGATCGAGATAAATCTTTTTCCAGCATGAGCATTACAACCTAGTGTCGGGTTTTTAGCGCGGTGCAGCATTTCCCCTCATTATTATGACTATGATGGCAGTGATCGACGGTCAACAGCTAGATACACACCATAGAATCCAGCTAGACTATACTTGATTCTATCCTAGGAATCGATGGAGAACCGAGAGACCTCTTGTAGTCCTGAATTCGCGACAGTGATATCATCTACTAGCAATTAACGCGGTTTTATTACCGGGTTCTTGCTAGGTTTTCGAACCGACTGGCAAAAAAAGCGATGTAAAAAAATGATACAGAAAAAGGCTACACTGCCGCCAAAAATAGTTCCCAATATTAATCCCACTCTTTGCCTAGAAAGTCTCCGCGATGATAGAGAACTTTCTATTGTTCTGTTCCCTCGTATTTATTGAGAAGTTGGAGTAGCGGGTGCAGAAAAAGAGGAAGTCTGTTCGTTCATTTCTTGGGTTACGGGTGATCTGCTAGTCGCGTGTGTAGAAGCATAAGCAAGATTGGTTCTGGTATCGAGCTCTGTCTCCTGTTATATAATCGATTGACGGCTTTCACGATCGTGGGAGTGAACACTTTCTGATATTGATGCTACAACCACCTTCTTAGGTAGATTATTGGTACTATGTTTACTTCCAGCTCCCTATATAAAAACGGCGTCACTTATAGTAGCCTTGGAGGACGAATCACCTAAGGTACTCTAGTACGGATCCGACGAAATATATAGGTCGAGTGTCTCTAAGGTATCATACTAGCTTTGGCTAGGCAGAGATAGCACTAGTGTGACTTTGAACGCTGTATCGAGCCTCATAGTATCACTTCTAAAGACTTCTATTTACGATGGCTATTGGTCACCAAGCTTGTGGCTTAGAGAATAGCTTTCTAATATCCCTCCACCAGAAAGAGAGTATTTAAAAGTAGCACTCGTGGTCGACTCACCACTCCAGTGACCATCTAGAGATGTCACGACTGGTGTATTAATAGGTGATTCATTATCTACTGTTCGGATCGGAGGGAATAACGATAGAATAACGGGCATTGCCTAACTGGTATGTTTTACCCTGGCGCGCGTTGGTATCGTTTTAGCACTATTAAGCTAAGGATACATAGGGACTAAGGTTATCGATGTAGGATGCCTATTTAAGAACCTATTAGAAATGATATATCGATTAGACGAGTGATTACTAACCGCATTAACAGACCCCTATGGGGAAGACTTGCGGATATGTTAGTCTAGAGAGATCACTATATTCCGTGAAATATAGTATAGTACGATATCAACCCCTAAGGGTCTCATAGTTCCTTGATCAGGATTATATATCTACATAGACGCACATAGATTGTAATTGGCCCCTTTTAACTCGTATACGACAAAGCCTATCTAAAAATGGCCCCGGGAGAGCTAGGCGTTTATCTACCTGGCTCTAATTCTGGCAGTTCTCTTAACGCTATGGCTTTTAATATACTATCAATTTTATTCTACTACTGATTCCAACGGCTCGTTAGAAATAATTAGACTGTTGGTCGCCCTTGGTGGTAGGTCATGGCCTCTTACTAGCCTATATCGGCTGGAATTGCTAATAAATACTTAGCACACTCTAGGTTTCCGAACCTTTTTGTGGTAGACCACGGATTCCTTCTGCTCCGACATAACGTGTTGTCGATGGCTAATACCATAAGCCGTGTTAAGCAGGAGCAACTTCAAAAGCGCCGTAACAATCTCCTCCGCCGCTATAATGACTTTTGGCGTTTATACAGCATCAAAAGTTGGCTGGTAATGGAAATACTAGATGGGCGCATCTTTATATATTATTCACACCCTAACATGGCTGCGCCGACAAAAGAGGAAATGGTAAGGTTTTTTTCTTGATTATAAAGCTTTAGGATATTAATAGCTCCAGGCCCAACGCTCCTAGCGCACTATGCATAGATCCCTGTCCGATTACATTCGTGAGGGGTTGACTCAGCCGGCGGACAAAAGAAAATTGCCTATCCTTTCCGTAGGCAGTCGTCGAGATGTAGTATGGACATAGTTATCGTAACACCTCGAAAGGTATAATAGATGAACTTCATAGAGGAGTCCCTATACCCGCGTGACAGATCAATATTTTGACCACGCTATAGATGGTGGAGCCAACATCGTATTTAGAGGGCAGGAATTATGATTAATGCAGGGCGAAAAAAAAACAGATAAGCATTTGGCAATAACATAGTTAATCAAAAAATAACTCAATCGCTTAGGTAAAATCAAAAGTCACGTAACTAGAGTTAGTATTGTAGAGTCTAATGAATGAGGCTATGCCATATAAGGCTTCCGTAGTAAACGCAGAACTGGGATGAGCAACTCGGTTCCCACTAGTTGATATATAGTGACTGGATGATTTGAATATAAAGATTCAGGAACCGTCTATAGTATAGGATATTTAAACTATTATCATGCTAAAACTATCTACGTTGGGGAAAAGAGGGCGATTTTCGGGTGCCAAGTAGCTTTGAAATCTTCTTACTGCCATTCTCTACGGCATAGAACCCTTACTCTCGAATTCTAGGACCGACCGAGGTGAAGATGGTGGTCATGAGAATGCGCTTACCGGTGACTGGCAAACTGCGACGAGCCTAGTTTCTAAGATCCTTAGTAAAATTTGAAGCGCGGTGTACTTCTTATTTTAGTACCGTGGTGTCTGGTTTGCTAGCCGGTACGAGCCGTGGAGCCATAGACTGGCCTTGGGGAAGATATCTTGAGGACGGTCAGCAAGAGGTAGCCCCACACCTTATTAAAAGGGTTCACTAACCATAGCTTCCTCTGAGATACGCTCTTTGGGTAGGGGATAGGAGAACTAATAGATTACCATTTGGACTTCAAATTGAAATTAAATGCTTTATTTACCGCCATAATGACTAAGACCAAAACGACCCCAATGACTACCTTCAGGCCGAGCATTTCCTCTTTGCGGATGTAGTCGTTTCAAGCTGTATTAATAGAAAAAAAAATGAATTTAATGATTCCCACGCAGTTTTGACGGCATACATTCTCTATTTATAAGAT